TTCGTTGAAGTTTTCTGGGGATACGGGTGTGCGCTCGGCAAGCTCTAGCAGTGATACCAGCAGTTGCGAGTCCATTCACGGTTCTGACAGTGATGCCTCCGGTGCTCGGCCCGTGGAGCCGACTTGCGATGCGAGGGCTTTTGAAGTTCGCCTTGGTGTGTACGCCTCTCCCGATGAGTTTCTTGATGGGTGCAGAGGGGTTACTCATCCTTTTGATCACCTGCATGCCGCTCCTGATCGTCTCAAACAATGCATCTTTGACATGTTGGTCAATGGGCCGACGTGGGTCGTGCAACGGAGGGCGGCCCTACTCAGGAAGTGGACGTCCTGGGCCTCTGATCTTGAAGGTGAGGAACGTGCTTTGAGGGAGACGCTTGACCCTCAGGTCGCCAAGGTTTTGCAAGGAAAAAGGCTAAAGCTTCTGGAGCGTATCGCAGGCTCCCTTGGTTGGGTTGACATGAAGATTTTCGACGAACTTCGCAATGGTTTTGATTTGGTTGGCCACCATGAACACACTGGAGTTTTCGCTCACGAGCCCAGGCCACCTAAGGTTGCTGAAGATGACTTCATTAGTGCCGCACAGTTTTTGCAGCCAGCTTTACTTGGAAAGATCCGTGCTTCTGCGTCCGACGCTAATGCTCGTGAGCTGTGGGACAAGACCCTTGACGAGGTGGCTGATGGCATTCTTGAGGGACCTCTTTCGGCTGAGGTGTTGTCGTCTCGACACGGGCCTTGCTGGATCCCTACTCGCCGGTTCGGCGTTGAGCAGACTTCCTCCGCCGGTCGTAAACTTAGACCCGTGGATGATTTCACTGAGAACAAGGTTAATTTGGCTTTCGGCTCTATGGACAAGCTTGATCTCAACGCGCTTGACGAGTTGATTGGGATCTGCAGGTTGTGGATTCGGGTTCTTAACGGGCCGCCTGATTTCACGATCCCTCTTTCAACAGGTGCCTCCTTGAGCGGTCGTTTGCACGACGGCTGGAAGAAGGTGGGGTGCGAGCCTTTCCTCACTACCTTGGACCTTCGATCGGCTTATAAGCAATTCGCGGTCTCTGCGAAGTCACGGGCTTTGGCAATAATTGCATTGCTTGACCCTTCTACTGCTGAGCCTGGACTGTTTGAGTCGAAGGCCTTACCTTTCGGGAGTTCTGCTTCAGTGCTTCACTTCAATCGCCTTGCGCGCCTTTTCTGGCGCATTGGCGTGGAGCTGTGTGTGCCTTGGTGCAATTTTTACGATGACTTTCCGGTCATGTCTCCGAGTGGCATTGCTGGCAACACCATGGAGACCATGATTGCCCTGTGTAACCTTTTGGGGTTTAGGTTCGCCTCCGATAAACTTTCACCCTTTAAGGCCCAGGCCACAATGCTTGGAGTGGAGGTTGATTGCTCTCGCTTTTCTGAAGGCTTGGTTCTTGTCAGGAACAAACCTGGCCGGGCCGAAGAGCTCATTGCCGCTCTTGATGAAGTCCTGGAAGAAGGTTTGATTTCTCGGAAGCGGTATCTAAGCTTAATGGGTCGCCTGCATTACACTGACTCGTACATCCTTGGAAAGGCTGGACGCCTCTTCATGGCCGATGTCAGGTCGTGGGCGAAGGCGCATTCTGGACCTGAGTTGAAGCTTGATGATTGTGTTCGGCGGTCTCTTGAGCGTTTGCTGAAACGCCTTCGTTGTGGTACTCCTCGCCATGTCCCTTGCTCTGTCGCCGATCACGTTGTGCACATTTACACCGATGGAGCGAGCGAGGGCAGCTCCCACACTGTGGGCGGGGTGTTGATGCTTCAGAATCAGGTCCACGCTTACTTTGGCTGCTCTGTCCCTGATGTCCTGGTCTCGCGCTGGGCTGACTCAATGTGTCACTTCATAGGGCCCATTGAGGCCTATGCTGTCTCCGTCGCGAGGAAGGCTTGGCACTAATTCATCGCGGGACACAGATGTATCTTCTACATAGACAATGTGCCAGCGCAAGACGCCTTCATCAAGGGCACCTCTGTCAATCATCACGTCAGGGACATCTTGTTGTCTTTTGAGGCGGCCGAAGAGCTGAGTGCTTCTTGGTCCTGGTTTGCCCGTGTCGCCAGCCAGAGCAATGTGGCAGATGCTCCGTCGCGTGGTGACTTCGCCGATTTGCTTGATTCTGGTTGTCGTAGGGTTAGTCCCTCTTGCCCCTTGTCGGGTTGTGACCTTAAGGCTCTCCTGGCTCCCGCAAAGATCACTAAGAAGGGGTGAAGGGGGCGGTCGCCAGACCGTGTTTCGCCCCGTGCCAAAATGAAGGACCGTGCGATTGCATCTTGTGCAGCATTATTTGGAATCATATTCAGCTTGTGATTGGACTCATTTGCAAATAGCCTTGTTTTATGTTTGCATATGTTTGAAAAGCCGATTATGAAAAGGATCTCAGCAGACAAGCTCGCGCCATCTGCGATCCCTTTTTCATAAAAGGACTGCGAGCTTGTGGCGAGCATTTTCAAACTTTGGTTTCAAAACTTGGCATGCTTGTTTTTGCACTTGTGCCGATGTTGCAGTTTCTTTCGCGCATTGCCTTGATTGTTTCGGATAACGCGGCCTTTGTATGCAGCTCAGTGCTCGAGCTGAGCTTTGCAAGGATTTTTCTGCCCACCCTCCACTCCCTGTGTTCTGCTCTGGCTTCTTGCGCCATTGAGCTTGCCATCTTTTCCTGCCTCAGCTGTGCGTGTTGAGCTCTCCACGAGCTCCACCGTGCTTATGTGAACCGCACTTGCTTTGCGTGCTGCCAGTGTTGAGCTCTCTTGTGAGTTCCACTCGGCCTGCCGTAGGTGTAGCTGCGTAGCTCCGTAGTTCTTGCCGTAGGCTGTGCCAGGTACGCTGTGCTCAGCTGCTTGTGCTCTGCTTCAGTCCGTGTCCGTCTGCTCCTGCAGTCTGTCTCACTTGTGGTAGTCCGTAGCTGGCGTACGTGCTACTGCACTGATCCCACCCTCCTCACCCACGCCGAAGGGGGCGGTCGCCAGACCGTGTTTCGCCCCGTGCCAAAATGAAGGACCGTGCGATTGCATCTTGTGCAGCATTATTTCAGCTTGTGATTGGACTCATTTGCAAATAGCCTTGTTTTATGTTTGCATATGTTTGAAAATCCGATTATGAAAACGACAGCGTTTTGTTTAACTAGGACGAAGTGCTTGTTACTGTACGGAAAGTCACGACATGTACGGTCTGACAAACCCCGGAATTGGGGGAAGGCAAAAGGAGGGTTGCATGGAGTATGGAGTGTTTAACCCAGGAGCTGGAGAGGCAAAGCCTTGAAAGCTAACGATTGGGCAGGAGGTTTGCCCGACTGTTGGAGACCGTTGTTCGAAAGTACAGCACATGAACTTCGAGGCAGGGTGTTAACATTTGTACAGAGAACGCCCACACTTTGGGAGAGCCCAAGCTACGGCATATAGAATGTATAGAATGACTATGCAGCGCCTTTGGCTTAAGCAAGAAAAGCGTGAACGCTCGGGGTCTTACAGTTTAACTCTTCTGCTTGTCATGTAGCTGCAGCTCTTAGATCACAATAGGCTTTTGCACAGAACGCTTGTCGTGAGTTTGTAGCTTTTGGTCGACAGTGTTTGCTGCAAAAAATTTGAGTATGCATGCACCGCTTCGCGCCGCCATGCCTCTCAAGGCTGTCGACACGGATCGCTTCCTCAAAGTTTTTACCCGCCCACCCAACCCGGGGGGGGCACTTGCTCAGCATCGCATGCCTGAGATCTCTTTCACAGGCATCGCTTTGCCTCGCGCCGACTTCAGCAACGCGGCACCGGCAAACCTTAGTATGGCTCAGATCGCGCTCCCCGCGGCCCACCGCATATAAAGAAACATGGCGCAACGTCTGCAACTCCATGACAAAAATTAAATTTCCTCGGTCGATAACTTCTTGAGTAGTGCTTATGGTGCCCATCTCCTGCGCTGATCAGCTTAGTTGCCTGCATTATTGAGGATGGAATTAGATTCATTAGAAGCGCGCATATTGCGAGAAGATTTTGTTCTTTTGCAATCGCTTCCGCTTGGGCGAGTCCAACTCTTGTTTCGTCGCCTCTCCAAGCCCCCAGAAACAATGTAAGACAATTGTAGCTGTACATTCCGAATTGGAGTGCTGAGCACATTCTGCCATCGGATGCAGGATTTTCCTCTAGGCATAGTCACATGTTCAAAGGTGGACGGTCTAATCCTGCTCCGTGCGTATTGATCTAGCTCACGTTGTTTGCAAAAAATGTGTCGGGAAGGGGACAATTCGGCGGGAAGCTTTACAAAGTCTCGCAGGCGGGGTGTTGAAGATTTTGCCACCCAAGGATCCTCAATTGCATCATGTGAATCATGTGATCTGTTGTTTCGTATTTGATTGCCTTGATTGCGCTCATGTGTTTCACCTTTGTTTCGCGCGTAATCCGCAGGCGCCTTCCAGCGTCAAAGAGAATTTCACATGGAGATTTCGTCGTGGGATGTTGACGATTTTGCCGTCTTCAGGTCCGCATTTTCATATCATGATGTGTTGTTTCGTACTTCTCGCACTCATGTTTTCCACGTTTGACGTCGCTAAGCAAAGTTTTCATGTAAAGTCGTATGGGCAGAAAGTCCGCTTTCCTAATGTACAGGTGAACATGGTCCTCGAAAGACCTTATGACAAAGTCATCAAACATGCCGCGAAACTAGTCAGCCTGAGTCAGCTATTGTTCCGCGCTGGACCTTCTAGCATAGATGACCCTGTGATGTTTCGTGAAATCTGAAGCGGTGTACGTGCGACTATGGCATTCCGTGAGCAGTGTGAATTCGTTGTTCACATTATTTACCTTCAGCTCCATTTTCAATGCTTAACACCGCAGCCTTTGGAGCTTCACGAAATGAAAGCATTCGTAGCGCAGCACAACCTCGAGCTAAGTTAGCGATGGGTTATCTTCAAGACCTACTGTTGTAGGAGGTCGAGATCTCCTCTCGGGCTGCGTCAACGCTCGCTAGAGATCGACTCGCTTTACGAGAAGCCATGCGTGCAGTATCTTTCAGCTCCTTCTACACCAGGCTTCCAGAGAGAGATTTTGGGTCGTACGTCGACGCCTGGGAACTAGTAAATGCTTGGCTTGTGTTATCTTATGTCGAAATGAAGGGGTCGTTTGGTCGTTCGACGTTGGGGCAAGTGTCACTGCTGAAAGTGAACATTATATGAATCACTTTGTGATTCACATAATGTCGGGAGGTTTCCAGAACTGAGATGTTGGATGGGAGCGAAATGCTGACACTGTGTTTCTTTCGTTCATGCGACGTATGGCTTCTTCTTTCATTCCGGGTACGCAGGTTCCCTGCCAAGTTTTGCAGGGACGACTTGGCTTGCCGCGAGCTGAAGATGGCAAGGGTGCATGTTTCGCTCCTTTGGAAGTGTCCAGAGGCGAAGTTTGGCTTTTACATGTTTCTGTCATGTTGAAAGTCATGGTTTTCACAGAGATGTCCTCATGTATGTAAGTTTCAAGGGCTTTCTTTCGTCAAGGCATCCTCTGATTCATTTTAGTTGTTGCGCTTGTGTATCCTTTTGGTGCAACCCTGTGCTGGATCTCACCGTCTTGGCGACGGCCATGGGGGTAGCATCCTTTTTCAGAAGCAGCTGAAGAGTTCGATGCTTCACTTATTTGACCAGGTGGGGAATGTGGTATTGCTTTCGCTTGCTACTGCGAGGCCACTTGGTTGGTGCGTGGCGAATCGAGAGTGCCAGCCATGCCAAGTTCCAAGCACAAGAAAGCAACCAGCTCTGTCGAAATGAGTGAGCTATGGTCGCTTGTGCTTATTTGCGACACATTCTGCATGCCTTCCCAGCATTTTGCTCGAAGCATTTGCACTGATGGGTAACGGGGCGGGCTCTGGGCGCTATCTGGTACCTGTGCATGAGGTGCCATGTGCTGGACAGATTCCAATCCATGTCAATGTGGAAGTGCGTTCTGTGCCCTCTTCGGCTCCAATCCGAGCCTGCTGGACAATGCCACTCAGTGTGCCACTAAGTGATACTTGGCCTGAACTGTGCGCTATCGGCATTGCCATGACATGATCATGACCATCGAGAATCTAGAATCTAGACACTTTCTGTTCTTTCACTGCATCGGGGTCCGGGCTTGCAACAACGGCATTTCATATCCCGGAACCGGCTGTTGCCGAGTTGATGGTCGCTGTCTTTGATGATTGCAGAACTTTTCAATGCTCTAGGGAAGACATCGTGAAGGACCAGTATCTGTTCGCTGTACTGCAGCTTACAGCGGCCGTTCAGCAGCCCTTCCTTTCGTGAACATGGGAGAGTCTTAACCACATTCTCTTGGAGAGGACCCGGTGTTTTGAAGCCTCTTGGGTTGACCTGGTTTAGTCAATGCTGTCCCTGGTGTGACACAGAAGATACATGAAGCTAGCAAAGGTGTTTCGGCCTCGCCCATGTCGTGTGCACCGCAACCGTCCTTGCGTCGATCGGAGGCAATCAAAAGAACATGCCAAGGATCCGCACATTTGGCCTTCGCCCACTGCCTCGGCTGCGGCGGCAGAAGCTGCGGCTTCTGCTGCGGCTGCGCGAGAGGCGGGCTGTAGGTCTGTAGGTGTCGTGACGTCAAACTCTTCCGTTTCGTCGGGAGATCATCCCGACATATTACCTGTTGGCATTGCCAGTCTGCCATACACTGCTGCGCGATTTGCACTGATCTTCTAGCCGCACTGTTTCCGGGCGATTGCAGGCATGTAGCCCGGGCCTCGCCTTGTGTGGCATTAACTGTGTTGGCTGGCCTTGCGAGGTGGCGTCCACGTGCCCCCCATGTCGATATCGTGAGGCTGGGCAGCCGCCGTTGCTGCACATGCCGCTAGATGTCAGCGCTTGGATTCCTGTGCAGCTCGGTAGTACTCTGAAGCTGACGATCAGCATTTGTCGTCTGCACGGATTAACCGAAGCCATGAAGGTGAGCCGGGTGGTGATGGCTGTGCACGAGGAGCAGCCCCTGTATCTGAAGGAAGCGGACGGTGGTTGCCTGTCATGCTTACCTGTGTTGCTCTGTTCTTGGTTATCGTGGGTGTCAGCCGATGTGAGCAGAAGGTGGATGCCTTGTCAAAGTGGGGTGTTGGGCTGTGACCCCGCTTTCAACATGTATCAACCGTTGCGGGGGTCGTGCGGCCCCAAGACCGAAGCCACAAACAGCAAAGACAACGAAGCAGAGAAAGGAACCAGACTTTCTTCTGGGCCACCCTAGTCCAAGTGCCGAAGGCTACTATGTTTGATCGTGCGTCAGGCCGCCCCTTTTGCTCCGCGCGAACTCCTTGCGGCCTGCGAGTCTGCAGCTGCGGCGAGCAGTCGGCCATCATCTTCGAGGGTTTCCAGTGCCCGCGAGGCTGGGGCAGCAACTGTTGTTGCTGTTGCTGAGCTGAGCTGACGATCAGCATTTGCCAACCCAGGCGTATCAACCCTTGTGGGGGTCGTGCGGCCCCAAGACCACAGCCACAAACAGCAAGGACAACAAAGCCGGAAAAGAGCCAGACGTTCTTCTGGCCACCCCCCCGCCTAGTCCAAGTGCCGAAGGCTACAATGTTTGATCGTGCGTCAGGCCGCCCCTTTTGCTGCGCGCGAACTCAGTGCGGCCTGCGACTTTGCAACTGCGGCGAGCAGTCGGCCATCATCTTCGAAGCACCAGGCAACTTACAAAGCCTTCCAAAAAGCACACTTGGTGCCTGGGTCAGCCAAATCACGTTCTCCTTCGTGCTGCTGCATGCGTAAATCATGCGTCTAGGAAGTGTGAGTGGTCGTCAGCTTCTTTCAGCTGAACCAGATCGAACGGGGTGTAAGTACTCGCACAAAATCTGCTGCCCACGCCTGGGAAGGTCTTCTTTCAGAAGCACAACTCCGCGGTGTGCGCTCTGAACAATGCCGTTGGAGAGAAAGCGATCCACAACGAAGACTGGGACAAATTGTCGGAGAATAGAGAGATCTTGGTCGATGAGATGGCTTTAAAACTTCTTGGCAACGCTGCCAAACTTAAGCTGAAAAAGCAGCTTGACAAGCCCACCCTGGTAGCTGTCGTCAGTCAGGGACTTGTCGGCTGGGTTCAAGCACGAGCATGACCGCAAGGTGGCAGCATCAAGAAAGACTGGGTAGCTTATCGCCCGGACAAGAAAGGGAACATCTGGCGTCTGGATTCATTTAAAAGCAGCCCTGAGAGCATCTCCGAAGAAACCTTACAGGAAGATTGGGTCAGGTACGAGGAAGGCACTTTCGGCATCTTTCGGTGTTGAGCCGGCTTTTCCAGCTTCGCTCCTAAATGCGATGTGCCAGAGACCACCCCTGCCGTGGATGCTGCCTCTTAAAGAGGTCCACCATGGCAGTTCGGTTGTCTTGGCGCCGTACTCCTTATGCCCGGTATCTCGAGCCGAAGATTCCTCGCGCTTGGCGAGTTGGGAAAGCTCTCGCAGTTGGGGTGCTTCATCGACTCATCTTCCCGAACGTGCCCAGGTCGGCGGGGGCCTGAGACGCCGGAGAAGGCGACGTCCGTGCCCATGCCTTTGAAGGACCAGCAAGCAAGCAAGCCCAAACGAACGAGCATGAACGTGCGCTCGCCACATTTGCAGGTCGGTGCGAGAGCTTCCAGCCCCATGCGGAGGCCATGCAGCCTGCGCAGCACGGTGAAGTGTAGCGTTTTCCGAAGCTTCTGTGCCGAGCTCTGAACACCAAGCTCGCTTTCACCTCTCTCCTGATGTTTAGGCGCCGGCATCCCGGCTTATGTTCCCTCTGCCATGTATGTTTCTTTAGGTTTCAGTCTCGGGACTGCAGGGACAGCTTCAGGCTCTTCCCCTATCTGGTGGTCAGCCCCGGCCTCGGCCGTCGCTGGAGGGCCACAGAGCAAAATGTCATGTGTGGCCGCCCCGCTGCCGGGCGGCCTTGCGCAGTTTGCTTCTTGGTGGATTTTACTCGGATTGGGGAAGGTCTCGACAGTGCCGCTCTTTCGTGGCGTGCCGGACCGGCGACCGGCGGCTGATGCTCAGGAAGAGGCCAGCGAAAAGGGGCCAGAACTCAAAGCCTACAGTTAAACCACACTCGAAACTAGGCATCCACCCCAAAGCCGTGTTGGACCATCAGCAGAAGAAAAGTGAATGTGCTCAGATTGCGCGAGGAAGCTGGTAAATGCCGTACTAATTTGCTTCCTCAGCTTTACTTAGCCTGCACATTGAGACTTTGGCATGGGCTTGTGATCGGACAAGAGTTTCCGTTTGAACGAAACTCCGAAGTGGAGCGATGGGCGGAGAAGTCTGCTGCCTACTTGCTCGGGCCACATCGTGCCTCACCCATTGGAGGATTTGATGCGGTTCAATAGTGGGCAAGGTTTGGAGTGTATCGTCGCTATTCTTCAATGCCAGCTCAAGGCAGTTCACAAGAGGGTTTCAATCTCCGGCCCTCTCGCGCGTGCGGTTCCCAATGGAAGCCGATGGCCCTCGTGTTCGAAACGCTTTTTGTTTTTTTGGAGGGCGGGGGGGGGGGGGGGGGGGGGGCGAGTTGAGCCTTTTGATCTCAATATTTGAGGTAGATGGATTAAGTTGGCTGACATGTAGACATTCCGTTTCAATGCCTGACCGGCGCTGTGCAGAACCAAGTAGAACGTGGACCCGCGACATGAGATTGCATCTTCTACTGATCGTTGGATCTGTGTTAGTAGCCATGCTGGATCGTGTTGGAAGGGCTGAGTCTTTCCTTCGGTTTTATACTGAATCGACCAATGGCATCTGTTGAACAAACAGTGGCGGGCCAGCTCACACGTGCAAATACATCTTCGCATGCTCAGCCTTTAGGCAACACAAGTATTATCAAGCTCCATGCAGTGGTGACAAAGTTCGCGCACACAGGCCTGTTAAAACCTGGCTTCGTCACCTTGGCTTGGCTTCCTGGCTTCTTCACCTTGGCTTTTCGGCTTCGTGGCGTCTCGGATTCCCAGCTTCCTGGCTTCTTGGTTGTTTACCCAGACTTCCAAACTTCCGGGCTTCTGGGCTTGGTATTTTAGTCACTTTCTAACTTCTGCACCTCTAGGCTTTCCTTCTTGGCTTTCCAGTTTCTTGGCTTCTTGGATTCGTGGCTTCTCGGCTTCCTGGCTTGTTGTCTTGGAAATACATTTATGCATGTCCTGCGTATCGCATTTAAATGATCCCGGTTCTCGGTAGCCCCCCCCCCCCCCCAATGGTATCCCCCTCCCACCCAGTCCCTAGGCCGAATTGTGTGACTGCGTACACTTTTTGCACATAAGGGTCCCAAAACCGTGATCTGTCACGAGGATCGCGTCCCAAAGACGCCCGATCCGCATTTTTCCGGCACGATTCACACTCACGAGGATCGCGTCCCAACCACGCCCGATCCTTGTGGACACTTCCCAAAGAAAGACGACTCCGACATAGGGCTTTTAACAAGGCAACTGTCACGAGGACCGCGTTCGCTGACAGGCCCGATCCTTGTGACAGCTGGCCCATTGCAACCTTCTGGCAGCTGTCACGAAGATATTGGCCCTACGATCAATAAAGCGTTATATGGTCACCAGGCATGTGGGCAGAAGACACCCGACGAGCAACCAAAGAAACATTAAGATGTTAGAATTAATGATGATGATGGTGTTCATCGTCCCCCGTCGTCCAAACACCCAAAGCAGACCCGAAAGCGCAGGGCGGACCACCGCAAGAGAACCCGAACCCACACCAAGCCACAGGGGGAGGCGGGGAACCACCTCAAGCAGACCCACCCCCGGACCACACCACACCACAGGGAGGGCGCAAGCAACCCACCACCACGCCACACCACAATTGATGGATTTGCGGGGGAACCTTTGGGGGGGAGGAAGGGTGGCCGCACGAACCGGGATCACATATATGTATGTATACATATATATATATGTGCCCGATACCTTTATGGTCTATATAACCGCGGTTTGTTGTCTTCAGCACATAATGGAAAGCAAAATATAAGGTATAAGCACAGCCCACATTACAAAGCCACGACCTGAAAAGTTTCGGTTCGACTAGGCTATATTTTTCTATCAAGTAATTATAGCATATTATAGCAAATTACTCGCATTCAGGGAGACGAGTATTATATAAACAGAACATCGAGTGTTGATCCCAACACTGTCGATGAATAAACATTCTTTGTGATGACACATTTCAGTGTATAGAGTCCATACATCTTGCAGGAATGATGTATCGTCGTGGAGATATGCATAGCACTGTCAGCAGTATATCGGCAACATGGACAAATTGTCCTGTCCAAATATTTCACAATTCGACTTATTGTTGACTTGCCAGCGCTTGAGTAATTGCATACGACATATCCATCCAAGAATCACGTAATAAGCATGCACGCTGTAATATGGCATAAATTTGTTTGTAATTTCCGCACAGGCCAGAATGCAAAACCTGACAGGTTCGGTACTCATGAATCGGATGTGTTCATATGACAAATTAAGGGAATACATGCGGCATGACACATCCATATCACATGATGCTGTCGCAACACTTACTACAACTCGTTGCCTGTTATATTCTGTTGTTACATATGCTACATATATCTACTGAGGCAAGCCAGGTCTGAACAAACTAGTTCCTTGTCAATAGGGTTTCAATAGGAGGAGTGCGTGTAATGTATTGGTTCGCCCTGTCCAGGAAGTGAAGAGAAACATTATAGCCCCTGCAATGTGCCAGTTTCTTCTGTCCGTAAGAAGGGCTTTCCGATGTATCAGCTTCATATCAAGAGAGCTTCAGTAGGATGAGTGGGCGTGACAGGTCAAAGGCTTGTAATGTGTTCGTTTGTTCTGTCTGGAGGTTTTCGAATGTATAAGTTCCTCGCCAAAAGAGTTTCGATAGGCGGGAGTGGAGTGACACATTAGAGAGTCTATATTGTGTCAGTTGGCTCTGCCCAGGGGCCTTCCAATATACAGGGTCGCTTCGGTGTATAAGCTCCTTGTCAATAGGTTTCCATGGGGAATGGAGTAACACATTAGAGGATCTGTAATGTGTCAGGTCGCTGTGTCCAGGAGCCTTCCAAAGTAGGAGTTTCCTTGTCAATATACTTTCAATAGAAGGGATGAAGTGACACATTAGAGGGCTTGTAATGTGTTAATTCGTTATGCCCAGGTCGATAGAGTTTGAACAGGGGAAGTGGAGTAACACTTTACAGGGCATGTAATGTGCCAATCTGTTATGTCCTGGACTTTCCAGTGTATAAGTTCCTTGTCAGTAGAGGTCAATCGGAGTGGGTGGAGTGACACATTAGGGTGCCTGTAATATGTCAATTTGATATGCCCAGGTACAGGGGCCTGACAGTGTATAAGTTCCTTGTTAGTAGGGTTTCAGTAGGAGAAATGGAGTGACACATTAGAGGGCATGTAATATGTCAACTTGCCCAGTCCAGGACCCAGGAAGTGAAGATACACATTATAGTGGGTTTAATGTGCCAGTTTGTTATGTCCATAAAAAGTGCTTTCCGATGTATCAATTTCTTATCAGTAGGGTTTCAATAGGACAGGTGGAGCGACACATTATAGGGCCTGCAGTGTGTCAGTTTATTATGTCCAGGGGTTTTCCAGTGGAAAAGTTCCATTGCAATAGAGGTTCCATAGGAAGGAGTGGAGTGACACATTAGAGGGCCTGTAATGCGTCAATTTATACTACCCAGAGGCCTTCCAATATACAGATGCCCTACAGTGTATAAGTTCCTTGCCTTTAGGGTTTCAATAGGAATAATGACACATTAGAAGGCCTGTAATGTGTCAGTTTGTTTTCCCATGTGCGTTCCAATGTATCTCTATACATGCCAGATCTGATGTGATCACAGCATTTGCCAAGAAGGATATCACGTAGTTAATAGTCTTCACGATCTTAACAAAGGCGCAATTATCCGTATCGAAGGTATACATTCCCATGAAGGATCCCTATAGATCCCTTCACAGATCCCTTGTATGGAGCCCTCATAGACAGCCTTTATAGTTTCGTATAGAAACTTTATAGATCCCCTATATAGAGAACTTATAGAAACCCCGTATAGATCAACAAATGGAGTTCTTTGTAAAAAACTTTGCAAGATCCCTTACATGGAGCTTTCATAAACAACTGCTATATATTCCTTACCCTTTGTAGAAACCACATGGAAGCCCTGTATAGATCCCTCGTATGGAGCCCTTCTGGAAAACCTTTACAGATTGCTTATAGAAATCTTATAGATCCTCTATGTAGAGACCTTATAGAAATCCATTATACAAAAAACTATAAATCCCTTACAGAGAGACTTTCTAGAAACCCATTATGGATCCTTCATATGGGGCCTTTATAGTAAGCCCGGTTACAAAGTATGTAGATGCGATGTGGTAAGCTATTCTTCATATAGTAGTTAAGACAAATCGATTGTATTATGGTTCGTACAATACCTATGAAATTACCTTTAAGAATAGAGGGAGCGGTATTAAAGCCAATGAAACCGGCAACGAAGATGATGACGATGATGAAGATGATGAAGATGATGGAGATGATGAAGATGATGGAGATGATGAAGATGATGAAGATGATGCAGATGATGAAGATGATGAAGATGATGGAGATGATGAAGATGATGGAAATGATGAAGATGATGGGGGTGATGGATATGATGGAGATGGCAGGGGCAGGGGGCAAATGGCAAAGGGGAGGGAAAGGTGAGGAGGTGGGGAAGGCAGGGATGGTAGGAGAGGGGGCAAGGGAACAGGGGGAGGGTGCGTGGTGGGTGGGATGGGGTGGTTGGTGGGCGGTTGGGGGGTGAGGGGTGGGTTTGGGGGAGTGGGAGTGGGCTGGTGGTGGGTGGGGTGGGGGTGGGGGTGCTGAAAAGATGACACATTTCCGGCCTGAAACGTGTCATGTTTCTTTCTGTAAGGCGGAAAAGATGACACATTTCCGGCCTGAAATGTGTCATGCTTCTTTCTGTAAGGCGGAAAAGATGACACATTTCCGGCCTGAAATGTGTCATGCTTCTTTCTGTAAGGCGGAAACGATGACACATTTATGGCCTGAAATGTGTCATGCTTCTTTCTGTAAGGCGGAAAAGATGACACATTTCCGGCCTGAAATGTGTCATGCTTCTTTCTGTAAGGCGGAAAAGATGACACATTTCCGGCCTGAAATGTGTCATGTTTCTTTCTGTAAGGCACAAACGATGACACATTTCCGGCCTGAAACGTGTCATGCTTCTTTCTGTAAGGCGGAAAAGATGACACATTTCCGGCCTGAAATGTGTCATGCTTCTTTCTGTAAGGCGGAAAAGATGACACATTTCCGGCCTGAAATGTGTCATGCTTCTTTCTGTAAGGCGGAAAAGATGACACATTTCCGGCTGAAATGTGTCATGCTTCTTTCTGTAAGGCGGAAACGATGACACATTTCCGGCCTGAAATGTGTCATGCTTCTTTCTGTAAGGCGAAGATGACACATTTCCGGCCTGAAATGTGTCATGCTTCTTTCTGTAAGGCGGAAAAGATGACACATTTCCGGCCTGAAATGTGTCATGCTTCTTTCTGTAAGGATGGTGGTTGGGTGGGGGGTGGGGTGTCCGCAGCCCTGTTGGACCCTAATGGGGCCGTGGTGGGGGTGGGGGTAGTGGGTGGGGTGGGGGAGGGATGGTCATGGGTAGGGGGTTTGTGCTGGCGTGGTGAGGGGTGGGTTTGGGGGAGTGGGAGTGGGCTGGTAGTGAGTGGGGTGGGGCGGTTGGGGTGGTGGTGTGGGGGTGGGGAGGGGTGTTTTGGTGGGGTGGTGAGTTCTGGGGTGAGTGGTGGATGAGGGGACCGTTGAACATGTTCGTGTAACCATCCGAGGCTCGAAGGGCCTCTAGGGCGGGAGGGCGAGGTGCCGTAGGATCGGCGCATGTGCCCTTTGAGCTGGGCTGTACGACTGGCAACAAAACCAACCGCGGGGCGTTTGGTGATACTTCTGACAGGGTCAGACTCTTCGGGATATCTTTCTTCAGATTGGCGATTGAGGACTTCGGGCTGCCAGGGTGAAACTCTTCGAGTTTCACACTGGTAGCGGAGCTCTGGAGCTTCGCTGGTTAGCGTAAAAGCCGGTGACCAGGAGACCTTTGTGACATCAGGATGCCGCCTGCTACGACAGAGACTCCGGCCTCTGGATCAACGGCTGCAGCCCCGAACCCCGGATACCAACTGCCCTGGACAGCGATCCCCAGGTTTGTACCGGGTGCCACTGATGTGACGGAGTATAGTAAGAAGCTTCAGTTCCTTGCGGCAATGTGGCCGAAGGAGAGCATTGCATTGCTAGCACCACGAGCTGCACTGCTTTGTGAAGGGAGCGCCTTCAAGAAAGTATCTTTGCTCCCAGCAGACAAGCTGAAATCCTCAGATGACAGTGGGGTTAAGCTTTTGGTGGCTACGTTGGGTGGTTCGTGGGGTCGTACCGACGTGGAAACAAAGTATGATACCTTCGAAAGAGCCATCTTTGGGACAGTACAGAAGTCAGACGAGACGAACGATAGCTACCTGGCGCGACATGACATCCATTTTGAGGAGCTTTTGGCTTTGGGAGTCACCTTGGAGGAGGTCAGGGCCTACATCCTCTTAAGGCAATCTTCGTTAACACCGGAAGATCGCAAGAAGATCGTGGTTGAGATGGGGGGCGCTTTGGATTTCAAGAAAGTTTGTGCATCGATTCGACTGCTGGGGTCCCGGTTCTTCGCGGATTTGCAGGGACAAAGGGGTACTTACAAGACGAAAACCTATGATGCCCACCTCGTCGAGGATGCCGAAACCGAGAACACCGAGCGCGCCTATCAGGCAACCACGACAGCCCTACCCCAGGATGACTATGAGAATGACCTTGATGCTGAGTATGTGGATGCGATGATAGCTGCTGATGACCAGGACGCGCTTCAGATTCAGGCTTTCGAGGAAGAATTGGAGGGTTTCTTCCAGGAAACCCCGGAGCTTCAAGAAGCCCTCGTTAGTTATCTAGAAGCCAGGTCAAGGCTGCTGGCCAAACGCAAGGCACGCGGTTTCTGGCCCGTCGCAAACAGTCAGAAGGGCAGCAAGGGCCCGAAGGGCTTCAAAGGCAAGGGTCGCGGCAAGAATGCGCGAGAGCAGTTGCTCCTGCATATTTCAGAGAGCAACTGCAGGATCTGCGGTGAACGCGGGCATTGGAAAGCAGAATGCCCAAAGCTCGGGCGCAACAACACCAAGGCAGAGGCTACCACGACAGTCGCTGAGGCTACCGCTTCAGCTTCCGGAGACCCCCTTGGAGATGAGATCTATGAGCAGTTGCCAACCGAGGCAGTGACGCTTGCCGAGGCCCTGTGTGCCCAACATGGGGAGATCCCTAAGAACCCTAGCTTGGCTAAGGATAGGCTCTGTAAGATGGTTCAGAAGCTTAAGGCCCGACAATCCAGAGTCCAGTCCAACACCAGGCCGCCGCACAGTGGGGAAGCTCAATGGACTGAGCTGCCAAAGCAGAGATTCGTCCGAGCTTTCAGAGAAAGCCACTGTCAGGAGGCTCTCACCTCCCAGGTCCCAACGAAGGTTGAGGCCATCCTAGACACCGGAGCGAGCCGGTTCGTAGTGGGTCGCACCCTAGTACCCACCCTCCTGAGCCAGCTGAATGACGGGGTCCGGTCACAAGTTCGGGTTGTTAAAAGCTCAGTCAGGTTTCGATTTGGAAACAATCAGACCGTTATGAGTGATCACAGACTCCTGCTACCGATCCGGACCATAGATCATCAGATTTTGTGGCTTGGTTTGGAGGTTGTGCCTGGCAGCACACCTTTACTTTTCAGCAAACGTGCCATAAAGCAGTTGGGGTGGCATTATTGATACCACGAAGGATGTGTGTGCCAGTTTGTTCGCTTACAGAAGCTCGTGCCCCTGCACACCGGTGTCACAGGCCTATACCTGATCGACCTCGCCCGTCTTTGTGAGGAAAGTCATCCGGGATCCGAGTGCCAGATTGCAAGTGAAGACCCTCCCGAGACTCCCCTCGCAACCGAGCCGTGCATGAACGACTTGAGCTCAAAGAAACCACAGGAAATTCTTGAGAAGTGTACAGTAGCCAAGACCTCCTTTAGAAGTTTTGCGGGTTCGAATTCGAGTAGTTTGAGGTTCCGTAAATACCGGGACATGTTAATGAGAATACCTCTGAGCCCTGTGAGCCCAGAGATGGGGTTAGTCAAAATCCACCAGTCAAAGATGTTGCCAGCAAATCCACAGTGAATTGTTCAGCCGTGAGTGTGTCAACAATCGCCCCCGCTAAGTGCCCAATTTCCTCTCCTGAGTGTCAGCATGGCCGCCGCTTCCGAGAGCACGTGCAAGCCGAGCTTGGCACACAGGTTCGCTCGCCTTCGGGATGTGACACTCAGTGTGACAATCGAGGAAGCCCGCAACATGCCACTGCAGGAATTGGGCAAGATGACAATCACGTTCGGGACAAAGGTCCACGGACGCAGCTTCGAGGACGTCTTAGAGAACGAGGCGAGTTGGACAAAGTGGTTCCTGGAGCACTTGGGAACGAGCAACAAGCACGCGCACCAGCTGTTTCAGGTGTACGTGGATCGGTTTGTGAGTCAAACCGAAGAGATCGAGGAGCAGTTGATGATGAGCATGATGCAAGAAGAGCCAAAGCCTCGTGCAACCGCGCCCAAGAAGGGACCCAAGAGCAAAGCGGCCAATCGGTCCTCTGCCAGCAGCGAGGACGATCGCTGGGCCGTGATTCCGGAATCTCCGGAAAGCCAGCGCGTCGATGCTCAAGTGAACGCACTCTCGGAGCGCATGACGCATCTCGAAGGGATGCTACAGCAAGTGTTGCAGCATCTGCAATCCTCGGCGATTCCCCCGAATGCCTCCTAGATCAAGTCGAAAGCTGTAAGAGCGAGCTTCAGGCCTTAATCACCCAATCCACCACCACATCCGAGCTACGGGAACTTCAGTGGGTAGAGGAAGAAGCTAAGGGGCTGATAGTAAGATCCGCAGATGAAAGTGAGCTGAAGGGTTTTCTTCGGAGGGTACCATGGCACGAGATCCAAGAACACCGGAAGCCCCGGAGCGTCACTGTGCCCCAGAATGAAGAGCAGGCTAAACCTCCGGCCTATGTAATGTTCGGGATGTTTGTTCCTGGAGGCATCGTGGGATTGACCCGAGTGACCATGCAATTTCCATGGCTGACGCGGGTCCTGGGCCGAGTGGTCCGCTTGACTCAAGCTGAACATAGCTTTACTACCCTAGCCATATCCTGCAACACTGCTGTTGAGCCCCACCGTGATAGCTACAACTCCCGGGAAACTCCCAATTTGGTGATCGCTTTAGATTGTCCTAGGGTTGGTGGTGAAGTGTGGGTGGCAAAACCTCCAGGACCAAATCAAACTGGTCAGACATGGACCATCAACGGACAGGAGATTGCAGGCTCTCTTCAGTCAGTTCGCAGATTCTTTCTGTTGGATCCCCATATGTACCACGCTTCGATGCCCTGGGAAGGTAATCGTACTTTGTTGGTGGCCTTTTCTCTTCAAGCGAAGTACAAACTAGGAGGTGAGCAGGTAAAGAAACTCAGTGAGTTGGGGTTCCCCCATAAGATTTCTGAGGAGCCATCTCTAAGTGCCATCGGGAATCCCCCGAATCCCACGTGTACATTGTTACGCCAGCAGCTCCTGTCTGCCGAACCGCTGCTGAAGAGCTCGACTCTCATGCCAGAGGCTGATCATGCTGTTCAGGCTTGTCAGAGTTCCTTCCGGAAAGCACAAGCCGTTTCTTGGGATGCGTATCAGGATTCTATGCTCACGTATCAACAGCCTCTTGAAGATCCGCTCGATGTCTTAGAAATTGGAGCCCAGCCCGACAGCAGGATCACAGAGAGAGTGCAACAACTAGGCGGTAAGGCCCAGCGCTTCACAAATCAAGATGGAGACCTGTTTACCGCTGTCGGACAGCGTGCTTTATGGGATCTACTACAGAGAAAACAACCTAAGAATATTTGGGTTTCTGTAGACTGTCGACTCTGGAGCGCCTGGACACGCCTGAATGCCGCTCGCAGTCCAGAGTACCGTAAGCGTATGATGGAGGGCAGGCACAAAAGCCAGACCTTTCTGGAGCTGTGTGCGAAACTCTATCAGCAGCAGGCCAAGCTCGGCCGAGGATTCCACATGGAACAACCCCTGCACACCCCGATGCTTGAAGAGCCCGCACTTCAGGAAGTAGTTAAGGGAACTTTTCGGGCTCAGGTAGATATGTGTGCTTTTGGTTTAAAGACTCCCGTAAGTGGTCGTCCTATCAAGAAATCCACCCTAATCTTGAGCACATCGCAAGAGCTGAGTCAAAGTCTGGTAGAAAGAACATGCCCAGGACACAAAGACCATCAGCCTGTAGCGGGTAAGCTAAGAGAACTAGGGGGCCAACCCGTGTCCCAATATGCCGGATCCTACTGCCAGGGTTTCGCCGAGCACTGCGCCCAGCATCTGATGCTTCGCCCAGATCACCATGCGATGGTGCTGGAAAATTCCCCAGTCCTCACCCGAAAGCGTTTTAAGACCTCTGCCGGAATCCCTAGTCCTGTAGTAGAGACTCGTGCCCAAAAGCGAGCAGCAGATGCCAAAGGCGACCCTACGCAGCGCGACCAAGTGCGTCGCCGCATAGAGCCGTCAGCTTCTGTGCTTGAGCCGTACGCTGTGTCAGAGACTCAATGGCGACCCATCTTCGAGATGATTGCCGAGTGCACCTCCCGGGCTACTCCCATCCTAATTTCTCCGCACCATAGGGTAATAGAAGCAATATGTCAAGCTCTACCAGATCACCAGGTTCTACAAGTTTTCGCTGGGTGCGGTAGTCGTAACCTACACAGCCCCCTAGGAGCTCTGCCAGCCACAGTGGCCCCATGGCGCATCAGTGTCTGTTCTCGTTCTCGAGATGCATCAGCCTGTGAGTACCAGTGCCTTGGAGCAGAGAATCGCACCACGATGCACTCCGATCGAAAACGCCTCAGGATTGCACCAGTCCAACACCTCCTGACAATCTTCGCCCAAAGCAAGAGTCCGGAGAACACTTCCGGAAAAGATCCCATTGATGTCTCGAAACAATCCTCTGGCGGGATCGAGCACAGCCTGGAGGGCTGGGCCCCACCTCCTGTTCCATTGCATGGACCAGCATATCGAAGTCTTTCAAGTGAAGATAAGGTAAAGCTACGTAAGATCCATGCAAATTTGGGACATCCTGCTCCGGAGACTCTCGCGCGCCACTTGAAGGCTGCCCATGAGAGTCAGGCGTTGGTAGATGCAGCTCTGGACTATCAATGTGATGCGTGCTTAGAATCCACTGAACCCCGACACCAGAGACCCAGTAAATTACCTGATCCGAGGGAGTTTAATGATCTGATCGGTGTAGATGGATTCTTCTTCAAGGGTCGTGGTACCGGACGTATGTACTTCACGCCATTGATGAAGCCAGCTGCTTCCAACAAGCCCGTAGAGCTCCTAACCGTCTAGGATCCCAGGCCATGCAAACTTTCAATGACTTCTGGGTCAGCTGGGCAGGGTCTCCAAAAGAAGTGTACCTAGACCCGGCCGGGGAGTTCAGGTCAGAGCAAATGTTAGAATATTTTCAAATTTTAAATGCCCGAACACACATCACCGCGGCAGCGTGGCAACGTGGCCGTCTGGAGCGTCATGGGGATATTCTTAAGGATATGTTGTCCCGTCTTGACATTGAAAGTCCGATCACCGACGATTCTGCTTTTGATCAAATGCTGTTGCAAGCCGTGCTGGCCAAGAATTCCTTGATCCGTCACTCAGGGTTCTCTCCAGAAAAAATCGTGTTTGGTAAGGCTCTCCGGGTGCCAGGAAGCTTGTCATCAGATGAAGACCTGACGGCTCACGCACTGGCCGAGGGGGATGGTTTGGAGTCTGAGAGATATCGTCAGCGCTTAGAGCTTCGTTGCAGAGCTCGCCGGGCATTCATGGATGCAGACAATTCACAAGCAATCCGACGAGCGACGCTGCGTCGCAGCAATCCCGTGCGCGGCCCGTTCACCGCAGGAATGTGGGTGTTATACTGGATAAAGAAATCATCCCCAAATCGCTTAGCCGCCGGACGCTGGCATGGGCCAGCTAAGGTTATATGTATCGAGGGTACATCGGTAGTTTGGCTAGCGCACGGTACTAACATCATTCGGTCCGCACCTGAAAACTTAAGGCCTGCATCCCTGCGTGAGTGGCAACATCTTACAGATTCGCAGTTTCAGGAGCCGCTGAAGAATGCCGGAGGTGCCAGTTCCTACTTGGACTTGACTGGTGTATCAGAAGGGAACCAGTCAGCACCCCCCAATGTAGTTCCGCCTGCTTCCACCGAACCTTCAATAATTATGCCCATGTCCCCTATGGTTGTCCCTAATCCCACCCAATCTGCACCAGTGACAGAATCCGATGAGATCGGACAGCCAGAACAGGAATTGACACCACAGGTTAGTCAGGAGGCAACTGAAGTTGAGCGCGCTCCTTCCACAGAAGTCGCAGCCCCTTCAGGGTCTTCTGCAGCACCTACAGTGGCACCCCAGGGAGAGACTTTCCTAGGTCCTCATGAGGTTCCCATTCCCGAATCAGATGAAGGTCTGATGTGTGAACATGTGTACGCAGCAAGTTCAGAAACCGGGATTCTGAATGAGTTGGGTCAGGAGCTAATCAACTTCACCACTGTGCAGACCTCAGCAGAGTTTCCAGGACCTCCATTGGCCGAGGATGGACTTCCCTTTGTCACGGACCCTCTCCAACACTCGGAGCATCAAGCCTTTTGTTTGGAAGTCCCCATAAAGCCTAAGGACCTCAAGAAGTGGCTAGTTGAGAGTGCCCCGGAACAGCTGATCACTGTAGCTGCAGCAGGTAAGCGCTCTAGAGCTGAGGTATGTCTAAAGGGTTTATCAAGCAAGGAGGTGTCGCTTTTCGAAGCTGCAAAGCAGAAAGAGATCACTTGTTGGTTACAAACCTCGGCGATCCGAGCGATCCTTCGCAGAAAACTTAATCCTGAACAGATCCTTAAAAGCAGATGGATCCTCACTTGGAAACCGCCCGAGGAAGGAGAGACTCAACACCGAGCCAAGGCCCGATTAGTGGTTCTAGGGTATCAAGACCCGAAGCTAGTGGAAGTGATGAGAGATGCGCCAACCCTGTCCCGTGAAGGACGGGCCCTGGTGCTTCAAACCATCGCTTCAAAGAAGTTCCGATTGGGTTCAGTTGATATTAAGACTGCCTTCCTGAGAGGAAAAGCCGATGAAACAAATCCCCTGGCCATGGAACCTCCCAAAGAGCTTCGAAAGGCTTTGAATTTAAAGGACGACGAGGTGTGTCAACTGCTCGGGAATGCCTACGGTCGAGTGGATGCCCCTTTACTTTTCTATAAAGAACTTAGCAAGCAGCTGTTAGGATTGGGGTTCGTTAAACACCCATTAGAGCCCTGCGTGTTCTTGCTATACTCCCAGGGGATCCTTCGAGGCATTCTGGGTATGCACGTCGATGATGGGGTTTGTGGTGGTGACAAGGTCTTTCTTGAAAAAATTGAGGAACTTCAGAAAACACTGCCATTTGGAAGTAGAAAGTTTGATCGGTTCACATTCACCGGAATCCACCTTGAACAACATGCCGACTATCCCATCAGGGCATGTCAAAATGATTATGTCTGCAACATTCCTCACATCGATGTGGGACGCCGCCGGCGCCAAGTGCCCGAAGCTGCCGTTTCCGAATCCGAGCGATCTAAGCTTAGAGGGTTAGTGGGTAGCCTCCAGTACGCCGTGACGCACTCCCGACCAGACATTGCTGCCAAAACTTGGAGAAATCCAAGGGTCCATCACCCAAGCCACAGTATCAACCCTACTTCAGGCTAATAAGGTTCTTCGAGAAGCCCAGGACTTTGGCCAGGTAGGTATCACATTTCTGCCAATAGAGATTGATCGGCTTACGTTCGTCTCTTTCGGAGACGCTTCCTTTGCCTCCTCCAAGTGCCTGGCATCCCATCAGGGAGCGTTGATCTGTGCCACCGATGACCGATTGCTAACCAATCAGGAGGCCCCGTTATCGCCCCTCACATGGAGCTCTAAGAAGATTCCCAGAGTAGTCCGTTCAACGCTGTCCGCTGAAGCGTATGCCATGTCCAAAGCAGTGGACATGTTGGGCTGGATGCGTGCTTTATGGGGTGTAGTGCACATAGAAGGGTTTCAATGGCAACAGCCTGAGCGTAGTTGCCGGCAACTGAATAAGGCAATAATCATAACAGACTGTAAGTCTCTTTTTGATTTGGTAACTCGCTTAGCAATGCCCTCATGCGAGGAGTTTCGGACAACCCTTGAAGTTCTCCTTATTAAGCAAAGGTGTGCCGAGAACACCGAATTCCGATGGGTCCCCACGACTCTGCAAGCCGCGGACTGCTTAACCAAAGCCATGGATTCGTCACTCCTCCGCACCATCTTAGCCCAGGGACGTTTCAAGCTGTACGATGTTTCTCAGGACCTCCAAAAGAATGCGCAGCGCAAGCAAGCCATTGAATGGCTGACACAAACACCTAAAGCTTCTTTACTGTGAATCCCCGCGCTAACATGGATGGTCCTCCGTTTTTCGAGTCCAGTGGATGGACTCTCTTCAGTCGGAGGTTGGTCAGCACGAACTTTATTCAAAAGACTTTGGCCTGTGTGAATTCTGCAGTAGATCAGGAGCACCCGCAGGTGACCGTTGAACATGTTCGTGTAACCATCCGAGGCTCGAAGGGCCTCTAGGGCGGGAGGGCGAGGTGCCGTAGGATCGGCGCATGTGCCCTTTGAGCTGAGCTGTACGACTGGCAGGAAAACCAACCGCGGGGCGTTTGGTGATACTTCTGACAGGGTCAGACTCTTCGGGATATCTTTCTTCAGATTGGCGATTGAGGACTTCTCCTTTCTGATCTTCGTTCTTGGCAGGGCCAAGAGGGCTACCAGGGTGAAACTCTTCGAGTTTCACAGGGGGCAAGGGGCCGAGATAGGGGGGTGGGTAGTGAGGTATTGTAAGGGGGGGGGTGGGGGGGTGATCCGTGGGCCCCATCCACAGCATTTCAGGATTTCAATTTTTTGAATAATTGAAATAATTGAAATAATTGAAATGGGGCCGATTTCAATTATTTCAATTATTTGGGCCCCTTGGCGGATTTAAATAATTGAAATAATTGAAATCCGAGGGTTCGATGGGCCCAAGCCACCAGATCCAGGGATTTGAATTATTTAAATAATTGAAATAATTGAAATAATTGAAATGGGTGGGATTTCAATTATTTCAATTATTTGGGCCTTTTGGCGGATTTAAATAATTGAAATAATTGAAATGGGCCGGATTTCAATTATTTCAATGATTTCAATTATTTCAATTATTTAAATAATTCAAATCGGTGGGATTCGTGGCTTGGCCCAGAACAGCCATCGATTTCAATTATTTCAATTATTTGGGCCGTTTGGCGGATTTAAATAATTGAAATAATTGAAATCCGAGGGTTCGATGGGCCCAAGCCACCAAATCCAGGGATTTGAATTATTTACATAATTGAAATAATTGAAATAATTGAAATGGGTGGGATTTCAATTATTTCAATTATTTCAATTATTTGGGCCCTTTGGCGGATTTAAATAATTGAAATAATTGAAATGGGCCGGATTTCAATTATTTCAATTATTTCAATTATTTAAATAATTCAAATCGGTGGGATTCGTGGCTTGGCCCAGAACAGCCATCGATTTCAATTATTTCAATTATTTCAATTATTTGGGCCCTTTGGCGGATTTAAATAATTGAAATCCGAGGGTTCGATGGGCCCAAGCCACCAAATCCAGGGATTTGAATTATTAAAATAATTGAAATAATTGAAATGGGGGGATTTCAATTATTTCAATTATTTGGGCCCTTTGGCGGATTTAAATAATTGAAATAATTGAAATGGGCCGGATTTCAATTATTTCAATGATTTCAATTATTTCAATTATTTAAATAATTCAAATCGGTGGTATTCGTGGCTTGGCCCAGAACAGCCATCGATTTCAATTATTTCAATTATTTGGGCCCTTTGGCGGATTTAAATAATTGAAATAATTGAAATCCGAAGGTTCTGTGGGCCCAAGCCACCAAATCCAGGGATTTCAATAATTGAAATAATTGAAATAATAAAAATGGGTGGGATTTCAATTATTTCAATTATTTGGGGCCTTTGGCGGATTTAAATATAACTGAAATGATTGAAATCCACCCATTTCAATTATTTCAATTATTTCAATTATTTAATAATTCAAATCGGTGGGATTCGTGGCTTGGCACAGAACAGCCATCGATTTCAATTATTTCAATTATTTGGGCCCTTTGGCGGATTTAAATAATTGAAATAATTGAAATCCGAGGGTTCGATGGGCCCAAGCCACCAAATCCAGGGATTTGAATTATTTAAATAATTGAAATAATTGAAATAATTGAAATAATTGAAATGGGGGGGATTTCAATTATTTCAATTATTTGGGCCCTTTGGCGGATTTAAATAATTGAAATAATTGAAATCGGCCGGATTTCAATTATTTCAATTATTTCAATAATTCAAATCGGTGGGATTCGTGGCTTGGCCCAGAACAGCCATCGATTTCAATCATTTCAATTATTTCAATTATTTGGGCCCTTTGGCGGATTTAAATAATTGAAATAATTGAAACCAACTCTGCTGATTTAAATTATTTCAAATATTTAACTTATTTAAAATAATAGGAGTCATACAGAATAGAATAGAGCGTAAAATAGACCCTAGAGGCGCCTCTCTCATATATATATATATATATAGAGGGATCCGTGCGTGCACTGATCATATCGTATGTCATGGGGCCAAGCCAGCTGCACACACACACACACACAAAAACACACACACGCACACAAAAACACACACACAAACACACACACACACACACCCAATCACACACCCAATCACACACACAATCACACACACACACACAATCACACACACACACAATCACACACACACACACACACAATCACACACACAATCACTACCAAGAATGCCTTAAAGAAAAGGCTGGCGGCTAGTGGAGTAGTTCTGCTGGATTCCTCGCAGCAAGCGTTCCTGGAAGGAAGAGGAAGCCATGAGATTAAGTTTTTTTTAGGCATGTTCCGATGTGAGCCTGGATGCATATACTCAGTTTTGATGTTTCCGTCACGGGCTACAGACCAGCATTTTCCACCAACGTAGTTCATGCCGCTGACCATATGTTTCTGACAAACCAGACATTGGCTAGGCGCACCACAAAACCCGCAGAGGTGCCATAGCGGGATGGTCAAGTGCAGTAGGAGAGGCACGGAGGCAAAGTAACACATGTGCGACGTCGGGTTCCTTCACATTGGGCCGTGCCACTAGCAACAGCTGCATGCTTTGCAGCTCATATCAGTCGCTTCATTGCTCAGCTGTTGGAGTGGTCACCACGCTCAAGTTTCAGCCACTGTTATGATTGGTGCTGGTATTTGCATACGAGCTTGGCATCTGAACTGGGCTACTCTTGCGACAGTCTTTCGACTGCTTTCTATTGTGCCCATACAGAAAACGGGGCAGAGGTTATCCGCTGCAGCACGTTTAGCTTTGCGTGTAGTGCAGAGCCTTGCTCTTTTCCGTGATTTTGTGTGTGTGTGTGTGCCTCAGCAACAGTGTTTGGTCGTTGCAGTGTTATTTCGTGGTTCTACGGTCCGGCTTCAATAGGACATGCTTTGTTGCAGCGCTGAGGCAATGGTTGCTGTTCAAGAACTCATTGTGATGTGGGAGGCATTGCTGGAATTCGATTGTTTCTGAGTTTACTGAAAGGACCATGAAACACTCACATACCTGAAGGCGCGCGGCGGAAAGCCCGTCTTCCCTGTGCCTCAGGAGATGCCGACATAAACAGCCGTGGTACGTCGACTCTCACTGACTTCTTTAGGCAGTCGTGGGCACTGGCTCACGTCATGCAAGCACGTCTTCATTCTAGATGCACAGACTTCCCTGTGCGGTTCAGGAGCCGGTTGCACTGGAGAAAGGCCGGGCGGAGGAGGAGGAGGAGGAGGCTGGACAGCTTGAGGTTAACTGCTACGTTCAGCTTTACTAAGCTTATCGGTCTGCCGCAGCTGTGCTCAGCCGTTCTAACTCGACTCACACTGAGTTTTTGTTGCAGGCAAAGGAAAGATTTGAGGAAGAGAAGCAGGCGCAAGAGGTGCACCACCACGTCGTGCCTGTGGATGGCCCTGCATTCATACCCATTCTTGCCACGTTGAGCGGTCATGTGGCCACTCTGTGCTGAGAAGCAGGCAGAGAAGCTGACCGAGAAGTTCCCGGCAGAGGATGAGGCAGTCGTGGGCTCTGGCTCACGTCATGCAAGCACGTCTTCATTTCTAGATGCACAGACTTCCCTGCGCAGCGTAGGAGCCGGTTGCACCGGAGAAAGGCCGGGCGGAGGAGGAGGCTGGACAGCTTGAGGTTAACTGCTACGTTGAGCTTTTCATCCAACAGCTGCACTTGTCCTTACTAAGCTCATCGGTCTGCCGCAGCTGTGCTCAGCCGTTCTAACTCGACTCACACTGAGTTTTTGTTGCAGGCAAAGGAAAGATTTGAGGAAGAGAAGCAGGCGCAAGAGGTGCACCACCACGTCGTGCCTGTGGATGGCCCTGCATTCATACCCATTCTTGCCACGTTGAGCGGTCATGTGGCCACTCTGTGCTGAGAAGCAGGCAGAGAAGCTGACCGAGAAGTTCCCGGCAGAGGATGAGGCAGTCGTGGGCTCTGGCTCACGTCATGCAAGCACGTCTTCATTTCTAGATGCACAGACTTCCCTGCGCAGCGTAGGAGCCGGTTGCACCGGAGAAAGGCCGGGCGGAGGAGGAGGCTGGACAGCTTGAGGTTAACTGCTACGTTGAGCTTTTCATCCAACAGCTGCACTTGTCCTTACTAAGCTCATCGGTCTGCCGCAGCTGTGCTCAGCCGTTCTAAGTCGACTCACACTGAGTTTTTGTTGCAGGCAAAGGAAAGATCTGAGGAAGAGAAGCAGGCGCAAGAGGTGCACCACTACGTCGTGCCTGTGGATGGCCCTGCATTCATACCGATTCATACCCATTCTTGCCACGTTGAGCGGTCATGTGGCCACTCTGTGCTGAGAAGCAGGCAGAGAAGCTGACCGAGAAGTTCCCGGCAGAGGATGAGGCAGTCGTGGGCACTGGCTCACGTCATGCAAGCTCGTCTTCATTTCTCGATGCACAGACTTCCCTGCGCGGCGTAGGAGCCGGTTGCACTGGAGAAAGGCCGGGCGAAGGAGGAGGCTGGACAGCTTGAGGTTAACTGCTACGTTGAGCTTTTCATCCAACAGCTGCACTTGTCCTTACTAAGCTCATCGGTCTGCCGCAGCTGTGCTCAGCCGTTCTAAGTCGACTGACACTGAGTTTTTTGTTGCAGGCAAAGGAAAGATTTGAGGAAGAGAAGCAGGCGCAAGAGGTGCACCACTACGTCGTGCCTGTGGATGGCCCTGCATTCATACCCATTCTTGCCACGCTGAGCGGTCATGTGGCCACTGTGCTGAGAAGCAGGCAGAGAAGCTGACCGAGAAGTTCCCGGCAGAGGATGAGGCAGTCGTGGGCACTGGCTCACGTCATGCAAGCATGTCTTCATTTCTAGATGCCCAGACTTCCCTGCGCGGCGTAGGAGCCGGTTGCACTGGAGAAAGGCCGGGCGAAGGAGGAGGCTGGACAGCTTGAGGTTAACTGCTACGTTCAGCTTTTCATCCAACAGCTGCACTTGTCCTTACTAAGCTCATCGGTCTGCCGCAGCTGTGCTCAGCCGTTCTAAGTCGACTCACACTGAGTGATTTGTTGCAGGCAAAGGAAAGATCTTGGGAAGAGAAGCAGCCGCAAGAGGTGCACCACTACGTCGTGCCTGTGGATGGCCCTGCATTCATACCCATTCTTGCCACGTTGAGCGGTCATGTGGCCACTCTGTGCTGAGAAGCAGGCAGAGAACCTGACCGAGAAGTTCCCGGCAGAGGATGAGGCAGTCGTGGGCACTGGCTCACGTCATGCAAGCACGTCTTCATGTCTAGAAGCGCAGACTTCCCTGCGCGGCGCAGGAGCCGGTTGCACTGGAGAAAGGCCGGGCGAAGGAGGAGGCTGGACAGCTTGAGGTTAACTGCTACGTTGAGCTTTTCATCCAACAGCTGTACTTGTCCTTACTAAGCTCATCGGTCTGCCGCAGCTGTGCTCAGCCGTTCTAAGTCGACTCACACTGAGTTTTTGTTGCAGGCAAAGGAAAGATTTGAGGAAGAGAAGCAGGCGCAAGAGGTGCACCACTACGTCGTCGTGCCTGTGGATGGCCCTGCATTCATACCCATTCTCGCCACGTTGAGCGGTCATGTGGCCACTCTGTGCTGAGAAGCAGGCAGAGAAGCTGACCGAGAAGTTCCCGGCAGAGGATGAGGCAGTCGTGGGCACTGGCTCACGTCATGCAAGCATGTCTTCATTTCCAGATGCACAGACTTCCCTGCGCGGCGTAGGAGCCGGTTGCACTGGAGGAAGGCCGGGCGAAGGAGGAGGCTGGACAGCTTGAGGTTAACTGCTACATTGAGCTTTTCATCCAACAGCTGTACTTGTCCTTACTAAGCTCATCGGTCTGCCGCAGCTGTGCTCAGCCGTTCTAAGTCGACTCACACTGAGTTTTTGTTGCAGGCAAAGGAAAGATCTGAGGAAGAGAAGCAGCCGCAAGAGGTGCACCACTACGTCGTGCCTGTGGATGGCCCTGCATTCATACCCATTCTTGCCACGTTGAGCGGTCATGTGGCCACTCTGTGCTGAGAAGCAGGCAGAGAAGCTGACCGAGAAGTTCCCGACAGAGGATGAGGCAGTCGTGGGCACTGGCTCACGTCATGCAAGCAAGTCTTCATTTCCGGATGCACAGACTTCCCTGCGCGGCGTAGGAGCCGGTTGCACTGGAGAAAGGCCGGGCGAAGGAGGAGGCTGGACAGCTTGAGGTTAACTGCTACGTTCAGCTTTTCATCCAACAGCTGTACTTGTCCTTACTAAGCTTATCGGTCTGCCGCAGCTGTGCTCAGCCGTTCTAAGTCGACTGACACTGAGTTTTTGTTGCAGGCAAAGGAAAGATTCGAGGAAGAGAAACCGGCGCAAGAGGTGCACCACTACGTCGTGCCTGTGGATGGCCCTGCATTCATACCCATTCTTGCCACGTTGAGCGGTCATGTGGCCACTCTGTGCTGAGAAGCAGGCAGAGAAGCTGACCGAGAAGTTCCCGGCAGAGGATGAGGCAGTCGTGGGCACTGGCTCACGTCATGCAAGCACGTCTTCATTTCTAGATGCATAGACTTGCCTGTGCGGTTTAGGAGCCGGTTGCGGTGGCGAAAGGCCAGGCGGAAGAGGAGGCTGGATAGCTTGAGGTTAACTGCTGCCCTAGCTTTTCATCCAACAGTCCAACAGCTCGACCTGTCCTTAAAGAAGCTCTCATCTGTCATGTTTGGTATGCGAGGGAAACGCCGCATGAGCTTGGAGCATTGCTACCTGAGTTTCCTGTGATTGCTGAAGCGGGTGGGTTGTGGTGTAGAGGGCGGGTTTCGGAAGGGTCTTTTGTGCAAAGGGTGGGAAGCGGGAGGGTCGGGTCGGCAGGAAGAGGCATCACAAACAAGTGATCTTGTGTTCGAGCAAATTAAGCACACTGTGAGCAGAAGAGACGGGTACCGTCTTGTCACGTGCGTCATGGTGGCGTATCTTCCAAAGGCCGACGAGCCCGGTGCTGGGCAAGCAGAGGCTGTGGCAGCGGGTCCGCAGGCGCGGTACGATCTCGAAACAGCTTGCGGGGGCCCGTGCCCGAACCGTACACATGCGGTCGGATATCTCACGTGTCAGGCTCTGGCCTGCATCTTGGACCCAAAAGGTCCCCTGTGCACACATGCATGGGTGGACCGCGGGGTCAGACGACGCTGCAAGAACCTGAGCTTGTGCTTTTTGATGCATGCTCTTGGCATTTTCTGATCTTTGCCCGTCAGGGGCGGAGCTGGTTGAGCCGGTGCAGGTGCCCCTGCTCGTGCGGCTTTCTGGTCCATTGATCCGTCCGTGTTCTCGCAGGCAGAGCGCTTCATGGACTGGTGGGCGAACATGCTGCATTCTCAGCTGTTGGATCACTTGAGCGTGCAAGCATCCACGGAAGGGAATCTGTGTTGGCGAGGCGGGCTCCAGCCATGAGTGCATGCCCTCACATGAACAGCGGAATGGTGAAAACGAAAGTAACACGTAGGCAAGCTATGTTATGGCGTTGTTTTTTTGTGTTTTGGTTTCTTGTTGCTTCTGTACCGAACCGTTCAAGGTTTGGATTTGTTTTGCTGAGTTGTCTGCATTTTTGGTTTTAGTCACATGTTGAACTTATTGAACTTTCTCGATATCTAAGTGTATGAGAATCTCGAAGAATGGAACATTGTGCGGCTTGGAGGCTTGGGCGTTCAAGCCCAGGGGCGACATCTTTGGACATCCAGGTGGATCAACGCTTTTGCGATAAAGAAATGCCGGCTCATCATTCATCTTCGAGCGTTTTCATTCCAAGACATTCCAAACTGGCCGTAATCATTCGTAATCATTCCTCAGCTGTCACAAGTACCGCGTTGTTTAATGCAGGGGTTCCTCTTGATAAATCAATGTTCCGGCCGGGTTCGCCTTCCCTCCGCATATACGGTGGAATCCCAAGCCTAGCTACTCGATTTATTTGATGGGGCGTGCTGCAGTCTGGAGTTATGGATTTGTTCGTTGTTACGTGATGTTTATTGGGGCTTCTTGATGTTCGTGCCGAAAAGGGGGTCAGAGGTGATAAGATAGTTTCTATGGCTATTCCGATTCCATGCCGCTTTTCATTCCGCATTGTGCCAGACATGAGCCCTCAAGTTCTGTCGACTCCATGTCGTATTTGTCGTGTTTCATACTGTATCTTTCCAACACGAGACCACTCGAACCGTCGCGCTTGTATCTACATCATGCTACATCCACCTTTGAGGCCGCTTCATGTTGAACCTTTCCCACATCAGTCTGCTTGCTGGACGACGGGTCATCCTTCCCACACAAGCCTTCTTGTCACGTTGCACCGGTTTCTTGACAGCCATGCGGGGTGCAGCAATGGTGTCGCGGCCGTTTCCAGGTCCGGCGTGACCAAACGGGAGCAACCAATAGCAATCAAGAGTTCTCTGACGTTCGTCACATCCGTTTCCATCCCTGTTTCTATTGCTGTGAGCAGCTCCTTGTTGCAATCGCGATGGTGCACTTAATGCATGGCTATGCTTGGCAACGGACATGTCCTTTTGAGAAATGAAGTTTGGCAACCAACATCTTCTCCTAGAATTTAGGGTTTGCCAACCCATATCCCTGTAGGTCAAGGCTTGGGTCTTGAAATCTAATCCGGAAACCGGCAGATGCATGAAGGAGACTTGGCTTCAGACTGTGCTTACTTCTTTGGAAGTTGTTTCATGCATGACATAGTAACGACACTGACATGAGCGCTGCATGGCTTTAGGGGAAATCCCACACTACGAGTTTGAGCATAAAGTTTGACCAGAGTTGCAAAAGGTATGTTTACCCCGAAAGCGTAGACTTGCGACGTAACGGCCCGGCAACCGTTGGAGTGGCTTGTAGGATGTTTTTTTTGGGAAGCGAAGTGATTTGAAAGTAGTGTGAAAAAGTGAATTGGATTTCCCTGTGCCAGGGAGAAGTGATTTTGAACGTGATCTGGACCGTTCGCACAAGTGATACTAGTAGTAGTCTTCGACAAGTGATTTGGCTGCTCGAAAAAGTGAGTTCAGAGTAATCCGAAATATTGGCAGAAGCGATTCCGAAAGGTGATTGCACTTAGCGATCACGTTTCCAAGCCACGAGTCACTTGAGAATCGCTTTCCGGACCCCATCATGACTTTGACATCACTTTTCCAATTTTTCTGTCCCGGCCATGCAAATCACTTTTCCAAAGGAGTGCTGGGCCTGCTCGGCCATGTCTAGCAGCGACTTACAAGTTTGTAGTCCCTGGCTGTTGTTACGGGCTGCGCAAATCCCGCTAGCTGCAGAACCAATCACTTAGAAATCGATGTTGCGCGTCCGTGCTTTGAAATCACTCTTCCGCTCGCCAAATCACTTTGAGAGCGCCTTTCCCACTTTGAATTGAGTTTCTTTCTGAAAGCATTGTTTCGGGCATGGCCGATTACTTCGTTTGCGCCAGTGCCGCAACATCACTCATGGATCATATTGAAATCACTTTTTCGACCCGTGGCCGATTTCACTTCTTGCTCAGCTGGCGATCAGGAACTGGTTCCGGACCCGGACTTGGCAGATCCGGCCAACAGGTTTTTTTCTCGAAAGATACAAGACGCGCAGAAGACCAGGAATAACAAACAAAGTATCTAGAAAAAGAAGACGAAGAAGTCAAGAGGAAGGGCTTGCAATTTGTCATGCAGGGAGCTCAAGCAAATAAGAAAAAAGCCAAACAAGGAGCAAGGAAGAAACATGTTGCTTTCTGTCCCTGTTCCTAACTGTTCTTTCTTCTTTATTTGATTGTTGGTCTCACGAGTGAATAGAAAGGATTAAGCATGTGTACGTCCCCGCGTCCCTTCTTCAAACAGCAAGAATGAAGACGAAGAACACATGGAAGAACATATGGACGGGAGGAGTAGCTCCCTCATTCCTTTTGGATGCATTCTCTTTTCCCCGTCCTCCTTGTCAGTTCGTGTGACTTTTCTTTGTCATTGGGGAGCAAAAATACGGAAGAGGAGAGAAAGAGAGGAAGCAACACACACGTGAGAGCACAAAAGTGCTTTGTTGTTCCAGCTTGCAGTGAAGATGAGCCAGGAAGCACATTATTTATTCGTATTTGAGTAGCGAGTAGCAAGTCGATCGTCTCACCGAAAACACTCACAACCTTAGGAGCTCGCTTGCACCGTGCTTGCCCTGAAGATCCCTCAATAGTCCCTCAAGCCTAGCATCAGATTTTGCTGATTGCGCTGTTCAATGCCAGTTGAGGCCTAATCCGGGCACATTGAGAGGTGCACCCAGTGTGAAGGCCACGGCGGTTGCAGCACTGTCACGTGCGTGGGCGCTTGTGGTCAGCCGGTTCCATTCCAAAGCCGGACAGACTTGAATTCTGTGATCTGCAGCCTGTTGTTCACCAGCCCAAGCAAGAAGGTCACGAAGTTTACAGATGCTACGGTAGTAGCGGTGCATGAGCTCGAAATGAAAAGGCATCATCAGCCAACCATTGGCGTTTCTTGCCATGCCACAAAAACTGCAGCCTATGGATGAGGCAGTGTGGTTTGGGCAGCGCCTCTCCGGCAACCCAGCCCGGAATGAAGCCATAACCATCGACTACATTAAATACAACATGCTGTTCATCGCCGTGTTGCACATCTCGAATTGGCAGACATCTTACGAGGGGAAGCCTAAAGCCAATCACAAGGAAGCGGCACGCTCGGCCGCCGAGAAATTCCACGAGGATGCCTCCGTGCAGAACCAGATCAAGAAGCTGCGTGCTGAGGAAAGCAAAAGTGAAGCCAAGAAACGCACCTTCCTGCGCAAGGCGGGTGGTAGGGCAAAAAAGCCCAGACCTTGATTGATGGGATGAGACGTTGACCGTGGGTCTCGCGCCTTCCATGAGCGCCAAGTCGCTGGATTGACGCGCAGTGCGGCATCGGAGCACTCGAGAAACATTGCAACTGACACCTGCTTTGCGTTTGCTTCCGGTTGTGCAGCTTCATGTCACGTTTCGGGAAAATAATGCTGTCAGGTGGCAAGTACTCTGTTCTCACGAGGCCGTGGTCTAGCGCGCTTGTCCTTACGGGGGCAAGCGACCTGGACTTACGCAAATTGTTTAATTACATTGTACATGTCGCCCAGTGCTGCACCTGGTGGGTCCGGCATCCGAGTCTGTACCTGGCAGGCCGACAAAACGCAAAGCGCTCCGCGCCGGGCACGTTGGATCCTCAGACACCTATCAAACCTATGCTTGTGCAAGTGCGTGCAACAACGGTGCTTGTGCATTATTGGCATCACGTGCTGGCATTGGGTTGAGGCCGCTGGGTGCCGAAAGAAGCCAAGGCCGCCTGTGTGAAATTGCTTTGCATCAGCAGTCTTCTTTCCAGTTTGCACGTCCAAGCATTGGCAATCATTCTGCATCGTTAAGAAGGATGAGGACTGGTGTCCAGGGTGTAGACGTCAGGACTCGGGGTTTAGTGGAGATGATCCGATCAGGCCGTGGAGGAGGCATACGGAAGCAGCTTGGCCAGCACGAAGCTTCCGAAGCCGTGGAACTGCAGTTTCTTAAATATACAGCCCTGCATCCCCCAGAGCCCCCGTAATGTCTTTCCAGCCGGTCGCTGCATGTACTCATTCCTCTCATCATTCAAGGCTGTTCATCTCATATTCACCTAGTCACTCACCCACTCATTTTGCTATCCTCTTGCTCGCGCACTCGCTCATTTAATCGCCCAGTTCGCTGTCTTTCTCATGCGGTCACTTTCGCACACACACACAAGACCATTCCACCAATCAGTCCATTCGCGAGCTCACGGGTAAATCTCTCCATCCTCCCTGCATTTATTCATCCTTCCGTGCATACAGCCCTTTACCGGTTCGCTTTTCCAAATATCCACTCCTTCACACTAATTTGCGCACGCAGGTGCGCAGGCCACCTGCTCCATTCATTCCCGCTCACCGTCTTGCTCCTTCGTGGAACTTAACTTGTTTCTGCTTTAGTGTTTCGACACGCTTTGCCAAGGCGTTCAGCACGAGAGAATGGAGCATGAGACCGAGCGCCAGTATCATGCCAGCGAAAGTTGGTGGGTCGCTACTGGTGTTGTTACTGGTCTGCGACACTACAACCACATGGCGCCCTCTCTACGACAATATGACAAAGTTGGGCTGTTGCATGCCGAGGCCTTGGCCATTGGAGTGCACTGTGTTCTTCTCAAATGCAGCGTGCCCGAAGCCAAACTCTTTTTTTCTCATATGTTAGCTCGTGGGCACGGAGGTACAGAACGACTGCTCGGCCGACATGTTGAATCTCCTGTGCCATGTGGCTCACGTGCAAGCATGCAATGTTGAAGCACCTGGATTCGCTCATGTCAGGCAGGATTCTTGGGCCAGCTGTTCGCCAGAGTTGGCGAAGTCCAATGCGTTGAGTGTTCGGTCTGCATTGGACACCAGATTGAATTGCAAACACACCTGCTGCTTGCGAGGTTGTACAAATCGTCCCGTTTGGCCCCTATTTGCTGTTTGCAATCGCCGTGTGCGTTTGGTGTCCCGCCATGGCGAATGGCCTCGTCCAGGTGGCAACTTCATCGGCGCAGGTGTTGTTACATTCTTGTCCCCCAGCAGCGCAAGCCGCGCCGTCGTGCACTTAACTTGCCACTGTGTCATCTTTTGCCACAGATGATGCCGGCCAAGCGATTGCAGGTTACTGAGCTGGACGGGTCTGACGTGCATGGTAGACCCATTCGGGTGAAGCCGAATGAGCGTTGGGTGCTTAGGTATCTGATTTCTGTGCACACTTTGCAATCAATGTCAGCCCGTTCCAAGGTCGTTTGCGTGGCCAGGGCCGACGGAACCACGTGGAGACCACCAAAGCCAAAGCAAAGAGATGAGTCCGGGAGTGCTGTGTACAACCGGGTATGGAAAAGTATAGCTGCGGGTGCAAGGCATCCGAGGAAGAGACAATCTCGCTGTCGCAGACTTTCCGTTTGACAGATGCGGCAGACTTTCCGTTCAAGCGATGGGGGCTGGCTCAGCCACTGCTTCATCGCTGCAGAATGCAAAATCTGCGTTCTCAGGAGCCATCAGTCATGAAGGAGCATGCGCAGACCCACGCAGTTTCCAAGTGGCAGCTTTCGCAAAGAAGTTGAGTGACCAGCTTTGAGCTCTTTGGGGCATGACTTGTCTGAGCCGCATTGTCACCTAGATGTGCACGCAGCGCGTAGTGCTCAAGTGATCACGGACGCATAGCCAAGGACCTACAACAACCATGCTACAGATGCTGCCAAGAACGAACAACATACGTCCCACATCGTGCGTTTCCAGATGTCTGTACATATGTAAGTATACTGACGCACTTTGACGGTCGCGCAAGAAAGACGTAAAAGACATGTTGATTGCTCCGAGCAGGCATGTGAGCTTTCTTTGCAGCCCTCTGAAGCTTGTTGGACTGTAAATTTAAAGGTCGTAAACTCAAAGTATCCGTTAGCCGTAGCTTGTAATCCTGGAGCCAACGATGCTCAGAGATCTGCTGTCGGGACCTCATCCGTTGTTTTGCTGTGTCAGAAAGTCCGTCCAGAGGCGCACGCCATGTGCACTAAGGACAGCCCTGCATGATTCGTCTCATGTCGGAAATTTTCACCCGGGAGACTTCCTGAGTCACGTGCGGGTCCAAGTGCGATTGGCGCTGTGATGCGTCAGATGGGTCTGACCTTCATGCGAAGCCTCACCAGGTTTGGAAGCGCGAGTCCTGTGAGGCTGTGTCCGCAGAGCATGCAGGCATGTGAATGCAGAATGGGGAGTTTCAAGTTCGCAAAGTTTGAAATCACACCTGATTGGATGGTAACATGGGAGGCCTTGGTGCCTTCCTTCACCCTCCAGCAGCAACACGAAGGCCACCCGCGACGAGCATGTCGACACGAGCGCATTCACTACAGCAGTCCGACACAGTTGTTCGTTGCCGCCGCCCTGCACAGGGCTGACACGCAAGGGATCACCTCACGTGATGCCGCATGCCAGGCACAGTGTGTGTTTCAAGCAAGACGAGGGGAGCGTGGACACGACGAAGTGTGCCTGTGCAGCAGATCGTAGGTAGTTGGCACTGGGGTGTTTTGTTTGCCCGTCATTGGCAACCAGCATCTGTCGTGACCCAGGCTATTGTCCAGCAATGGGGCATTGCGTGCCAGGCAACTGACAGAAGATGCTGCCGGATTTCTTCAAGGATTTGCTTCCGTTGACTCTAGTTTGCAGGTTTTCAGTGTCCACTCGGGGAGCACATCGACAGATCGACGCATGGATCAAAAAAGGGAAGTGTGGCCGAGCAGCTACGTGATGTGCTCATGGTAAAGTCTCAGGAAGTGCTTCAGCACTGTGACGGCTGGGAGCCAAGCATGCCATACGCCGCGATGCCTTCTGTCGGGAGGCATGGGGGGCTGTTTCGCCCGAGGTTCGATATGGCCCTGACACGGACTACCAAGAATGCCTTAAAGAAAAGGCTGGCGGCTAGCGGAGTAGTTCTGCTGGACTCCTCGCAGCAAGCGTTCCTGGAAGGAAGAGGAAGCCATGAGATTAAGTTTTTTAGGCATGTTCCGATGTGAGCCTGGATGCATATACTCAGTTTTGATGTTTCCGTCACGGGCTACAGACCAGCATTTTCCACCAACGTAGTTCATGCCGCTGACCATATGTTTCTGACAAACCAGACATTGGCTAGGCGCACCACAAAACCCGCAGAGGTGCCATAGCGGGATGGTCAAGTGCAGTAGGAGAGGCACGGAGGCAGAGTAACACATGTGCGACGTCGGGTTATCAGTCGCTTCATTGCTCAGCTGCTGGAGTGGTCACAGCCACTGTTATGAATGGTGCTGGTATTTGCATACGAGCTTGGCATCTGAACTGGGCTACTCTTGCGACGGTCTTTCGACTGCTTTCTATTGTGCCCATACAGAAAACGGGGCAAAGGTTATCCGCTGCAGCACGTTAAGCTTTGCGTGTAGTGGGGAGCTTTGCTCTTTTCCGTGATTTTGTGTGTGCCTCAGCAACAGTGTTTGGTCGTTGCAGTGTTATTTCGTGGTTCTGCGGTCCGGTTTCAATAGGACATGCTTTATTGCAGCGCTGAGGCAATGGTTGCTGTTCAAGAACTCATTGTGATGTGGGAGGCATTGCTGGAATTCGATTGTTTCTGAGTTTACTGAAAGGACCATGACACACTCACATACCTGAAGGCGCGCGGCGGAAAGCCCGTCTTCCCTGTGCCTCAGGAGATGCCGACATAAACAGCCGTGGTACGTCGACTCTCACTGACTTCTTTAGGCAGTCGTGGGCACTGGCTCACGTCATGCAAGCACGTCTTCCGTTCAGGAGCCGGTTGCACTAGAGAAAGGCCGGGCGGAGGAGGAGGAGGAGGAGGAGGAGGCTGGACAGCTTGAGGTTAACTGCTACGTTCAGCTGTTCATCCAACAGCTGTACTTGTCCTTACTAAGCTCATCGGTCTGCCGCAGCTGTGCTCAGCCGTTCTGAGTCGACTCACACTGAGTTTTTTGTTGCAGGCAAAGGAAAGATCTGAGGAAGAGAAGCAGCCGCAAGAGGTGCACCACTACGTCGTGCCTGTGGATGGCCCTGCATTCATACCCATTCTTGCGACGTTGAGCGGTCATGTGGCCACTCTGTTCTGAGAAGCAGGCAGAGAAGTTCCCGGCAGAGGATGAGGCAGTCGTGGGCACTGGCTCACGTCATGCAAGTACGTCTTCATTTCTAGCTGCACAGACTTCCCTGCGCGGCGTAGGAGCCGGTTGCACTGGAGAAAGGCCGGGCGAAGGAGGAGGCTGGACAGCTTGAGGTTAACTGCTACGTTCAGCTTTTCATCCAACAGCTGCACTTGTCCTTACTAAGCTCATCGGTCTGCCGCAGCTGTGCTCAGCCGTTCTAAGTCGACTCACACTGAGTGTTTTGTTGCAGGCAAAGGAAAGATCTGAGGAAGAGAAGCAGCCGCAAGAGGTGCACCACTACGTCGTGCCTGTGGATGGCCCTGCATTCATTCCCATTCTTGCCACGTTGAGCGGTCATGTGGCCACTCTGTGCTGAGAAGCAGGCAGAGAAGCTGACCGAGAAGTTCCCGGCAGAGGATGAGGCAGTCGTGGGCACTGGCTCACGTCATGCAAGCACGTCTTCATTTTTCTAGATGCACAGACTTCCCTGCGCGGCGTAGGAGCCGGTTGCACTGGAGAAAGGCCGGGCGAAGGAGGAGGCTGGACAGCTTGAGGTTAACTGCTACGTTCAGCTTTTCATCCAACAGCTGCACCTGTCCTTCCTAAGCTCATCGGTCTGCCGCAGCTGTGCTCAGCCGTTCTAAGTCGACTCACACTGAGTTTTTTGTTGCAGGCAAAGGAAATATTTGAGGAAGAGAAGCAACCGCAAGAGGTGCACCACTACGTCGTGCCTGTGGATGGCCCTGCATTCCATTCATACCCATTCTGCCACGTTGAGCGGTCAAGTGGCCACTCTGTGCTGAGAAGCAGGCAGAGAAGCTGACCGAGAAGTTCCCGGCAGAGGATGAGGCAGTCGTGGGCACTGGCTCACGTCATGCAAGCACGTCTTCATTTCTAGATGCACAGACTTCCCTGCGCGGCGTAGGAGCCGGTTGCACTGGAGAAAGGCCGGGCGAAGGAGGAGGCTGGACAGCTTGAGGTTAACTGCTACGTTCAGCTTTTCATCCAACAGCTGCACCTGTCCTTACTAAGCTCATCGGTCTGCCGCAGCTGTGCTCAGCCGTTCTAAGTCAACTCACACTGAGTTTTTTGTTGCAGGCAAAGGAAATATTTGAGGAAGAGAAGCAGCCGCAAGAGGTGCACCACTACGTCGTGCCTGTGGATGGCCCTGCATTCATACCCATTCTGCCACGTTGAGCGGTCAAGTGGCCACTCTGTGCTGAGAAGCAGGCAGAGAAGCTGACCGAGAAGTTCCCGGCAGAGGAGGGGGCAGTCGTGGGCACTGGCTCACGTCATGCAAGCACGTCTTCATTTCTAGATGCATAGACTTGCCTGTGCGGTTTAGGAGCCGGTTGCGGTGGCGAAAGGCCAGGCGGAAGAGGAGGCTGGATAGCTTGAGGTTAACTGCTGCCCTAGCTTTTCATCCAACAGTCCAACAGCTCGACCTGTCCTTAAAGAAGCTCTCATCTGTCATGTTTGGTATGCGAGGGAAACGCCGCATGAGCTTGGAGCATTGCTACCTGAGTTTCCTGTGATTGCTGAAGCGGGTGGGTTGTGGTGTAGAGGGCGGGTTTCGGAAGGGTCTTTTGTGCAAAGGGTGGGAAGCGGGAGGGTCGGGTCGGCAGGAAGAGGCATCACAAACAAGTGATCTTGTGTTCGAGCAAATTAAGCACACTGTGAGCAGAAGAGACGGGTACCGTCTTGTCACGTGCGTCATGGTGGCGTATCTTCCAAAGGCCGACGAGCCCGGTGCTGGGCAAGCAGAGGCTGTGGCAGCGGGTCCGCAGGCGCGGTACGATCTCGAAACAGCTTGTGGGGGCCCGTGCCCGAACCGTACACATGCGGTCGGATATCTCACGTGTCAGGCTCTGGCCTGCATCTTGGACCCAAAAGGTCCCCTGTGCACACATGCATGGGTGGACGGCGGGGTCAGACGACGCTGCAAGAACCTGAGCTTGTGCTTTTTGATGCATGCTCTTGGCATTTTCTGATCTTTGCCCGTCAGGGGCGGAGCTGGTTGAGCCGGTGCAGGTGCCCCTGCTCGTGCGGCTTTCTGGTCCATTGATCCGTCCGTGTTCTCGCAGGCAGAGCGCTTCATGGACTGGTGGGCGAACATGCGGCATTCTCAGCTTTTGGATCACTTGAGCGTGCAAGCATCCACGGAAGGGAATCTGTGTTGGCGAGGCGGGCTCCAGCCATGAGTGCATGCCCTCACATGAACAGCGGAATGGTGAAAACGAAAGTAACACGTAGGCAAGCTATGTTATGGCGTTGTTTTTTTGTGTTTTGGTTTCTTGTTGCTTCTGTACCGAACCGTTCAAGGTTTGGATGTGTTTTGCTGAGTTGTCTGCATTTTTGGTTTTAGTCACATGTTGAACTTATTGAACTTTCCCGATATCTAAGTGTATGAGAATCTCGAAGAATGGAACATTGTGCGGCTTGGAGGCTTGGGCGTTCAAGCCCAGGGGCGACATCTTTGGACATCCAGGTGGATCAACGCTTTTGCGATAAAGAAATGCCGGCTCATCATTCACCTTCGAGCGTTTTCATTCCAAGACATTCCAAACTGGCCGTAATCATTCGTAATCATTCCTCAGCTGTCACAAGTACCGCGTTGTTTAATGCAGGGGTTCCTCTTGATAAATCAATGCTCCGGCCGGGTTCGCCTTCCCTCCGCATACACGGTGGAATCCCAAGCCTAGCTACTCGATTTATTTGATGGGGCGTGCTGCAGTCTGGAGTTATTGATTTGTTCGTTGTTACGTGATGTTTATTGGGGCTTCTTGATGTTCGTGCCGAAAAGGGGGTCAGAGGTGATAAGATAATTTCTATGGCTATTCCGATTCCATGCCGCTTTTCATTCCGCATTGTGCCAGACATGAGCCCTCAAGTTCTGTCGACTCCATGTTGTATTTGCCGTGTTCCATACTGTATCTTTCCAACACGAGACCACTCGAACCGTCGCGCTTGTATCTACATCATGCTACATCCACCTTTGAGGCCGCTTCATGTTGAACCTTTCCCACATGAGTCTGCTTGCTGGACGACGGGTCATCCTTCCCACACAAGCCTTCTTGTCACGTTGCACGCGTTTCTTGACAGCCATGCGGGGTGCAGCAATGGTGTCGCGGCCGTTTCCAGGTCCGGCGTGACCAAACGGGAGCAACCAATAGCAATTAAGAGTTCTCTGACGTTCGTCACATCCGTTTCCATCCCTGTTTCTATTGCTGTGAGCAGCTCCTTGTTGCAATCGCGATGGTGCACTTAATGCATGGCTATGCTTGGCAACGGACATGTCCTTTTGAGAAATGAAGTTTGGCAACCAACATCCTCTCCTAGGATTTAGGGTTTGCCAACCCATATCCCTTTAGGTCAAGGCTTGGGTCTTGAAATCTAATCCGGAAACCGGCAGATGCATGAAGGAGACTTGGCTTCAGACTGTGCTTACTTCTTTGGAAGTTGTTTCATGCATGACATAGTAACGACACTGACATGAGCGCTGCATGGCTTTAGGAGAAATCCCACACTACGAGTTTGAGCATAAGGTTTGACCAGAGTTGCAAAAGGTATGTTTACCCCGAAAGCGTAGACTTGCGACGTAACGGCCCGGCAACCGTTGGAGTGGCTTGTAGGATGTTTTTTTTGGGAAGCGAAGTGATTTGAAAGTAGTGTGACAAAGTGAATTGGATTTCCCTGTGCCAGGGAAAAGTGATTTTGAACGTGATCTGGACCGTTCGCACAAGTGATACTAGTAGTAGTCTTCGACAAGTGATTTGGCTGCTCGAAAAAGTGAGTTCAAAGTAATCCGAAATATTGGCAGAAGCGATTCCGAAAGGTGATTGCACTTAGCGATCACGTTTCCAAGCCACGAGTCACTTGAGAATCGCTTTCCGGACCCCATCATGACTTTGACATCACTTTTCCAATTTTTCTGTCCCGGCCATGCAAATCACTTTTCCAAAGGAGTGCTGGGCCTGCTCGGCCATGTCTAGCAGCGACTTACAAGTTTGTAGTCCCTGGCTGTTGTTACGGGCTGCGCAAATCCCGCTAGCTGCAGAACCAATCACTTAGAAATCGATGTTGCGCGTCCGTGCTTTGAAATCACTCTTCCGCTCGCCAAATCACTTTGAGAGCGCCTTTCCCACTTTGAATTGAGTTTCTTTCTGAAAGCATTGTTTCGGGCATGGCCGATTACTTCGTTTGCGCCAGTGCCGCAACATCACTCATGGATCATATTGAAATCACTTTTTCGACCCGTGGCCGATTTCACTCCTTGCTCAGCTGGCGATCAGGAACTGGTTCCGGACCCGGACTTGGCAGATCCGGCCAACAGGTTTTTTTATCGAAAGATACAAGACGTGCAGAAGACCAGGAATTACAAACAAAGTATCTAGAAAAAGAAGACGAAGAAGTCAAGAGGAAGGGCTTGCAATTTGTCATGCAGGGAGCTCAAGCAAATAAGAAAAAAGCCAAACAAGAAGCAAGGAAGAAATATGTTGCTTTCTGTCCCTGTTCCTAACTGTTCTTTCTTCTTTATTTGTTTGTTGGTCTCACGAGTGAATAGAAAGGTTTAAGCATGTGTACGTCCCCGCGTCCCTTCTTCAAACAGCAAGAATGAAGACGAAGAACACATGGAAGAACATAGGGACGGGAGGAGTAGCTCCCTCATTCCTTTTGGATGCATTTTCTTTTTCCCGTCCTCCTTGTCAGTTCGTGTGACTTTTCTTTGTCATTGGGGAGGAAAAATACGGAAGAGGAGAGAAAGAGAGGCAGCAACACACACGTGAGAGCACAACAGTGCTTTGTTGTTCCAGCTTGTAGTCAAGATGAGCCAGGAAGCACATTATTTATTCGTATTCGAGTAGCGAGTAGCAAGTCGATCATCTCACCGAAAACACTCACAACCTTAGGAGCTTGCACCGTGCTTGCCCTGAAGATCCCTCAATAGTCCCTCAAGCCTAGCATCAGATTTTGCTGATTGCGCTGTTCAATGCCAGTTGAGGCCTAATCCGCGCACATTGAGAGGTGCACCCAGTGTGAAGGCCACGGCGGTTGCTGCACTGTCACGTGCGTGGGCGCTTGTGGTCAGCCGGTTCCATTCCAAAGCCGGACAGACTTGAATTCTGTGATCTGCAGCCTGTTGTTCACCAGCCCAAGCAAGAAGATCACGAAGTTTACAGATGTTACGGTAGTAGCGGTGCATGAGCTCAAAATGAAAAGGCATCATCAGCCAACCATTGGCGTTTCTTGCCATGCCACAAAAACTGCAGCCTATGGATGAGGCAGTGTGGTTCGGGCAGCGCCTCTCCGGCAACCCAGCCCGGAATGAAGCCATAACCATCGACTACATCAAATACAACATGCTGTTCATCGCCGTGTTGCACATCTCGAATTGGCAGACATCTTACGAGGGGGAGCCTAAAGCCAATCACAAGGAAGCGGCACACTCGGCCGCCGAGAAATTCCACGAGGATGCCTCCGTGCAGAACCAGATCAAGAAGCTGCGCGCTGAGGAAAGCAAAAGTGAAGCCAAGAAACGCACCTTCCTGCGCAAGGTGGGTGGTAGGGCAAAAAAGCCCAGACCTTGATTGATGGGATGAGACGTTGACCGTGGGTCTCGCGCCTTCCATGAGCGCCAAGTCGCTGGATTGACGCGCAGTGCGGCATCGGAGCACTCGAGAAACATTGCAACTGACACCTGCTTTGCGTTTGCTTCCGGTTGTGCAGCTTCATGTCACGTTTCGGGAAAATAATGCTGTCAGGTGGAAAGTACTCTGTTCTCACGAGGCCGTGGTCTAGCGCGCTTGTCCTTACGGGGGCAAGCGACCTGGACTTACGCAAATTGTTTAATTACATTGTACATGTCGCCCAGTGCTGCACCTGGTGGGTCCGGTATCCGAGTCTGTACCTGGCAGGCCGACAAAACGCAAAGCGCTCCGCACCGGGCACGTTGGATCCTCAGACACCTATCAAACCTATGCTTGTGCAAGTGCGTGCAACAACGGTGCTTGTGCATTATTGGCATCACGTGCTGGCATTGGGTTGAGGCCGCTGGGTGCCGAAAGAAGCCAAGGCCGCCTGTGTGAAATTGCTTTGCATCGGCAGTCTTCTTTCTTCCAGTTTGCACGTCCAAGCATTGGCAATCATTCCGCATCGTTAAGAAGGATGAGGACTGGTGTCCAGGGTGTAGACGTCAGGACTCGGGGTTTAGTGGAGATGATCCGATCAGGCCGTGGAGGAGGCATACGGAAGCAGCTTGGCCAGCACGAAGCTTCCGAAGCCGTGGAACTGCAGTTTCTGAAATATACAGCCCTGCATCCCCCAGAGCCCCCTTAATGTCTTTCCAGCCGGTCGCTGCATGTACTCATTCCTCTCATCATTCAAGGCTGTTCATCTACTATTCACTTAGTCACTCACCCACTCATTTTGCTATCCTCTTGCTCGCGCACTCGCTCATTTAATCGCCCAATTCGCTGTCTTTCTCATGCGGTCACTTTCGCACACACACACACACACACAAGACCATTCCACCAATCAGTCCATTCGCGAGCTCACGGGTAAATCTCTCCATCCTCCCTGCATTTGTTCATCCTTCCGTGCATGCAGCCATTTACCGGTTCGCTTTTCCAAATATCCACTCCTTCACACTAATTTGCTCACTTCCTCACATTGCTGAGTTACCAAAAAGATCAGTGCACGCAGGTGCGCAGGCCACCTGCTCCATTCATTCCCGCTCACCGTCTTGATCCTTCGTGGAACTTAACTTGTTTCTGCTTTAGTGTTTCGACACGCTTTGCCAAGGCGTTCAGCGCGAGAGAATGGAGCATGAGACCGAGCGCCAGTATCATGCCAGCGAAAGTTGGTGGGTCGCTACTGGTGTTGTTACTGGTCTGCGACACTACAACCACATGGCGCCCTCTCTACGACAATATGACAAAGTTGGGCTGTTGCATGCCGAGGCCTTGGCCATTGGAGTGCACTGTGTTCTTCTCAAATGCAGCGTGCCCGAAGCCAAACTCTTTTTTTTCATATGTTAGCTCGTGGGCACGGAGGTACAGAACGACTGCTCGGCCGACATGTTGAATCTCCTGTGCCATGTGGCTCACGTGCAAGCATGCAATGTTGAAGCACCTGGATTGGCTCATGTCAGGCAACATGCTTGCGCCAGCTGTTCGCCAGAGTTGGCGAAGTCCAGTGCGTTGAGTGTTCGGTCTGCATTGGACACCAGATTGAATTGCAAACACACCTGCTGCTTGCGAGGTTGTACAAATCGTCCCGTTTGGCCCCTATTTGCTGTTTGCAATCGCCGTGTGCGTTTGGTGTCCCGCCATGGCGAATGGCCTCGTCCAGGTGGCAACTTCATCGGCGCAGGTGTTGTTACATTCTTGTCCCCCAGCAGCGCAAGCCGCGCCGTCGTGCACTTAACTTGCCACTGTGTCATCTTTTGCCACAGATGATGCCGGCCAAGCGATTGCAGGTTACTGAGCTGGACGGGTCTGACGTGCATGGTAGACCCATTCGGGTGAAGCCGAATGAGCGTTGGGTGCTTAGGTATCTGATTTCTGTGCACACTTTGCAATCAATGTCAGCCCGTTCCAAGGTCGTTTGCGTGGCCAGGGCCGACGGAACCACGTGGAGACCACCAAAGCCAAAGCAAAGAGATGAGTCCGGGAGTGCTGTGTACAACCGGGTATGGAAAAGTATAGCTGCGGGTGCAAGGCATCCGAGGAAGAGACAATCTCGCTGTCGCAGACTTTCCGTTTGACAGATGCGGCAGACTTTCCGTTCAAGCGATGGGGGCTGGCTCAGCCACTGCTTCATCGCTGCAGAATGCAAAATCTGCGTTCTCAGGAGCCATCAGTCATGAAGGAGCATGCGCAGACCCACGCAGTTTCCAAGTGGCAGCTTTCGCAAAGAAGTTGAGTGACCAGCTTTGAGCTCTTTGGGGCATGACTTGTCTGAGCCGCATTGTCACCTGGATGTGCACGCAGCGCGTAGTGCTCAAGTAATCACGGACGCATGGCCAAGGACCTAACAACCATGCTACAGATGCTGCCAAGAACGAACAACATACGTCCCACATCGTGCGTTTCCAGATGTCTGTACATATGTAAGTATACTGACGCACTTTGACGGTCGCGCAAGAAAGACGTAAAAGACATGTTGATTGCTCCGAGCAGGCATGTGAGCTTTCTTTGCAGCCCTCTGAAGCCTGTTGGACTTCAAATTTAACGGTCGTAAACTTAAAGTATCCGTCAGCCGTAGCTTGTAATCCTGGAGCCAACGATGCTCAGAGATCTGCTGTCGGGACCTCATCCGTTGTGTTTTGCTGTGTCAGAAAGTCCGTCCAGAGGCGCACGCCATGTACACTAAGGACAGCCCTGCATGATTCGTCTCATGTCGGAAATTTTCACCCGGGAGACTTCCTGAGTCACGTGCGGGTCCAAGTGCGATTGGCGCTGTGATGCGTCAGATGGGTCTGACCTTCATGCGAAGCCTCACCAGGTTTGGAAGCGCGAGTCCTGTGAGGCTGTGTCCGCAGAGCATGCAGGCATGTGAATGCAGAATGGGGAGTTTCAAGTTCGCAAAGTTTGAAATCACACCTGATTGGATGGTAACATGGGAGGCCTTGGTGCCTTCCTTCACCCTCCAGCAGCAACACGAAGGCCACCCGCGACGAGCATGTCGACACGAGCGCATTCACTACAGCAGTCCGACACAGTTGTTCGTTGCCGCCGCCCTGCACAGGGCTGACACGCAAGGGATCACCTCACGTGATGCCGCATGCCAGGCACAGTGTGTGTTTCAAGCAAGACGAGGGGAGCGTGGACACGACGAAGTGTGCCTGTGCAGCAGATCGTAGGTAGTTGGCACTGGGGTGTTTTGTTTGCCCGTCATTGGCAACAGCATCTGTCGTGACCCAGGCTATTGTCCAGCAATGGGGCATTGCGTGCCAGGCAACTGACAGAAGATGCTGCCGGATTTCTTCAAGGATTTGCTTCCGTTGACTCTAGTTTGCAGGTTTTCAGTGTCCACTCGGGGAGCACATCGACAGATCGACACATGGATCAAAGAAGGGAAGTGTGACCGAGCAGCTACGTGATGTGCTCATGGTAGAGTTTCAGGAAGTGCTTCAGCACTGTGACGGCTGCGAGCCAAGCATGCCATACGCCGCGATGCCTTCTGTCGGGAGGCATGGGGGGCTGTTTCGCCCGAGGTTCGATATGGCCCTGACACGGACTACCAAGAATGCCTTAAAGAAAAGGCTGGCGGCTAGCGGAGTAGTTCTGCTGGACTCCTCGCAGCAAGCGTTCCTGGAAGGAAGAGGAGCCCGAAAAGAAGTGCGAACTCAAGATGCTGCAAGACATGCATGGGCCCTAAAGCCTGGGGGGGTCTGAAGTGGTTTAGTATCCTCGTGTTTGGCTTCAGCATGTCGACATGCTTGGACAGAAAGATCGGCACCGGCGGGTGGCGATACTTCGGGGGCGAAGACCATCCCATCGTCAAGAAGGCAAGGCACTGCAAGTCTGTTGACCATTAGAGAATTACGCCAGAGTGCCTTTTGGATCCTCCGTCCGTCTTTTGGATGAGAGATTCCAGGTGAAGGGTGTCGCGGAGGCAGCGGGCGTGAAGAAAGGCCGACGCAAGAGAAGAGATGGGCTTGGCCCCGTGCGAGACACTATGATTTTGTAGGCTACGAGCTCATCTCCATCGATGGTAACCAGGCTGGGCACCGGGAACAAAGATGGAAGTTTGAGGCAACTACGGCCTCAAATCGAAGACGGTCGCATCCACAGGGGCTGGGTCCTCGCTATGCACCCGGGGGTTTGGCACAGGCGGACTGGCGGGAGAAGGGCTTCAAGGCACCACTCTGTCTTGTAGGCCTGGCAGTACACGACTGTGCCTGACTTCGGAGGAGTACGTGAAGAACTTGAACTGGGACGTCCCGTCCGGGTTCCCGGCGAGAGCGAAGCGCAGTCCACATCTTCCGACGTCACTTCCGACAGTGTCGCAGATCGCTTCTTTTTTCTTGGAGGCCGCCGGGGCAGCCCGTTGAGTGCGAGCCCGGCGATGGCACGGGGCAGAGCAGAGCAAAGCAGAGCAGGGCTTGTTGCGACGCGTGCGGCGGCCGAGGCTGCAAGAAGCCCTGCCCTCCGCCTCCGCCGCCCCCGGTGCTCCCGCGCTCCTTGGCTTGGACGTTGCAGGATTTGCAGGGCCGCAGGGGCCCAGTACCTGTGGTGTTTCCTGTTTCCTGTCTCTGGTTCTGGGCTTTTCAGGTTTCGGCCCCTTCGGGCGCTTTCCTTTCTCCTTTCAGCAGCTGCCGAACGTCGAGGCCCAGCTCAGAGCGGGAAGAGGGAGCCCCGCACATTGCATGTTGCAAAGAGGAGGCCCCGGCCAACAAGACGTGCTACCCCAACGGCCTGCGCCTTTGTGCCTGTCTCCTTCCACACGCCACACGCATCCACACGCATCCACACGCAATCTCGCTGTCTGCAGGCCACTCCTTGACCTTCAAGGTCACGGCACCCCCGTGGATGTTCTGGGCTTGGAGCCTCAAAGGGCTCCACTCCAGCTCACGGGGATGCGAGTCGTCAGAAACTCTGTCAGTGCCTGCCTGTGTGTGTTTTCACAGAGGCGCAGACAAAGACCACCTGTCGTTCGAATCTCGGAGTGCTCGGAGCGCACAGATGATTGGATTTCTGGAGCTTTCTCCTGCCCGTTGAGGTGCCTTCCGGGAGACCTGCTGCGCGGAGGCATCCACCAGGCTCGGCGGTCGCATCTTGCGGCGGACGAGAGCGGATGGAGTCGAAGCAGCCGCCTTGGAGGCGGAAGCCGGAGGATGCCCATGCCCACGGCTGTAGCGAAGCGTCAGGGCGTCAGGTTTCCGCTTCGTCCGTTGCGTGGACGGCGTGAGGACATCTTCGCGGAGAGCTGCGCGACGAAGGAGGCCTCCGGCGGGAGCCGCGCAAAGCCTCCGATCTTTCGCGGTCCGAGCGCGCCGAGCGCATCCTGGCAGATGTGCAAGCCTCAAGAGACCTGCGACCAGATGGAGGGCAGACCGGGCATCTGCAAGTACCAGGCGGGGCGGCCCCCCCCGGGGCTCTGGGCGCTCTCCTCCGCTCCTGACGTCCATCTTCGCGCAGGTGCTGGAGCTGAACGGCGACTACGACGACAAGCAGGAGAACGAAGACAAGCAGGCAGCCGCGAAGAAGGGAAGGGAGGGGAAGGGAAGGGCGCGCGCCTGGCCCGTGCCTTGCGCGTTTCGGTTTTTCAGGAGGAGGCCATGAAGCAGGCCGAGGAGCAGGCGCTCTCAAGAAAACCCTCCTTTTTTCCTTCTGAGAGAGCTGAGAGGGCGGTGGTGGTGCGGTTTGTCGTCCTCTCTCCCTTTGGGCTCGGCGCTGCGCCAGGAGCAGAGTCAGGAGCGCGAGGAAGAGAGGCAGGAGGCCGAGGACGCCGGCGAGGAGCCCGGGCCGGAGGAGCAGTCCCAGTCCGACCTGAGCCAGCAGCAAGGCCAAGGCGAAGGCCACGATGAGCCAGGCAAGGAGGAAGGGCAGGAGCAAGGATACGGAGAAGAAGACGGGCAAGGACACCAGCAAGGCAACAGGCAACATGGGCAGGCAAACGAGGATCGTTCCGGCGGGGGCAGCTTCCTGTGCCATGACCTCAGTGCTGTTGCCATGAAGGCATCGGAAGCTTCGACTCGCTCTGGCTTTCGGGTGCAGGACGGGCTCTCCGTGCAACATGTGGGCAAAGCATCCACGCAGAGACCGAAAAAGGGCTCCGTCCCCATCCCCCCCACCCCGAAGTTTTTTGTATGACGGCTGCCGGACGAAGAGCAGAGAGCCGCAGAGCAACACAGGCGAGAGCAACGAGGCCATTCTCTTCCTGGCCGCTGCCATCCTGTCTCAAGCGTATACGTAGGAGGGAGGTTTTTCGCCTCTCCTGGCCTCGCGTGGAAAGAGCCCCTTGACCTGGAACATCACGAGGAAACTTGCGAGACTCCGTCGCGGATCGTCGCATCGCGTCTGGCGTCTCAGGTGCTGCGCAGCAGCCGCGAGGCCCTTGAGTAGCGCACAGCGCGCCCGGACCCCGCAGAAGGCAGAAGGCAGAGCCACGGCAGAGCGGAGAGCGGAGAGCGGTGCTTGGGGGGGCGCTCCTGTGCTCCTGTGCTCTCTGCTCCGAGGTGCGCGGGCGCGGGGGACGTTTGTCGAGGCAGCACAGGAGCGGTTTCGCCCGCCATCGAGGCACCGGGCCCCCCCGGGCCCCCCCGGGCTCGGGCGCTCCCTTCAAAGCACGGCTTCCCGGCGTGGGTCAGGTGAGCTGCAGGGGCAAGTGACGCGGCACGGCGGAGCGGCTTTTTGCTTTATGTCCTGCTTCTTTTGCTCTCTTCCGGATACGATGTGGCGATGTGATTGAAGTCTTGTTTCCAAGAGGACGATGGGAAGATGTGGGGCCCTTTGGCCTCCTCTGACCAGAACGGCCCCGGTCGGCCGAGCTAAAGTTGAGTTTGGGGGATCGTCTCTGCTACGATTCCGTCCGCTGCTCGCCGCTCGCCCGAGCGCCAGGCGTCTTTTGTCCTGTGGCTTCCAGCGGCCTTGCTGCTCTCGCTGCAGGATCACCGCTTGTGGACAAGGGCCGCGCAATCAAGCAGCAAGCATGAAGTGCCAGGAGCAGGTGACCGCCATCGGGACGGGCATAGCTCCCGAACGCGTTAGCTCGCTGGCAGGCAACCGGAGTGTCAGAGTGAAAGAAGCCAACCGCTGTGCTTGTCACATGCGTGAGGCGAGATCACCCTCTACCTGCCGGCTCCAGCAGAAGCCCTCGAGCCCTTCGGCTGCAAGTGAAAGAACTCATGCGTGTTTTTCGTTGTGGCAGACATGGCAGACTCCGTCAGGTGCGAGCTCTTCCGAGACAGCGGTGTCGGGGACGAGCCTCGCTTCGAGGCGATCGCAGAAGGCTCGGAGCTCGGAGCTGCTTTTTGTGTCGCGGCTCCCAGGTCTACCGGGGAGACTGCGAGGTGGCCGTGCGAGTGGATGGCCCGGGGCCCCGAAACCCGGCCCAGCGGCCGCTTCGCTCTCTTGCGCCATCTTGCGCCGCTCTCTTGCGCCGCTTCGCGAGGCCTCCTCGTGGACCGCAACTACCAATTCCAGGCTCGCGGCATCAACGCGCCTCGGCTCTTGCGCAGTGGCCTCTCTTCTCTTCTTCTTCTTCTTCCTTTGTTGCGTTCCTTGATCCCATAGCGCACGGCTGGCGCTCCTTTATCGCCGAGCGAGGCTATGTTCTGCGAGGCTTTGTAGTTATAGCAAACGTTCACGAGCTGGCGCCAGCCGCACGCAGCCAACATCCTTCGGCCGGAAGAAAGTCGGGGAGAAGTTGATGTGCGCAGGAGAAAGGAAGTTTTGCTCACCCGCTCCTTTCTCCCTTTTGGCTCGGCACTCCGAGGCTGCCGGCTTGGCGGGCGGCAGGAGCGAGATCGTGAACTACGCCCGGCACCGAGGGGACGAGCCGAGAGCCGCCGCGTCGCTGCCGGGCGGCGGTCGCCCTGTTTGTTGCAGCTGCTCCGACTGCTCCAGTAGCTTTTGTAGCTCTGCTGCACCTTCGGCCTTGGCCGCCGCAGCCTCCCCGCCTTGCTCAAGAGCTTGATTCTCTCAGAAAATGGGCGCGGGCGGGGGCTGCTTGCATGGGCACGTGCAGGTGAGGGCGACGGCGGATCCACACTGGCAAGCGGTGCAAGTTCCGACTCACACTCACGTGGAAGTGCGGACTCATGCGCCCTGCTCGCCCGTGAGCCCGGTGATCCCGCTAAGCTGCCCTCCGCCGGTGCAGAAGTGGGACGCTGGCATCTCGGCAGAGGAGCGGATTCGGATCCAGCAGTGGGCAGCGCAGGTGAGCTCGCAGGTGGGTTGCACAGTCTCACCCTCAATGTATTGGACTTGCCACTCGATGGACATGAATGTGTTGACCGGCTTGTCTTCGGCGGACCGGTGGCGCATGCAGCAGTTTCTCTCGGGACACTGCGGGCACTGCATTTCAAGGGTCGACGCTTGGCAGCGAGAGAGTCGTGGTGTCTACTGTGGCGACCTTGCTAGTGCTGCTAGTTCTCGTTCGTTCAGCTTAGCCGGAAGGCTCTGCCAGGCTATAGGAACTTCTTCTCGGCTCACCGAGGATGTGTCGGTGCCAGTACCAGTGAAGGTCCCAGTCCCAGTGGAATCTCGGCACAACGTCGGTTACCGTCGAGCGGATTTGGTACGGTGTCAGCTCTGTGAAACCAGGCTGTCAGCACTGTGTCGTTTCCGCCGCCGCCGATATGGACTTCTTCAGCCCCTTGCACCAATGAGCAAAGCGATCCGAGCGCTTGAAGTTTTAAGTGCTTGAACGCCGGCTATCCCTATCTTCAATCTCGCAGGTTGGATCCTGGACAACCTGCACGATTCCCGTGGCCACGGCGGCTTTGCAGCAAGGAGGTGCCCATATTTCAGCTGTGCACTGGTCTCTGCTTTCCCCCCCAAGGAGACTCCCCTGCCACCGCCAGCCGATCCGCCACCAAGCTGCGCCGCAGCGCCGCAGGCAGTGGAGGGTTCCTCGTAGCAGAGTGCCTTGACCTTGTGGCGACGTACAGGTGCCTTTCTTCCAGAAGTTGCACTTGCTTCAGTCCCAAGTGTCTGCGCTCAACAATGCCATTGGCTGGGAACTCGTCACCCAAGAGGACATGGCCATCGTTTCCAGACATTGTGGCGAGGTGGATCAACATGCAATGGCGGCGGTTTTGCAACTGAAGCGCTCCAAGTGGCAAATGAGTTTGGGCGAGGTGCAAGAAACCACCGAGAAAAGGGCGACGGGCTTCGTCCAATATCGGCCTGAAGCGCGTCACTGGCTTGCATACCGGCGTTGGGACCGTGCCGTTTGGCGGCTGGATGCTTTGAAAGACGCTCCCGAACAAATCTCTGAGGAGCAGCTGCGACAGGAGCTGGCACCCTACAAGAAGAGCACTTTCTGCATCTGTGAGATCGCGTGATCTTTGTGGCTAGCGCCACTAGTGTTCCAATACACCGCTTGTGAAGCCGGGCACCTCCGTTTAGTTAGGATTTTCCTGCTTTTGCAAACTGCTGTTATTCCCGAATGGGATGTGCCAGAGACCAACCCTGCCGTGGATGTTGCCTCTCAAGGAGGCATTTTTCTGGCAGTTCGGTTGTCCTGGCGCTGTGCCCCGACAACTTTAACCTGTTACTGCAAGCGGGCGATTGCGTCTGCTTTGCACGGTGGGAAAAGTCTCTACTGGCTGCCCCGAAATGTCTTCTTTGTTCGGCTGCCCGATGTGCCCAGATCAGCGCCGGTGTTCCGGAATGGCAAGGGCTGACTCCAACACTGGAGAAGGCCATGCATGGTATGGACCATGCCTTGGACAGATTCCAGCTTACCCATGTGCAGGTCGGTGCAGAGAACATCCGGCTGGGTTGGCCTGTGCCCTTGAGCGGTGGCTCGCCGATTCTGGGCTATCATGTCGATATGGAGGCCCTGCAGCCCTGCAGCCCGTGCTCGGGTGAGCCTAGCGCTTTCCGAAGTTTCTGTGCCGAGCTTTGAAAAGGCCAACGGGGACGGGAGCTGGGAGAGGATCTACGATGGTCCGGAGCTTGTCGAAGCGAGGGCACCCGTGCAAGTTGGTTGTTGGGGCTTGATGAGGCACCAACCAGCCCTCCAAGCTCACCTTCACCGCTCTGGGGCTACATGCCTCCCTGACGCGCGGGGCCCCAGCTGACTTCTGGCTTCGACTCGCCAGGGGGACGTCGGCTCTTGCGCTCATTTCCTTGCTGCAAGTCTGCAGGTACAACTTCCGGGTCTTTGCGGAGAACCGGGTGGGTCTGCGGCCTCAGCAGTCCGAAGATGTCGAAGGATGATATACCTGCAGCCTGGTGAAAGGCTTCAGCAGCTACACGGAAGCCTCCGTAAGGCCATGGGAGGGGATGGCTTGGAGTGGCGCTGAGGGAGCTTGCCCCGTGTTTCGCCAGGATATCGGACCTGATGGCGGCGCACGAGGCGAGGCCAGAGAGCATCCCGGTGTCGCTCAGCACCGGCCTCGGCACTCGTAGTGGCATTTAGCAGGGCTTTGGCTTCCCTTGATGCCTCATTGACTCATGCTCGAGTCTGGAGTCAGGTGCAGACGTCGAGCCGCATCCCCAGACTCAGAGCCGGCAACCAGCTCGCTTGCCCGCTTTCTGCTGTGCAGCTGCCTGTCAAGCAGGTACACAGCAAGAATTCGGTCGGTAGACCCAGTGACGCAGCTTGACGAGTCAGCCGAGCACTCGAAAGAAAAAAGGGTTCGGCATTGGGACAGCTTGTGAACAGACGTCGCTTCGTCTCAGGTCGGCGGCCGTCGCTTCGTCTTGTCTCTGCACGACGTCTGCGAGTTGGACTCCACTGGAACGGTGGGGGCCGCACCGAGGGCCAGGGAGCCCCGAGCCAGAGCAAAAAACCGTCGAGAGCACCAAAAACCTTGCTCCAACCGCTCAGATCTGTGTGCGAGTGGCGGCACCGCACCCGGACTACTCACCGGACGTGCTCGGGGAGCCGGGAGCCCCAGAGATTTTTGGAGCCGCGCAGAGACGGGACGAGCGGACCCAGCTCGTTGCCGCTTCTCTGAGGCCCATCTGCTGCATCCACTCCCTGGACCAGAGCACAGGGCTCTACCGTTTCCCTTACACGCTCCGCAAGGCGCCATAGTGCATAGTGCTGCGTGATCTGTTTCTTTTTGGGGGGGTGGTTCCTCCTTGATCTCCTCTCGCCGTGCAATGGAAGTGGAGGCCGGGAAGTACTCCTTGCTGGTGCAAGCCATCGAGCCGGGCGGCCTGCTGGGACAGCCCGGACCTGACTGCCCCGCTCTGCGCAGTTCTGTTGGGGACCTGTCTCTTTCCTTTCCTTTCCTCTCCCTTCCAAGGTATTGGGACAACCAGTGGCTCTACGGCATGCCGGTGGTCACACGCCAGGACCGGTCCTACGCAGCCATGCTGCTAAGAGGCCTCGATGAGCCACTTTGAAAGCTGTGAGGATCCGGAGATCCGCCGAGAGCCCAGTAGATGCGGGATGTGCTCCGTTCGTGACCCTACCGCCGCAGATCTGGCTTGAAGCTTCTCAGGTCTTTGGCATGCTCTTCAGTTCAGGTTAATACTCTAATACTCGTGTGTTGCTTCCTGCTTCAATGAAGCCGCCAAGTCATAGAGTAGCAGTGAAGTGGACGGAGATGCCGTTGTCTGTAAGAAATCAAATCACTGTCTAGCGCAGAGCCGCTCGGCTGTGACGCCCGATGTCGAAAGAGCTCCTTGGCTGCAACATTCGCGCAGACAAGCATTGAGCTGCTTGTGGTTGGGCCCCTTGCGCGATCTTTGAGGGAGTTCTCCTTGGGCGTCACGCAGCTCCTCGACGACCTTCTTGGCAAGGAGGCACTTTCGAATCCCGGTGAAGATAGACGAAGCTCGCGGGCCCAAATCGCACCAAAATACCCCTGAGCCTGGGCGGCTGGGCGGTGATGTGTGTGATCCCCTTGCTGGAAAGGCCCAGGCCGACGCGTCGCCCAAGCGGGAGACGGAGGCGCAGTTGGGCGGAGCGAAGAGCCCAAGAGCCCAAGAGCCCCGGCCCGCCGACTTTTCAGAGGCAGAGCAGAGCCGTAGAGCCTCGCCTCTGGCAGGAGGCCATGCGCCGCAGCTTCCAAAAGGCCCAGGAGTTCTGCGAGGAGGCTCCAACCCTGGAGGGTCACTTCGGGCGCGCTTTGGCCTTGGGATTGGTTGTAGCTCGCAGGCACAGAAATACATGGACCTCGTCGCCCAGGAGGAGGCCGAAGCCAGGAGGTGCGGGACATCGCGGGAGCTTCCCGACGCGTACAGCATGGACAGCATGGACGCGGCGGCTGCCAGGGAGACGGATCTCAAGAGGAAGAAGGCGGAAAGGCCGGGCCGGAAGCTGCATGTTGCGCCTTTACTCCCTCGTGAAGATGCGGTGTGAGCCGGGCGGGGTAGGCGGTGGGAGATGTCGGACACAGCCGACTCCCAGATGTTTGTCAGCTCTGATGGCTTCGAGGCCGGATCACCCAGCCAAAGAGAGAGCTGCTGTCGCCTTCCGGAGCGTGATTCGAATCCGATCAGTCCAGGCCATGAGGGTGGAGAACGAAGCCAGGCTACAGCAGGTGCACCAGGACCGGGATTGGAACTCAGCCGAAGTGCCGCCTCCTGCTTTTTCGATCTCTCTGTTTCGGAGGGCATCGTCGATGTGATGCAGAGCCACGGAAAGCAGGTTCCTGCGAAAGCCTCAGCCCATGGCCGCTCTGGCAGATCGCTCCTCTGGACATTTTCCACCCAAGGTCGACCAGGTAGCATCTCCCTTTGCGCAGACCATCGACTTCAAGAGTCCGGGGCTCAGGTGCTCTCCAACTTCGCTCTTGGCCTGATGTCAGTGACTTTTGAGGCAGCCTTGGATGCACCTTCATCGACCAGGAAGACGACGCGTCTCCGATCCTGGATTTCGCCCCTCAGATCTGCGATTTCAGAGAGCCGAAAACACAGGTTGCAGGGCATCAGTTCAGTCTAAACACTAGCCAAGAAAGGCATCGATGTTCCGGCTGAGTCGAATCCAAGGAACTAACGTTTGGGTTCAGTGCTTTTTGGGTGCATGACTTGTTGCCACGAACTTCCAGATGCCTTGCGTGAACGTCTCTCCATAGCACCCATAACAGGTGAGAAAGAGAGAGAGAGAGAGAGAGAGAGAGAGAGAGAGAGAGCTGAGAACTCCTCCACCTCTTCCCTCCGTTCTCTTCGCTGCCGACTGCAGGAGCGGCTGCTGGAGCGCTGCGAGAAGATGCAGGCGGAGCTTCGCCCGAGAGATGATTATAGTATCCTTAGAGATCCCCTACAGTAGCCCTTATAGAACCCTTCAGAGGAAGCCTATTCTAACTGCTAAGGCCCCTATAATGGGCCGAGAGGGCAAGAGCGGAGTCCACCCCTGCGGAGCGGAGTCGCAGGCCGAGCTGGAGCGCTGGGGGGACGTCCACGGCACCCCGCGAGGCCCGGAAGGGAAGGGAGGGGAGAGGGGGGAGGGGACGGAGGGGAAAGGGATTGTGAGGGAAGGGAGCAATGAAGGGAGAGGGATAGAAAGGAGAGAGCTGGCGAGCATGAGCTTTTGTTCTACAGTATCCTGCGCAGGCGTCTAGGCCGCTTATGGGCCGCCCCAGTCCCAAGCACTGGAGCCGAGTCTCTGAAGTCGATAGCGCCGGGCGAAGCCTTCTTTCGCGCGGTTTCATCCCCCTGTGCAGAAGCGCACGGATTGTACATTTCAGTCTCTGGGAGACGCGACCTCCGCCAGCCAGAGAAGCTTTGGAAGAAGCGACAAGATCGAGGAAAGCATTGAGATTCAACTTACTTGAACACGGCTCCCAGAGCTGCGCGTGCGAATTCGGAGCACGAGAGACGCGACAGAGCCAGGAGATACAAGTCAAAGCCGCTGAGGGTCGTCTTGGCCCTCTTGGCCTTGGTTCTGAGCTCGGCTCCTTTCGCTTCCTTTCCAAGGCTTCGACTGGGGTTTGGGCGCCGTGGCCTTGTACGCCTCGGACTACGTCTCCGTGCGCTGGACCGGCCGGGGCGCCCGCCGGGGGGGGACCCCCTTCCGCGGGGAGCGCTCCCCCCACGGCTCCGCTCCGCTTTTGACGGCGCCGAGGCTTCGTTCTGCCGGAGCACTCCGAGGAGTTCACCTTCTACGTGAACGCCGACGACTCCGCGAGGCGCCGAAGCATCCTCTCTAGCCCTCCACTCCACCCCATTCCCCGAATTGGGGGAGGCTCTGGGTGAACGGCGTTTTGCTTTTCGACAAGTGGGACGAGTGCTGCCAGGCCCAGCAGTGCACGAACATGTCTCTCTCTCTCTCTCTCTCTCTCTCTCTCTCTCTCTCTCTCTCTCTTCCCACTTTCCCCACGTTGCCACTCTGCCACTCTTCTTCAGGAGTTCTGGGGCCACATCGCCCTTACGGCCGGGGAGCTGGCGTCCATCCGCCTTGAGTTCCGCGAGGCTCGCTGGGTCGTTTTCAGACGGTGTGCGCGCGGCCGCGGCGTGAGACGCGAGGTGGCGGGGAACGCCACGCTCAGCCTGGAGTGGGCCTCCTTCTCGACGCCCCGAGGCCAAGCGCGTCCTCTCTTTTAGGCGCCAGAAGACAAGCAGTTAGCCTTCGAGCGTGCAAGGTTTCATCAGCCCTGGCCAACTCTTCAAGGGCCCCGTCATCAACGGCGCCCCCGTCTTGCTGGAGGCAGCTCAAGCGCGGTCATCCCTCTGAAGGCAACAGTAGACCCCCGCAACAACCCGTAGGTGCCAGAAGGAATGAATGCACCTGGCCCCCAAGACCCAAAACGGCATGAAACCTTCTGCAAAGTTCGCGTAAGCCTTCATAACTTGTGACGGCAAGCCCTAGTAAAGTATGAACAGCATGTCTCCGGAGCATCCCTGTCTGGCATGCGTCGGTTCCAACAGGTCGCTACCGGCACGGTGAGTGCCGCCAACTCCGAGGCATTCGGCGAGTACCTGACAGGCGCGAAGCTATGTGTGCAACTACATCTTTCGTGCGGGGCGTCGTCGGCTGATTTACATGGTCCGGACCGTTTTGAAGTGTGGCCAACATAAAGAGCCTTGGGAATTGGGAGTGTTATTTCCAGATTACATGCTCTCCATCACGCAGCAGCACCTGGGTTTCAGGAGCCCGCTGCCTGGAGCCGGAGGCCCAGCTGGAGGCTCCGGTCGCGGCTGTCCGGGCATGCGGGCATGCCCGCATTTCTCGCTCTGCCTCTCTCTCTCTCTCTCTCTTTGTCTCTGTCTCTCCGAGGTCCCGAGCCTTCTACATCCAGGCAAAGGACACCGTGCCTCGGCAGGGAGTTGTGTGGCGGGAACTTTGATGTCTGTAGGCTTTCATCTTCGCAACTGAGAGGATACTGTCTGCACAACGGAGTGAAATCGGACGGTTGTGCGCTTCCTTGGCATCTCGCATGGCGAGGCTGACAACTTGCTGAAGAGCAACCAGGAGGTTTTCCAGGCCCTGTCGTGGCGAACTGCTCTCAACCACCTTTGCTGAGCGTTTCCGTGAGGTCACCTTCAACGGGCCCGTGACCTTCACGGTGGTTTCAGCACCAGCCAGTCCCCGAGCTGCTACGCGATGTGGTCACCTTCCGTGTGTAGCAAGACACCTTTGAGGTCAACCCGGACGCCATGGATGGCCTCTACAAAGTAGAGTCTTCTACTCGGCTGAGTGCATGAAGACCTGTGGTTTCTGGAGGATTAGAATGGGTAGCGGCACCGAGTGTGGACCCTGCAGCGACCACTTGCTGGGACCTGCAACTGCAAGGGTGCCTCGCATCAGGTACCTCGTGAACAGGGCTGGCAACTACCGGGTGTCTGTAGCTCTGAACGGCATGCCCATCAAGGACTGGACTCATGCTGAGAACTGGTATGCAGGGTGTGATGGGAGCGATGCCAGGACAGCCCGTTCCAGTTCGTCGCACGCTGCCTCCTCGGCTCCCCATCGATGCGACTTTTTCGACGACCGTTTCCTTCAAGGACCGGGCCGGGTGGCCTCCGAGTGGTCCACGGTCCAAGGGCTGGCCGGAGCCCCGAAGCGGCCGCCGCTCAGCCTCTCTGCGCGAGCCCCTGGACTCTAATCCCTCTCGGGCCGAGGGAAGCATCGAGTTCACTGCGGGCACGGAGTCCGAGTTCGTCGTCCAGGCCAAGGACGCCTACGGGAACGCCCTGGACGAGGAGGCGAGCTATGGCGAGCTTGCGCGGGCCGCGGCCGCAGGTGTTGGTGTTCCTTGGTCTTCTGTGAGGTCGGTGAGGTCACCGCCTCCATCGAGTGGGAGAATTACGACTCCCTCACGGCAGCCTGGCTTCAAAGACATTTGCTAGTTCGACGCTGCTGCTTCAGGCTTATGGTTACGTTTGGTTACGGCTTCTGCCCCGTTTCAGACCATGACCGTCCTGGACGACACGCCGCTGAACAACGCCGAATTCGGCAGGCTCTGGGTGCGGCCGGGGTGCTTGTGCGATTTGGGTGTCTGTGTTTGCCAGGTACTTCTACGGGAGAGCCAGCTACATCGGATTTGGCCAGCCAGGGACTCGGGACATCTTGGGAGCCTGGCCCTGGAGCCCTCTGACTCTGAGCCGATTTGGATCGGAGGTATGACATCAAGTACACTGCGCTCCGAGAAGGAACTCACAAGCTCTTTGTGAAGGCCTGTGGCCTTGGCGTCTATTGGTGGAGCTGCTTGCTTCAGCTTTGCCAAGCCTGGCAGATCAACGGCGGCAACGTCTACCTGTCGCCCTTCACATTGAGGGGCTACCCTGCTGCGGCGCCCTACGGACAGCGTGCTACGTACAGTAGAGAGGGGCGCTGTTCTGGCTCCAGCTCAAATCCTTCAAGCCTTGAAAGCGCAGCGGGGGTGGGGGTGGGGTTGTGGCCAGAACAGGACCCAAGAGCCTCGCCGAGAGCGGGCAGCCACCAGCGTCCGTCAGCACCTCAGACACCGGGCTTATCGGAGAAGCACACGCGGCCTTGAGAGGGTTTTCGAAGAAGCTTTCCTAGCACCTGACCAGATGTGTATACTGTGCAAGGGCGTGGCGGGTGACGAGATTGTCTTCCACGTGCAGCTCCGGGACGCTTACGGCAACCTCCTGCCTGATGTCCCAGCTGCTTAGTGAAAGCCTCCAAGTGACGCAAAGCTCTTGAAGTGTCGTTCTCACTCCGAGCTCTCCTCCCCTTCCACGGCCGCTGTTCAGGGCCTCGAGCCCGGCCGGGGCCATCGTCGTGCGCGTGAGCTCGGCGCCGCCGGTCAGCCAGGCCAGGCGCTGTGTCGACGCGCCCCGCACGCCGCATTTCTCGCCTTAGAGCGACAGCAGCCTCTGTTTTCAGGTGGACGAGGGAGCTCGGGAGCCCGGACCTGCTCACGGGCGCGTGGGCGCATGGACGAGAGGTGGTTTGTCTTCATAGAAGGAAGGGCCGGGAGACTGCCCGAGGTCTGTTCGCCGAGCACCGGCGGCAGCACCGGGCTCTACGAGTGTCGGATTACTCCCACCGTCAGCGGGGAGCGGCTTCTGCCCGAAGCCCAAAGAAGGGAGGCGAGGAGCCCCGGCTTCAAAGCAGATCTCGGAAAGGTCCGTTCAAGTTGATGGCGTGGAGATCTCCAAACTGGAGATGGTGCAGCCGCTGTCGCCGGAGACTCGGGGTGTCCGTGCGTGGGGGGCCGGGATACTCTCTCATCTAACCTGCGCACTGAGGCAGCTTACGGTCACCCAGGGCCCTTTCGCTTTGTTCGTCGAGCCAGCAGCAGCACGGAGCTCACGGAGCTATACGGAGCTCACGGATCTCGGTCTCGGTGCCTGGAAGACCGGTCAAAGACTTTGCCCTTGCGCCGGCAGGTCTCGCCGGCGAACACGGCCGTCTACAACGTCCAATCCAGCCAGGGGCTTAGTGACTGGCTTCTCACTGAAAGGAGCTAAGCCAAGCAAGTTCCGGAAACGGCAGGTTACCTGGCTGGAGCGACCGTGGACGCTCTGGTGCAGCTCAGGGACCGCTTTGGAAACAACCGCACGAGCAGCTCGGCGACGCTCCTCTTTCAGGCACACGCTTGGGACACGTGTGCGAGCTCGGCTGGCTTTTACTCTTTCTTACTGGCAGGGGCGGTTTGGGCCAAGCATCCTAGCTTTCACCGACAACAATGACGGGCCGCTCGCCCAAACTTGCTACCAGTATGGCACCAGAAGACATCTGTCGCTGCCTCGAGCGTGAAGTGATCCGAGGACTGTGACAGTGAAAGTGGGCACGCATCTCGCGGCCGCCTCGGTTTTCGCAGCTCCCTTCTGCACTGAATCTGTGCATCTGTGAGCTCCGTCTGAGGCTGGTGAGCATCCTCTGCAGATCACGCTGTCGGAAGCTTATTGCTTTCTGGCATGCGAGAGATGGTGGCGCGAAATTCACCCCGCGGCAGGGCCGGAGTGCAGATCTCCAACACGCCGACTCCGGAGATCCCGGCAGGTGCCTCGGTGCCGAGCCACCTAGCAAAGAGCATTGGCGGCGCCCCCCCCGCAGCCACTCCTGTGTTTCTTTGAGGTCCTCAGCTCCATCGCGAGATTCGACGGGACGGACTGTGCCATCCCCGCTGAAATCATCGCAGGGATTCAGCATCCGCCAGGGCCTCCATGAGCCTCCGATGTTGACTCGTGGCATCCGGGACCTTTGCATGAGAAACACGGCTTGCTGCTGTGGGCCCTGGGTGTTGGCAAGGTTTCAGTGCGTGCCTCGAGACACCTTCGGCAACAAGGTCGTTGACAACAACTTGTTCATTCAGGCCCAGGGATTGCGCGATGCCCCTGGCGCCCTTCATAACCCCTTGCGGCTCCGGTCTGGATTCAGGCCGAGTTCGTGAACATGGACGACTCCTCTGCGCCTGCTCGGCGCTTGGCAAAGGTTGGAGGCGTCGCCTCGTTCCGTTGTAGCTGGGCATCTTCCACCCCAGGTGGTCACCGTGGATGGCACTTACAGCTTGGTGGATGACAACTACGACTTTCCCTTGGAGGCACATGGCGGTGCTCGAAACAAGGGCCCGTGGTGCTCCGAGAGTCTCTGTTCAGATCGACAAAGTGGGCGCCTACTCTGTGGTGACACAGCCGTGGATCCAAGAGCCTCCGCGGTGTGCAGCGGAGGTTTCAAGAAGTGGCCCGCTTTGTGACTTTGTCTTCCGAGGCTCTGGGCTCGGGGCGGGCTCATCGGACGCTACTACCGGACACCAGGCCCTGGGAGGCCCTTAAAGGCTGAAGAGAGCTGGGCGTCTGCGTCGGAACCGAGGCTTCCAGAGCCTGGTGTCGCTTCTGACGGACCGCCCGCATCAGGGCCTGGCCTTGTTCGAGTACACGCGGGCGCGGCCCCAAGGGCAGAGTCCCTCCTGGCTCTTTACTCCCGGTCCCTGTCTTTCCTTCGGTGCAGGGACCGGTGACCGGGATGAGTGTTCTTGGATGTTACTGAGGTGGATCCCCAGCTGGACATCATCTGGCCGGACATCCCCGTGGCCACCTGCCCCGAAGACTACTTCTCCGTGCACTGGCACGGCTACCTCTTGTAGGGCACTCAGGCATGAGACTGGTTTCTGCGAAGGCCTCGTCTGCCCTTTCACAGGATCTTGGGCCTGATTGAAAGGAATGTGCAGAGGATGCTGTGTGCAAGAAAGGCATCTTTGACATTGGTGCATGCTCGGACGTTGCGTGTGTCGAGATTTGGAACTTCCAGCTGATGTTCTGGCACGTTGCCTGAACCATCCGTTTAAAGGTTCCCAGAGCATGCGTCTCGTCAAAACACCTGTCGCAGCCCAGCATGTGCTGCGAGAGGCACCTGGACAAGTGTACAGAGGATGTTGTTTTTTAGAAGAAGGGCATCTGTGACATTGGTGCATGCTCGGACGATTGCGTGTGTCGAGATTTGGAACTTCCAGCTGATGTTCTGGCACGTTGCCTGAACCATCCGTTTAAAGGTTCCCAGAGCATCGTCTCGTCAAAACACCTGTCGCAGCCCAGCATGTGCTGCGAGAGGCACCTGGACAAGTGTACAGAGGATGTTGTTTTAGAAGAAGGGCATCTTTGACATTGGTGCATGCTCGGACGATTGCGTGTGTCGAGATTTGGAACTTCCAGCTAGTGTACAGAGGATGTTGTTTTAGAAGGAGGGCATCTTTGGCATTGGTGCATGCTCGGACGATTGCGTGTGTCGAGATTTGGAACTTCCAGCTGATGTTCTGGCACGTTGCCTGAACCATCCGTTTAAAGGTTCCCAGAGCAATCGTCTCGTCAAAACACCTGTCGCAGCCCAGCATGTGCTGCGAGAGGCACCTGGACAAGTGTACAGAGGATGTTGTTTTTTAGAAGAAGGGCATCTTTGACATTGGTGCATGCTCGGACGATTGCGTGTGTCGAGATTTGGAACTTCCAGCTGATGTTCTGGCACGTTGCCTGAACCATCCGTTTAAAGGTTCCCAGAGCATGCGTCTCGTCAAAACACCTGTCGCAGCCCAGCATGTGCTGCGAGAGGCACCTGGACAAGTGTACAGAGGATGTTGTTTTAGAAGAAGGGCATCTTTGACATTGGTGCATGCTCGGACGATTGGCGTGTGTCGAGATTTGGAACTTCCAGCTGATGTTCTGGCACGTTGCCTGAACCATCCGTTTAAAGGTTCCCAGAGCATGCGTCTCGTCAAAACACCTGTCGCAGCCCAGCATGTGCTGCGAGAGGCACCTGGACAAGTGTACAGAGGATGTTGTTTTTTAGAAGAAGGGCATCTTTGACATTGGTGCATGCTCGGACGATTGCGTGTGTCGAGATTTGGAACTTCCAGCTGATGTTCTGGCACGTTGCCTGAACCATCCGTTTAAAGGTTCCCAGAGCATGCGTCTCGTCAAAACACCTGTCGCAGCCCAGCATGTGCTGCGAGAGGCACCTGGACAAGTGTACAGAGGATGTTGTTTTTTAGAAGAAGGGCATCTTTGGCATTGGTGCATGCTCGGACGATGGCGTGTGTCGAGATTTGGAACTTCCAGCTGATGTTCTGGCACGTTGCCTGAACCATCCGTTTAAAGGTTCCCAGAGCATGCGTCTCGTCAAAACACCTGTCGCAGCCCAGCATGTGCTGCGAGAGGCACCTGGACAAGTGTACAGAGGATGTTGTTTTTTAGAAGAAGGGCATCTTTGACATTGGTGCATGCTCGGACGATTGCGTTGTCGAGATTTGGAACTTCCAGCTGATGTTCTGGCACGTTGCCTGAACCATCCGTTTAAAGGTTCCCAGAGCATGCGTCTCATCAAAACACCTGTCGCAGCCCAGCATGTGCTGCGAGAGGCACCTGGACAAGTGTACAGAGGATGTTGTTTTTTAGAAGAAGGGCATCTTTGACATTGGTGCATGCTCGGACGATATGCGTGTGTCGAGATTTGGAACTTCCAGCTGATGTTCTGGCACGTTGCCTGAACCATCCGTTTAAAGGTTCCCAGAGCATGCGTCTCGTCAAAACACCTGTCGCAGCCCAGCATGTGCTGCGAGAGGCACCTGGACAAGTGTACAGAGGATGTTGTTTTAGAAGAAGGGCATCTTTGGCATTGGTGCATGCTCGGACGATGGCGTGTGTCGAGATTTGGAACTTCCAGCTGATGTTCTGGCACGTTGCCTGAACCATCCGTTTAAAGGTTCCCAGAGCATGCGTCTCGTCAAAACACCTGTCGCAGCCCAGCATGTGCTGCGAGAGGCACCTGGACAAGTGTACAGAGGATGTTTTTTAGAAGAAGGGCATCTTTGGCATTGGTGCATGCTCGGACGATGGCGTGTGTCGAGATTTGGAACTTCCAGCTGATGTTCTGGCACGTTGCCTGAACCATCCGTTTAAAGGTTCCCAGAGCATGCGTCTCGTCAAAACACCTGTCGCAGCCCAGCATGTGCTGCGAGAGGCACCTGGACAAGTGTACAGAGGATGTTGTTTTAGAAGAAGGGCATCTTTGGCATTGGTGCATGCTCGGACGATGGCGTGTGTCGAGATTTGGAACTTCCAGCTGATGTTCTGGCACGTTGCCTGAACCATCCGTTTAAAGGTTCCCAGAGCATGCGTCTCGTCAAAACACCTGTCGCAGCCCAGCATGTGCTGCGAGAGGCACCTGGACAAGTGTACAGAGGATGTTTTTTAGAAGAAGGGCATCTTTGGCATTGGTGCATGCTCGGACGATGGCGTGTGTCGAGATTTGGAACTTCCGGCTGATGTTCTGGCACGTTGCCTGAACCATCCGTTTAAAGGTTCCCAGAGCATGCGTCTCGTCAAAACACCTGTCGCAGCCCAGCATGTGCTGCGAGAGGCACCTGGACAAGTGTACAGAGGATGTTGTGCAGAAGATGTGTCTCCCCATCGATGCTCTTCGTGGTGCGTGCCTTCTTCTCCGTAACCGAGTAGCATGTGTTCAAGCCAACGTCTACGGATTGCGCATCATGCGCTCTTCGACCATGTTGTTTCAGCTCAGGCCAAAGGCCACAGGGCTGCACAACATCCGCATCGAAGCGGACAAGGGGGCCCGCGTCATGGCCCGGGCGCCCGGTGAGCCATCGCACCTCCTAGGGCTTGATATGCCTTGATCTCCTTCAAAGACCCTAGAGCCTAAACCCTAAACGCCCCAGACCAAACCCTGCATCCGAAGAGATAGACCCGACCGAAACTTTCGGAGGTGGGCTCCTCTTGGGTTATCGACGAGCTGGCTTCCGACACCGCGGTCCGCGCCTCCGCGCAGGCCGCCGTGGGGTGGCAGGTATTCTTCGGAGCGGGTGCAATTCTAAGTGCGATATGATTGCACTTAACACAACAATCGCGATTATTTCGACCATCAGTTAAGACGTGCAGGAAATCCAGTGTGCCACGTCAAAGAGGGTTGTTTCAAATTTGAGCTTGTCTGCGAGTTCGAGTCAATGCAGAAGTCTGAGTAGTAACTGTAAGTGTACTGCTATCATCATCGTCGAACATACGCTGCCTACTACGAGATGTTCAGATCGGTTATTAAGTAGTGTTAGTGGACTATGCGAGTATGAATGCCGTACTTGAAGTTCCTCCTGAAGTGCCACCGTGAGCATAGCTGATGTACCGTCAGCAGCAATCACTGCATGTTTGAGTATGTGGTGCCACTGAAATAGGTAGTTGTCAAAATTAAGGTCCCTTTTTGGGTACCCTAAATGTTAGGTGCCGTACTAGACTGGGGACCCAAAAAGGGATCCTAATTTTGACAACCACCCAAATGGAGACTGTATTCTTGGCTTGCAGTGCGTCGTGTTTGCCTCTGCACGGTGCAGCTTTCAGTGCCTTGCAAATCCAAGGGTGCTCTCGCACCCACAGGCAGCCAATCAATGAATCAAACAATCACTCAATCTTACCATTGTTACGGTTTCTCATTGTTGGATTATGGATAGAATTTCGCTTTTTGCGTTCATGTTTGACTTTGTGGGTAGCTTTGCAACGAGGTTGGTATGATTTTCCGATCGGAAAATGAACATGTCAGTTGTAACCCGATAGATTGATCAGCAGATAAACAGATCAGTATGTATATGCAGAATGATTAATGGGTACGTATATATATATAAATAAATATGTATATGTATATGTATATGTATATGTATATGTATATGTATATGTATATGTATATGTATATCTATATCTATATGTATATGTATATGTATATGTATATGTATATGTATATGTATATGTATATATATATATATATAAGCACATGAACATCTATATGTATGTATGCATGTATGTATGGACGGATGTATGTATGTATGCATGCACATGTATGGGTGGTTGTCAAAAATATGGTCCCTTTTGGGGTCCCTAATGTAGTACGGCACCTAATAATTAGGGTACCCCAAAAGGGACCATAATTTTGACAACCACCTATCTATCTATCTATCTATATATATATATATATGTATATGTATAATGTATATATATATATATATATGTATATATATATATATATATATATATATATTGTGGGAGTGTCAGAAGGGGTAACATGTGGCAATAGTGTAACATGGTGTAACTACCTCGGCATTCGCGACGATAGTTGTAACACATTGCTGCATAGCTGTAAGTCTTGAAGAAAAAGAGGAGCTTGTAACAGCATTTAAACGTATCGCAGCGGGAAGCAGACATGGTAGAGACGATGGATCTCCCCACCTACAAATACGTGAAGCTTATGAGAAAGCTAAAAAGCCAAGTGGACATAGGAAGGAGAAAGTATAGATAACGTACTTACTAGAGGACACGACGTGTCATCTGCAATGGGCAGTCGATAAACCAACCAAACGTGATGTCTTCTTATGTGTTACATCCATCGCAATCAGCATTCTCAAACTCTAAATCCGTGTTGAAAAATGTTGGCTGCCTTTCAGAACACAGCAGATGGATTAAATAAGGTTGGCTCATCGAGAGAGTGATTGCGGAACTATGCATCCAGGTTGAACTTCCTAAAGGGTCCTTGCGTTTGGGATCTTTTGGTTTTGTCAGGAACACACGTTTTAAGCCAAGAGCCGTGTTCAAACAACGAACATGTTTTGAGATTAGCTTCGAAGTCTGGGCTGATGCGGAACTCTTTATAAAGTAAGAGGTGCGTTTTGAACCGCAGACATCAACCCGAAGAGCCGAATGCATTCACCCTCGTGTCCAAACCATGTGGAAAGGACTTTTTGCAGAAACGAGAAATTCTCAAAAGAAGGTCGAACGCCGGTTAAGGGAAGGTGTCAACAGAAGGATGCAGCAGAAGGTTCTCGGCTTGTCGCTTTCCGTTTCGAGAGGTGACCTTGACAAACCACGTGCCCGTCTACCTGGAGATCCAGTACAAGCACTCAGCCGGTGCCTCAAACATCCGAAAGCTGCCCTTCAGCTGCTTGCTGCGAGGGAGCACCTTCTTCTCTGAGAGAGCTCCGGCTTCCGGCAAGGCTGGGACGGCCTACGTCCGACTTTACTGGGCCCGGCGCCCGGAGCGAAGAAAAGCCCACTTACCACAAGCATGCCTCAGAGTACTTCTAGGGCTTTGGGGCTTTAAGGCTTAAGGGTTTGGGGCTTGAGAGGCTTTACGGCTGTCGGTTATATCTTCGAGGACCTGTGGGCCATGTTGAATGCCAGAAGCTGAGGCCGCCACAGACTTCGAAGACGAGCTGGTGCCCAGCAACAACCTGCTCCACCCGCTGAATGCCGGGGCCCGTCTTGACGTGAAGACCAGCAAAGTCCGGGGTTTTGGGGGTTTGTGTTTTTTTGGCGTTTCGGGCTTATGCTGTTTAGGGTTTAGGCTTGAAGAGCCTCCGCCTCGGTTGAAGTCATGTACACTCTGAGACCCAATGTAAAACAGGATTCTTCTTGTGAGGACCTTTAGGAATCGCCGGAAAGGTCTTGGCTCTCGACACCACAACGGTGGTGGTGTCCGGGGGCCCCAGAAAGAAAGGGCTTCTGCTGAGGCTCGTCGTGTGCAGACGCGAGCAACTCTGCAAGGCCGCAAGAAGCCGCGGAGACGTCTGTGGCCTCTGGGGCCCCTCCGAAGCAAGAAGTCGCGCGAGCCAGAAATCTCTGATCTCCTCCTCTGCCTGGAGCTGAAGGCGTCTCTGTCCACGGTCATCGCTGGCCAGGTTCGGCGGAGCTTGAAGCGTCGTGCATCCATCCTCTCCACTGACGACGGGATGTTTTCGGCATGCGGAGGACAACACATTCATCGTTCACACCCGGGACGCCGAAGACAACCCGCGGTCCACGGACACGCCGGGCATCTCAGTCCCGAGCTCCGGGCTCTCCACTCCTCGGCGGGTGTTGGGCGTTCCCTCCCTTGAGGACCTCGGCGATCACGGGCTACATGGGCTCGACCCCCGCAGTGCCACTGTCCTTCAGCTATCTCGGAGGTGCTGTGACTGTGCCCGGAAGCTGCTGCTCTTGCAGCCGCACAGCCCTATAGTGGGTACCTCGGGCAGGTGGAAACTACACCGCGACCATCAACCCGGTCTCTGCCGGTGACTTTCCGATGCATGTGCTTGTCAACGGTGGGGCCCCCGATTTGTGCAAGGCTTCGGTGCCGTGTGAACACGGCAGCAAGTGCTCGACGCGCTAGCCTTCGGCTTCAGGGCCGCTGAGCCGTCCATTCTGCCAAGACAAAGCTGGAACCTCCCCACGTTACTTTCGGAAGCCCCTTTCTTTGTTGCCAGCACGAGCCCCAGCCCCAGCCGTCGGCGCGCGCCATGGCGGCTCGGGCCTACTTCCTGGCGGTCTTTGCCCCCGAGGGCTGGCCAAGCTCCGTAGCGCCCGAGTACGGCCGCTACCAGCTTTGGGACACCATCCAGCAGGTGCCGGGGGTCTTGAAAAGGAGGAAAGTGCTGAAAGCTTCGAGCCATGGCATGAACAGAGCGCAGGTGACCTTCTTCGTGAACACCGCGGCTTGTCTGCAGGGCCCTGCAGGGCTGCGGTGTAGCCTGCCTCTGCACATGAGCGAGCCCAGGTGATCAGCAAGCAGGTGCCTCTGCCTTTGCCCGATTCCGCAGTGTTACATGTGGCTGGTGAGACTGCGAGGGGGCGTGAAGTGTGTGAGGCAGTGATGAAGTTCCACGGCGTTGGGGACCCCAACAAGACCCCTGCAGAGGCAACCGCACTGCAAATGGGAAGGGATCTCTTGGCGACGGCGATCGGCATGGGAGCAGGCGCCTCGGCGTGTGATGCGTCTCGGCGTCCCGGTGCTGTGCAGCGAGTGAGGTGGCGACGCCGGCCTTCACGGACCGCTACCGCCACCCGCCTGCACTCTTCGCCGCTTCGCTCTTCGCGCGGACGCTGCGCTTCGGCGTTTCGTCTCGCTTTACTTTGCGTCCGAGGCTCGGCTCCGCGGAGTTTTCGCATGAGCGCGGAGCTGGTGAACGCCGTGGGGCACTTCGTGGAGCCCCGCCTTTCTGCTGTCTCCAAGTCTCCCCCCTCTCAGCTCAGCCGCAGCCTTGTCCTTGGTGCTGGTTGTGAGGGCGTGTCGAGTGAGGAGATCTTGGCCGCCATCTTCTCCCGGATCGTCGCTTTCCTCTATCTGGGACCCGCCCGAGCCCTGTCTCAGAAGCGTCGCATCGCTCCCGCTCCCAGCTCCGCTTCATGTCGCTCCTCAGGCCCTGTGCCTGGTGGCAGGCACGATGTCGGGGGCGGTACGGTCGGTGATCTTGCAGCACTTCGCCAAGGGTGGCCGCCTGCCTCCAGGCTCCCGGAATCGGGCGATTCCGGTTGTGTGTGGGCTCAGTATTTCACTAGTTCTCCATGAGGACGGGACCCGGACTTCGGCGACATATCGCTTAAAGAGAGCAACCAGGTGCGACGGGGAGTGAGAGAGATCATGCCGGCCCTCCCCTCTGCGAAGGACCGGGGCGGGAAGATTTTTGGCCTCTTCATTGGCATGACCCTGCTGCTCGGGGCCATTGGCATCGGCAGCGGTGCGGAGGCGTGTCGGGCTTCCTTTCGAGGTCCCTCCCTTCATCGCTTTGTTTTGAAATCATCCATTTCAGAGCCCTCCAAAGACTTCGGGCTCTACGTCCGATGTGAAAGTTGGCCGCTGGTGGGGTTTCTAGGGAGCTGCCTCTGAGACAGGTGTTGTGTCCCCCTTTTCTTTTTAGTAAGAAAGAGGACCGTTTCTGAACTGTACCCGAAGCCCTCCGAGCCGCTGGAACAAAGAACCGGCAGCGGAAGCTCTTTTTTCGCTCTCCAACTCCCCTGTGAAAGAATTTGCCAATCTAGCAGGCCGAGCAACGATCACTGGAAGCGAGTTTGCAGTGGTTCGCCGTCCTGTCCGTCGTCCACCTGCTGCTTGGACAAACCGCTTCTTTTGTACCGTGCGGCGCGTTTCAGGTCGACTTGCCTTTTCCAAGGCTTGGCAATGTCCAGGCCGTGCGGCAGCTTGATATCGCCGCCCCCGCGCACGCCCCGCACCCCGAAGCGACCGGGGAGGCAAAGAGGGTAGGGAGAGCTCCAGGGCTCTTCTGAGAAGCGCGCCGCTGCAGATCTGCGGAGGCGAAGCCTGCCGGCTTTTTGCGCCAGATGTTCCTCCCCAAGGGCTTTCCCAGCACTGCCACCTGGCCGCCGGGCCGGCCCTTGTCAGAAGTCAGAGGTCTGTCATGAGAATGCCGACGGTGCGCTGAGGTGGTGGAGTGCTACGGCCGGTTTCGGGCCTGGGCGCTGCTTCAGGCGCGCCCGCGTGGCAGCCACCTCCAACACCCTTGCGCTACAGTAGCGGCCTATAGCCTGCGAGGTTCTCATCGGCTACCCCAAGCAGATCGTCATTAACATGCTCTTTTGGGGCCAAGTTTACGGCGTGGGCAATGCCCAAAGCTCGCCCGTCACAGCAGTGCTGATCGACATCTTCATGACTACCATTGACTGCGTCATGGGTCTTCTCTTGGGCCTTCCTGCTGTGAGCCTTGTTAGAATATTATGTGACATCAGGCCGGTGCAGCCAGTTCTACAAGTAGTGCCTCACATCTGGTTTTTCAGGACACAAAGCTTGGACTACAGCAAGAAGCGCTGGTACATCTACTCTGGGGTGTTGAGCTTGGTAGAGAACCCTGCTACCTGTCAGCGGCGTCATGTTTTGTTCAGGAAGACTCGTTCCTTAGAAAAGGGGTCGTGTGGAGAAGCCATGCAGGAGCAACTGTAACTGCATGGCGATCATACACCTCCGGTTGCCCCAGCAGGGGCAGCAACACAGCAAGAGAAGGAACAGATGTTTAGGTCTGCAGGGCATCCGTCGAGGAGGGTTCGGGATCGCGGTTCGGCAGGGCGGCGGCATATCAGATTCTCAAGAGAGTCAGAGAGAATTGACGGAATCTCAGATCGAGGCGCACCTGTCATCCGCGTTCCAGACATGTTGGCCTTGCCAACGGAGGTAGCAGCTGATGGGTAGAGGGCGTCGGGGGCTAGGCAACTGAATCCCACCAAGCCAGATGCCAACCGGTGGGCGCTTGGAAAGCTGCACGTAGCCCGGCGGCCCGGGTCGTTCGGCGTTGCGCGCCGTTCCTTTGTCCATCGAAACCATGGATCTTTATCATTCGCCTGTTGCGTGACGACGAAAAGAAGGGGTTTCGCGTCGTGGATCGAAAGAGGACTGGCTGCAGGGGGATGAAATATAGTCGTCGCGCAACAGGCGACTGATAAAGATCCATGGTTTCGATGGATTGCAGCCTTTCGAAACGCCCACTTGTGCAGGATCTGGTTTATTCGCTTCAGTTCCTGAGCCCCGAGGTGGAAGTAGGGAAGAGGACGAGCATGCTCCCAAAGCAAGGGTAGAGAAGGCCAGGATCAAGAAGCGCTCATCCGTTGCCTTGGAAGAGTGATGGTTGTGCTCATAACCTTCGCAAAGTCGAAACTTCTGGTAGGATCCTGGGCATCGCGAATTGTGGAACAAACGGTATACATGATGCCATACTTGGTGTCTGATGCCGAATGATGGAGCACATGAACCTGACGCGTATATGTCGCCCCATCATGTAGCGCTTGAGGTGTATCTTTGATATCTTTGTCAATGTATCACTTATGTCTCAGCCGTAAAGTAACCCCTGCACACTGGAGCTAAGCGCCGCCAGCATGTAGTTACGAGCACAGACATTTTTGTGCATCCATCCCACTTGATATACCATGCTGACATCAGCACTTCTGAGCATGACTCCATGGAGAAGTGTCGAGTTCTGCTGATCATCTCGGTGTTTCTGGTGTTGCCATCGGAAATGGTGACACTTAGACTGCTCAGGTGCTGGGTCGCTGTTCGGAGTTCGTCCAGCTGGCAGCGGCCTTGGCGCCTTCCAGATGGTTCTTCCCCATCATAGTGCCGTGGCTGCGACAGGGCTTCCGTGCTTGTCGTGCATTCCGTAGTCTGTTTCAGTCCGTCTCTGTGTGCTTCTAGCTTAGGGTTTAGGGCCGTTTAGGGTTTAGGGTTTTGGGGGATTCTGGAAGCGGAGGGGGTTGGCTCGCAGCTCAGGTCTTGGCCCGGAGTCTTGCGGCCTTCAGCGGAACGAGCGGCAGCCGAGTGGGAGGCGCCATCCCGCCGGCGTTCATGAAGAAGGAAGAAGCCGAGCGCAAGCAGATCGAGCTGATCCACGCCAGGGCCCTCAGTTTGCCGTAGATCTTTTTGGGTCAGCTTAGGTCAGTTTTTCGCCATGGCTGACTGGGTTTCCATGCTGAGGTGAACGTGGCCAACGGAAACCAGGAGTGCCCTGACTCTGTGTCGAGGATGGGTCGCCCAATGCTGGAGAGGACAAACTGGTGTCCGTGCCTTCGGGCATCCTTTCCATTACCTTCCTCTACTACTTGGCTCTTCGGAAGCACAAGACAGAATGCGAGAAGGTGTTTCGTGTGACAGAGTTCATGCAGAGGTCTTCTCGGGCTGGCATCCCAGCTTGAGCTGGCAGATAGCGGCCTACTGCGCCTTGCAGGTAGGGATCTTACTCGCTCTGTCTCACAGCCTCGCGGATTGTCGTTTGTTGCAGGCATTGAGCTTCTGCAGCCTCTGTGGTTGCTTCCGCAACCTGCCACCACTGCCAGGCCCTTTCCGTCTCCTCTCGCCTTCCTTCCCTCTTATCTCTCATGACATCGCTGGCAGGGGAGGCCTTGCAAGAGCCGTTGGTGGGGCGCAAGGTTTCCGACGTCGTCTGGGAGGAGCAGAAGCTTGGAGGCAACTTAGACAAAAAGCGGGTAGAACGGCCAGCCCAACGAGGCTTCTTCAGAAAAAGCCCGAACCCCGAAGCACGCTGCGGCCCGGGCTCCGCTCCGAGGAACGACATGGACTCCGAGGTCCTGAATTCCTACAGTGGCCCCGCCTCCAACCCGCCGGCGCTGGTCCGCTCCCTGAGCCGGGAGGCCTAAAGGCAACGAAGGAGCCTTGGCGGTTCCATGCCCAAAGACAGGCACGGCCCCCCCCCCTTCGTTCTGTACAGAATTAGACCAAAGACGCTCCGTCGTCCACTCGTAGATTTTTGGATGTGTGTAGGGAGAGAGAGAGGATGCTTAAGACAGGCATCGTCTCTTCTCGGCCCCAGCACATCCCGGCAATCCTTCGGGGCAGTGTCTCTGATTCGTTTAACTGCAAAGAAGAAACAGTGTCAGGCCGCCCTAAACCCAAACCCTCTTTTGCTTCGGCACGGACCTTCGTTGTTTTCTCCTGTCTGGGTTTGGACCGGTTAGCCGTGGCTCTCTCTAGGCATCGACATCGTGGGCTCCCCTTTCACCACGCGAGTGGAGCCGGGCCCCACGAGTGCCGTCCGCACCCCAGCCACCAAGCTTCGAACCAGAGGCTGAGAAAATCAACTACTGCACAAAGAGAAAGAGATCAACGAGATGACTTTCACGGTTTTTGCAGAGAGGTGCACAGCCTGATCACTGGGACCGGCCTGCAGTTCGCAGAAGCCGGTGTGGAGGCCATAAATGCTACCTGCTAGTTGCTGTGCTTTCTCTCTCTCCTGGCCGGGCTGCGCTTGCTGACAGCAGAGCAGGGCGTTTTCTATGTGACCCTACGTGATGCGCAGCTCAATCACAGGCCAGCTGCGCACCAGCCCAGCGAAGCCGTTTTTGTGGGATGAGTCGCCAGCCACTATAGCCGCCCGTACTCGCAGGGGCGCCTCCATCGGAGAGCCTGCGGGGGCACCGAGTCCGGATCCCAGCACCGAAGGCCTTGCATGGCTGGTGGGCCCAGGTGACGCTGGACGACAGCCGGATGAACTGCGCAGACCAAGGCCTCGGCGTGTGCGGGGCCCCAGCCGAGAGCACCAGCCGCCAGCTCCTTTTTAGAGAGGCACAGGAACCCACACACACAGACCTCCTCTGCGTCGTTTTGCTGGGGTTTGAGGTACCGATGCTCCTACTTGATCACGCAGGCCAGGGGAGCAGAGAGTTGCGGGAGCAGCCAAGTGCAAGTGCCTGGACGCAGGCCCAGACGTTCAACGTGGTCCTGCGGGTCAACGGGCAGCCGGTGAATCCCGTGGCACCACACACCTTTCCGCAGCTCGGAGGGAATGTCTGGCACTGCCCTGGCAGTGCCCTGGCTCTGATTTTGTGCAAGGCTCGTGATCAACCCGAAGCCGATCGACTCCACGGCGGGGGTGCGACTCCTAAACGATCCAGCAGGGGCCGGGGCGGGCCCGGGGCGGGCCTGCCTGTGCAGCATGAGTCGATGCCGAGTGAAGCCACAGGTCAACTACGTCTATGCCTTCACCACCTTCTTCCCCGAGATTCGAAAAAGCACAGATAATAGTGTGATCTTCCAAGTACGAGACGAGTTTGGAAACGATGTGCCGGATGAGGGCCCCTTGGTCCCATTAATTCGCGTCATGCCTGTATTGATGTTGTGAGTCATCACAAAACTGTCACGATTCTCGCCCGAGGCAACAACTTCATGATCTGCGAAGCCGATGGCCCGCTGCTGCTTGCGCTGTGCTTGGCTTCGACTCTACCTTCGCGTTGCCGCAGGTCCCGAGCAGCGGACGCCCCCTTTCCGTCCGCCGCTGGACATTGTGAGGCAGGGCGGCAGGGCCGGCAGCCCTATATTCCGAGGATGCACATGTGCCTGTGCTTGAAGGAACGGTGCGGGGCTCTTCCGAGTGAACCTGAAGCTGGACACCACTGGGCTTCACAAGGTCTACTGCTATGCTTTGAACAAAGGGGGCATCAATGCCCGGTACTTCAACAACCGCTGGGTGGAGGGCGTCCCGGCCATCTCACAGGTTGACACGGCCATCGACTTCAATTGGGGTGAGGGTCTGGTGACTGCGGAATCCTCCGACTACGCCTCTGCGCAGTTCGACGGATACCTGCAAGTCCTCACGCCCGCGAACTACACCTTCTACATCACCGCTGACGACGGCGCCAAGATGTGGATGGACGACGAGCTGATTCTGAGCCAAGACGAAGCCGGGCAGTTCCAGACCCGGCCCATCTTGCTGACTGGGGACAGGCTCTACCACATCCAGGCAGGCGGCTGCGCCCGAAGAGCTGAGGGGTCCTTCCATGTAGGGCAGTGCTGTGCATCGCTGGCGCTGTGTGGAGTCCTCAGGTGATGTACTACGAGCGCACGGGCTTTGCTCGCATGCGCCTGGAGTGGTCCTCGGACCAGGGCTTGGTCCGGGAGGTGATCGGCAAGGACTCCTGGTTCCACTCCCGGAGCAGGCTGGGGCTCTTTCCCCAGACCGTCCTGGTCTACGACAAGCCAGGACTCGGACTTCCTCCAAGAATAGACCCGTGCCCGCAAAACTCTGCTGCCGGGTTCTGTTGCTGTTGTCCGGCGCCGCCCTCAGAACTGGGTCCCCGAGGTTTCCCCTCAGGGTTTTGCAGGCAGCTTGTTGGTTGGCTTCTTACCGTGTGCACGTACGCTCTCCCAGCTTGGCTGCCAAAGTCCTGACAGCTGCCCTTCCCAACTGTTGGTTTTGGGGAGTGTGTCCTGTGCTGCCTGTATCTGAAGCTGGAGGCTGGAAGCGTTAGTTGGGAGTGTCGCGTGCAGGACCTGTCGAGGCCTTCTACCACCACGACTTCCAGTACGACGTCAACCAGCTGCCGCTTTGAGCAATCAGGAGTCAAGAGAGTCTCTTCCTTCCTCCCTGAACGACAAAATGCTTTGAGGGTTTCGAAGAGAGGGCGTGTGCAATACCAAGCTCCTGTCCCACAGCCTCAGGTCCTGGGTTCCGCCGCAAGACAGCAGCGCCAAGCCCATCCTGGGATACCGGCTCTACAGGGACAACGGCATGGGTGGGGCCATCGACAACCTGATGGCCACCACGGATGAGAACACCTTCTCCTACATGGATTCGGGGCTCGTGACGGGTTTGGTCTACTACTACAGGCACCCAGCTTTCAGAATCTCTTGAGCTGTGTCCCGGTGGTCATGGTCCCCTTGCCTGCCACAGCATCATTCTTGAAGCAGTTTACTCCAGCAACCGTTGCAAGCCGCGTTTTCGTTCGATCCCTGACCCCAACAGTCTGTAGACACCTTCCGTGTTGGTTGGGGTTTAGGGGTGCATCAAGGGGAAGGTGCCGAGGAGCATCGAAAAGCTTTCACTGCCCAGAGGGTCCAACAGGAGTCTTCCCCTTTCATTTCAGAGGTGCACTCGCAAGTTTCGAGGATCCTGAGTGCTTCTCAACGTGCTTCTACGCGCGCAGATGCAAGCGTGGGCTCGCGCACTCGGAAGCTGCCTTCAGGCTCATGGCCGTCAACGGCGATGATGGCGAGCCGGTCACCATCTCCGCACAGCCCTCCGTGCCCCCAATCAAGCCCCGGCCTTGGCAGGAAGGGCGAGGGATGCGTGCATGCGTGCTTCCGTGTTGTGAAGGCCGGACCCTGCGTTGCTCATCAACACGGCCTCGGGCAGCATGACCTTCCGCTTCACGCCGCTGACGGGCGCCGCCTCTGGTTGGTCTCCCACCATTCGCGACTGGACCGCAGAGTGGAGGCTTCTTTAGGCAGGGTCTTCGGCCTCCGTGTTTCGATGCCAGGCTACACGCTCTACCGCAATGATGGTCTTGGCGGGGTCCTGCGCTTCACGTACGAGGGAGACATGGATGGCACATCCATGGTGGAACTGATGATCGGTGGCCTCGTGGAGGGGAGGCAGCGGCTTGTCTGGCACTTCTTTCTCTAGCTACTTTAGAGACCTCCTCTGACTCTGACGGAGCTGAGCTGGAGCTGAGATTGCTGAGGTACTTGTTCCAAACCTCCTACTGGAGCCGCATCGGGCAGAGTCCCCTCAGCGATGTCACGGCAGTTGTCTGCTGCGAGTTCCGGAAGCCGGGCTCCCCGCCTCTGAACCTCCGGCGCTCAGGCCGGCTCAGGGCTTAGCCGCAGTGGGCTCGGGCTCAGGGCTTACGATGCCTCGCTGCAGGAGACCAGAGCAACGAGAAGATCTCCCTTGCCTGGGATGCTGTCACCGTAGCTCTTCTGCATAGCTCGTGTCTGAGGCATTAGGACCCTGAGCCACTCTCCCATGTCCGAGGACATCGGCACTTCGTCTCTGATCTATTACCGCCTCTACATGGATGACGGATATACGGAGATCTCCAAGAACACGGCCTCAGGCACCACCATCACGGAGTTCTTCGAGTTTTTGACCCCCGGCAACCCCTACCGCTTTGCCGTCGCAGCCGTGAACGCTGCTGGGGAGGGTCCCAGGAGCGAGAGGATCACATTGACGGCCTCGGACGTCGCAGGGCAGCCTTACGATGTGGAGGCGACCTTCCAGTCTTCCTACCGCATCGACTTGCAATGGAAGAAGCCTTTGCTCACGGGTGCCTCGGGCATGAGCGGTTACAAGGTCTGGGTAGATGATGGCAACGGTGGCGGAATCAACAACTTGATCTGGGACGGTGGGACGAAGGCTGCCACTTTGTCGTACTCCTGGGCCCCGGTCTTCTCGGATGGAACCGTGGCACTGCTGGCGGGTCACACCTACCGCTTCCAGGTGCAATCCGTGAACCCCACAGGCGACGGCGCCCGATCCAACGTCTTCTCCATCGTGGCGGCCTCCAAGCCGGATGCGCCTGGCCGCCCGGGTGTGGACAGGCGCGAGACTGCACGAGAGAGTTCGCGTTCTTGTTGCTTTCGGCTCGCTTTCAGCGCTCCATGTCGTGATGTGTCCGTGCCAGGGCCGCCACCTCCGCGACGGCCGTTCACATTTCCTGGGCGGCTCCCTACAACGGAGGCTCACCCATCCTGGGCTACATCGTTGAGAGGAAGAGCTCGCCGACGGCGCAATGGATCTCTTTGACCGCGGCCTCCGACAGCTACACCTCCACGACCTACGTCGACACCTTCCAGCTGGTGGCCCGGTCCCTCGGCCAGAAGAAGAAACCGCAACTGTTGAGAGCCGGGTTCCGTGTAGTTGTGCCACATCGGGTTCCGGTGTTCGGAGGGCTGGGAAGGGGGCAGCTGAGGTCCTTTTACATCTATCGCGTCTCCGCCTTCAACCTGGTCTCTGTGGGCGAAACCTTCTTCTCACCCGAGTCCTCGATTCCAGCAGCAGCTGTCCCCACAGCTCCGACGGTCACCTTCGTGACTTCCACCGAGACGACCATCACCGTATCCTGGGACATCCCAACCTCCGACCTCACAGTCACTGGCTTCCGGCTGTATGTGGCCCGGACGCAAGCAGAGCTTCCCATTCCCCCCTCCGTTCCTCTTTGTATGACGACAGCACGCTTGACTTTGTGCAAGGTAGATAACGTTCTCAAGTACGACGGTGCTGGTGTGAGCACCGTCCGCACGTTCACGCTGGCCGGGTGCACCACAGGCATCTCGGCCCCACAGGCTATCGGCTATCACAGCTATCCCTGAGACTGACGCTTAGTGACGTGTCACCGCCTCAGGCAACATGCACGACTTCCGTGCGACTGCCATCAGCGATGCGGGCGAATCAGGCTTCTCTGCTTCCCTGCCACGGTACTGTGCCAGGCGCCACAGCATGCCTTGCTGCCTTGGTTTTTGCTCTTTCAGGCGGGAGGGGAAGTGTTCTGATGATCGCTCAGCGCAGGCGCCCCTACCCTCCGGCACAGCCGACGCTGAAGTCGACGACGCTCTCCACCGTAGCAGCTGGGACCGCATTTGGTGGGCAAGTGCCCTGAGCCTGCGTGTTGCTATTGCTCCTGCTGTTCTGCTCCCAATTTCCAAGGAAATCCAATGGATGCCTCCTACGAACAACGGTGGCATGCCCATCTCGGGCTACAAGGTGCAGCGCTCGAACAACGATGTCTACTTCTTCGGCACGGTGCAGTGCGAGCAGCCCGACGGAAGTTTCCTCACGACGCTGCCGGAGGATTTCGACTCCTGTCTCGATTCGACGGCCTTCATCTGTCCCCAGCGACGCTGCAAGTATCGAGTGCTGGCCATCAACGGTGTCGAGGACGACAACTTCGCGGATGTGTCGCCCTACCTGGTGGCAACGGCAGCCGACCTTCCGAATCCACCCACCTCGGTGACCCGCGACGACCCCCCAATCAGCAAGACAGCCATCGAGGTGCACTGGTCGCCTGTCACCGAAGCAGCAGAGACTGGCGGCGCCCTTGTCATCGGCTACAGGGTCTACGCCAACACGGGGATCGATGATGCGCTCGCGATGGTCTTTGATGGCTCCGGCAGCCCGTCGATCCGATCCTTTAAGCACACTGGGCTGGTGCCGGGGAGGCGCTACTGGTATCAGGTCGCCTCGGTGAGCAGCGTGGGCGAAGGCTCCCGGACCAACATCTCCACTTTCCTGGCCGCGGAGCCTCCCGCCGCGCCGCTGCAGCCGAGGTTCGTCACCGCCGGCTTCGGATCAATCACCATTGGACTGGATCCCCCGCCTTCAGATGGAGGATCTCCCATCGTCCGTTACGTAATCTATCGAAACGACGGCACGGTGAATGGCCTCCTGAGCACGCAAGTCTCAGTTTGCGACATGTCCCGCACGCAATTCGATGTGCCTGACCTGCTTCTGGGCCGGGACTACCTCATCCAGGTGCAGGCTCATGCCGACTGCCCTTATGGTGCAGGGAACTCGCTGCACGCGTACGACGCGGATGGCATATGCGTGAACGACGCGGATTGCACCTTGCCGGGAGCTCGGAGTGGCATCGCGCTCTTCACCACCACCGATGTACCGGACACCGTGACCCTGGAAAAGGTGGTTCAGGCACGGACGAGTGTGACGTTCCGCTTCGATCCGCCTCCGGGGGATGGTGGGAGCCCGGTCACGAGCTTCGAGCCCTACCGCGACGATGGCCTGGGAGGCGACTTTGTGCGTGTCGACGTGCTCCCAACGAACTACTTCGAGATGGACACCGATTTGTCGGAATCGGGCAACGAGTACAAGTACACGGGATTGGTCACAGGCCGCAGGTACAACTTCTTCGTGGCCTCCTGCAACAAGCGCGGCTGCCGGAGCGGCGTCATCTTCGGGCCGCTCACTGCAGCAGCCGCTCCGGACCAGCCTGAGCCGCCGCTGGCCACCGCCACCTCGGCCGTGCCGCCAATGATCAACCTCACATGGACACCGCCAGGCACGGTGCATCACGGTGCGACTCGGTGGGGTTAGGGAGTCCAGGGTGCAGTTCCTTCCGCCTTCCGCCTGCAAGCTTTTCCTTCAGACAACGGTGGCATGCCTATCCTCAAGACGGAGATCCAGCGCGACGATGGCCAGGAGGGTTTGGACCTTTAGAGTGCCCAGTGCGTGCCTAGAGCTAGAAGGCCGAGATCTTCTTGCGTTTCTTCATACCCATGTCCAATGTTCGAGGCCGTTTTTCCAGGACATGCCATGAGTCTACACGGAGCCCACACGCGCAATGTCCCACGGCATTATAAGGCAGGAGCACGAGCCTTGCACAGACGCACGGAGCCGCCAGAGATGCAACAACTCCGATCCGAAGCAGATCCAATTCCCCCTCCTATCCCTTGCACATCGCTCTCTTCCGAGTGGCACAGAAGCGGGCCCAGCTTATACGACGTCTGTGCTCGCACCGACCTGGCCACGGCAGGCAGGGGGGACAGCAGGGGTCATGTCGGCACGCGGCGTCCTTCCCCATATTCTCCTTCCGAATTCAATTGAGTCGAAGCGGTCTTCGCTTCGGCTCTCGCGGCAGGTGAAGGTCCTCTCTGCGCATTCGATGCCGTCGGCCCTGGCGCAGCTGGAAGGCGGTGGCTTCGCCCAGGCGCCCGCCGGGTCCATGCAGGCCCAGGCCCAGGCGCGCAGGGGCCAAGGCCCCAAGGCCGAGAGCAGCCCGGGGCCCATTGGGGCGACTTCGCGGCGTTTTGCTTCTGTTGTTGCTCTTCCTTCTCGTCTCTCTCTGAGGTCCGGTCTCCGGGATCTCCGCCCAGGAGCTCCGGGAACGTTTCAACCGAGCCTCCGCGCGCGTGCTCGCGCGCACGCGCCTGAGTCTTGTTTTGGGGGGGCGCTGCTTTCTGCTGCGAGGACCTTCCGACGGACAGCCCCGTGCGGCCCTCCGTTTCCAAAGCCTCTCCCGGCGCCGACCTCAGCTTCAGGCAGTCGTGGCTTCTTGGGATCTGGGCTCCTATAGATATAGGCTCCTGGGCTCTTACTTTCAGGAGCCTATGGCAGACCGGCCGCTCGGCATCGCACGTGTCCGCAGGCCTCTGCACGAGGCTCCATGGCAGTCGCCGGGAAATTGGGGGTAGCCGAGAGCCGAGGTGGACGGGCGGATACCGCAGTCCGTGGACTTTGAGGCAGCACCTCGGCCGAGCTTTTCGCCGGCCCGGCGCACCCATCAGGACGAGGGACGACCGTGCTCCGTGCGCCCAGGAGATCCTGGCAAAGCGCGTCGCTGCTGGCGATGCCTCCGAGGACTCTCTGGACGAGGCCGCGGTGTTGATGACCTCTCATGACTTCTCTCACTCTCGCCTGTTCGGTTCCACTCTCTTCTGCGGCAGGCCGCGCACTTGCTGCTGCAAGCGCTCCCGGCGGCGATGGATCCTTATGGCTTCGCGATCCCCCCGCCCTCCGCCTGGGCGGAGGCGGCGGAGGCGGCGATGGCGTCAGGCGCGGGCACGGCAGCTGCGCCGGCAGCTGCGCGGACGGCCGCGGCGGCAGTGGAGGGGGGCCTGCAGGGGGCTGGTGCCGGCGGCCGCGGGGTGCCCTTGCGCTTGGTGGCGCAGCAGCCGGACGTGGCCTGGGAGGTGGATGGCCAACTGCAGCTGCTGATTGGCGCTGCCAAGCGGACCGGTGACCCAAGCGATGTTTGGTAGAGTTTCGATAGGAGGAGCGGCGTGAAGAGAACACCGCTCCGTATGTTTTAAAAGCCTTATGCAATGTTTCACCTCGCACGGAGATCAGACAGTAGGGCCCTGCGCTGCCAATCGCAGGCTCTCTGTATGTTGCATACAAGCACTTACAGCAGGGTCAGGTGCCCGTGGAGCTGTGGTGCTCTCGCAGGACGGAGTCTTCTCCCTGCTCGCAGAGGTGGACGCTCCAGACTTGACGTACTCCGAGCCTCTGGCAGCAAGTGATGCGACGGGACAAAGTTAAAGAGCATCAGAATCAGCACTCTCTCTCTCTCTCTCTTTCATTTTCTCTGCCTCCTCTGGCTGCGAAAAGGACACCGCGGTCACAGCCGGTTTGACCTACCGCTATCGGCCCTGGCCTCGGCAGTGGTTCGGAGTGTCTGCGTCGGTCCGTCGGTCTCACTTTGATTTAGGATCCGCATGCACCACGAGCAGTCGGCCAGTGACTTCAGCAACCTCGCAACCTTCGTGGCAGCAGGTCTCGTGAAAGGGGCGATGGGTCTTACCCCTTCAAGCAGGGGTCGCTTCGGGCTTAGGATGCCTTTTGAGGGTTTGCGAGTATGTTTTCGGCTTTGGGTGAGGTCAGCCTTCGAGTCCAAACCTTCAACAGCGCGTTTGCGAGTGCCCAGCAGCTTTGTGCGATGCACCGAACTCTCGACCTCAACTGTCAACCCTGAACCCCGCTGAACCCTGAAAGCTCCAAACCCTCGGCCCTCAACTCTGTCAGAGCCGGAGCTTGCACTGATAGGAAGTTACGCTTTGCAAATGCTACTTGTAGCGCACTACACGCTCAGAATCCAGGAGTTTGTGAGTAAAAGGGTTTGGGGAAGTTCATTTTTTTTTATATGCCAGTGCTAACTCACGGACATTATTAGGTACAAGAGGCTTGACAATACCACGGCTGTAGGGTCGGGTCGAGCCTCTGCTTTCGGTCAGGGTGTCTTGAAGCTTTGCTGTTGACATCTGTCAGGCTGTCAGATCAAGATCAGAGCCAGAGCTTGCGCTGAAGCAATCTTACGCCTTGCAACTGCTACTGCACTGAACCCTATGAGACATTGCCATTCGACAAGGCTGCTTCCAGACTAATCAGGGCTGCTTAACGGCGAATCAATGGGTTCGGGTGAAAAAGCTTTGAAAAATGCCACAGACATGTTGTCTTGACGGCTTTGCTGTTGAAAGCTTGAATACAGTCCCAAAGTCCCTGAAAGCCCATATTCCAAAGAGGCTTGCCCGACCAGCCGGCAGCCGTGACGCTGGTGTCGCAGCGAGAGCTTCAGAGCTACAAAAGAGTCCGAAGGTACCACTGAGGATGTAGCATCCCAAGGTCGAAGTCTGAGATCACCGTGTCCTGGACCACGCCAGCAGCGAATGGGGCAGACGTTTACCAGCCAGCAGCCAAGAAGCTCCGGGGAAAGGGAAGGGAGGCTCGGGAGGTGGACCCAAAAAGCTCGGAGGTTCATCCTGAGAAGGGACGACGGGCTCGGCTCTACGCTTACGCCCATCTACCGCGCCGGCCTCGGTCGCCGCGGCCGCCTTGTGCTTTGCTGCATCGCCAGCCGCTGCTGCTGGTAGGTGGTGCTGCGACGATCTTCACGAGTGCAGACCTGGCGACGGGACGCTCCTTGGATTGCAAGCGCTCGGAGCCGTGACGACAGAAGTCTCATCTTTTGACGCCGTTGCCTCTGTGGGTGCATAGTTTTCGCTGCCATTTTTCCAACCAGCTTTCTTGCCCTCTCCGACACTGGCACGGACGACGACCGACGACGGCGACATCAAGACAGTGTGCAGTATGCACGTCTTCACCACCACTCACAGCAGCACTGTCGCCATCGCCAGAACCACTGCAGGAGTGCTGCACTCTTTGAAATCATTCCAGAGCACTTGCAAAACTTGGCGAGGAACTTGGTGAGTACAGCGCGAACGTCGCAAACGGGAATGGAAGCCTGGGTTGTTGTGTTTCACCAGCTGTTGTGTTTTGATTTTGATTAGTGGCATTACGTCGCTACATACCAGATTGCAAGGGCGAGGAGTCAGCATCATAATTACCATCGCCCCAGACGAGATCGCGGCTATGTGAAGCTTGGTTCGAGATGCGATGCCAAGTGCCCGGAGGTGGTCTTGGCTTAAGAGGGCGTACGGGTGCGCAGATGCACCTCAACTCAAGAGCCGTGGTTCGGAGGTTGAACGACGAATCTCAGGCGCTCAGCACCCTATGGCAATGGATCCTTCGCTCCTGCGAAAACTGCCGACTCCGCGCACCACCCACAGGACCATCTAGCGGAGCTACTACTGTTCTTGTTATTTTTACGCAGCTATGCTAAGACCTTTGCTATATCTTGATGTTTTCAAGCTTGTACTACGACTACGACAATGAACTACTACTGCGATTATTGCTACTGTTGCTGGGTATATACTATGGTCCAAGCGCTGTCTTACTATCGCTCACTCGAAGGCCGGAGGTCGTGGTCGGAGATGATTTACATGGCGTGGGTGCGTGTGTGTAGGTGTGGGCGTGTTGTGAGCGTCGGTTTCTTTGGACACTTGTGTGGGCACGAGCACCAGGCAGGAGCATGCCTGAACGGGAGAAAAAAAAGCATCCGAGATCCAAGGCTACTACTCCTTCTCCATCGCTGCTCGCAACGCCGCCGGAGAGGGGCCAGCCAGCCAGGTTCAGCGATTCCTGTCCGCCTCCATGCCAAGCCCCGTCGGCCAGCCGGCGACCCCAGAAAGAACCGACGCGTAGCTGAGACTCAGAGAGAGGAGTGGAAGATTGAGGCCCACGCTGCAGACCTCCTCCTGCACCGGTGGTTCCATCAGCTTCAAATGGTCTGTGCCAGAGGCATCCCTGTCATCGGCATCCAATCTTGGGAAGGTTTGGGGTACTCGTGTGGCAGTTTCAGGACGATGGCGGCTGTCCAGTGCCACGCGCCCAGCTGGGAAGAGCGGAAGCGGACTTGGGTTGCATCAGAGAGCCTTTTTGGACAAGGATTCGGTACCGCATCCTTCGTGATGGAGCAGCCACCGGAACAGAGGCTGCGGCTTCCGCACAGCGGGGCAGCTTGAGACGGAGATGTCGCAGGTGTCGTCCACCACCGTCACCTACTTCACCGCAGGCGGATGTGGATCGTGGATGGGAATGATGGGGAGATCGGAGCTTGTCGGCCATCCACAGGCTTGGAGTGCGCCACCTCCTACCTCTGGAGTGTGGAAGCAAAGCCCCGTGCTCAAAAAGCATTAGGAGAGCAGGGGTGAAGGGCGCCCATGCATCGAGGAACTGCCTGGACATCTGGGGTCGACGGCCGAGCGTTTGAACTGCAGGGAAGGCTCGCAAGCAGAGTGGCGACAGCAGCCTAAGGCCCCTACCGCCCTAACGCCACTAAGTCACTCTTGCCTTCACAAGCCTTCCCGAAGTCCCCGCTGGAACCTCGAGCGCCGCAGCCGTTTTGGCACCCGTACACGCAAGAGGCACAAAGCTGTACTTACCGGTGGCGCGATGCTTGGGACACCCCGGGTACCCGAAGATGCGGCAGTGGCCAAGGCCCAGGTGGCAGATTCAGGTCTCAAGGTGCGCACGACGAAGAGTGCCTCCGTGTCACCGGGCGAGGCGATGCAGATGCTCCGTGCAGGAAACCAACGCTTCGTGAAGGGCACACCCCAGGCAACCACCACAAGCGACGGCCAGCGAATGGAGCTTGTGGATGATGGCCAGGCCCCGCACACGGCCATCGTGGGCTGCGCAGATTCACGTGCCCCCCCGGAAGTGATTTTCGACGCGCTGCCTGGCGACATCTTCGTCCTCCGAAACGCTGGCAACACCTGTACCCATGCTGAAGGCAGCATGATCGGCAGCCTGGAGTTCTGCACCGGGAAACTGGGGGCACGTCTTGTGATGGTCCTTGGCCACACCAAGTGCGGAGCCATCTACGGCGCCACGAAGGCTCACTTTGCCCGCAAGAAGCAGGCTGCAGAGTCCCAGAGTGCACTGGAGGGCTTGCTGGAAGGTTTGGGTGAAGTGGCAGAGCAGGCAGAGTACGACATGGGTCCCATGGCGGACGAGGACTTCGTGGCCGCCCACGCAGTGAAGGTGAACGTCTTCCACACGATGAACTTCCTGCTGCAGTACTCCCGGGGTCTCCGCGAGGCAGTGAAGGCCGGACTGGTTGAGATCCAAGGCGGCGTCTACGATTTGGCGACGGGTTTGGTGCAATTCCTGGGCCGATCTCCGAAGCAGGCAGAGCTCTTGAGCGAGGCTTCGGCGGCCCTTCCCCCCTCAATGCTCGGGATAAGCAGAGCGGGTGCAGCCAAGCGAGGCATCCACGGCGTGCGCACCGGCGACGACACCTCCGTGCCGCCGGAGCAGGCTTTGGAGATGCTCAAGGACGGCAACGATCGATTCGTCGCAGGCACGCCCGCCAGCGTCGCAGCAAGCGCGAAGATGAAAACGGCCCTGGTGAAGTCAGGACAGGCGCCGCACACTGCCACTCGCTGCTCAGGTCTCGTCTCTGTCTGGCAGTTTTTGGGTTTAGAGGCCTTTGATTGCCTTCGTTCCTGCCAAGCACTTGGTAGCTCAGGCCATCATTGGCTGTGCTGACTCCCGGGCACCCATCGAGACAGTCTTCGATGCCATGCCGGGTGAGATATTCGTTCTCCGCAATGCGGGCAACACTTGCACTCACGCCGAAGGTTCCATGGTTGGCAGCTTGGAGTTCTGCACCGGCAAGCTGGGCTCGCGACTGGTCATGGTGCTCGGCCACACGAAGTGCGGCGCCATCGTGGGTGCCACGCAGACCTACCTTGCCATGAAGGACAAGGCTGAGAAGGGATCTCCAGGAAGCGCCCTGGAAGGGCTCTTGACCGACCTCGCCGGCGTGGCGGAAAAGGCGGCAACAAAGCTGGGGAAGGATGCCACCGTGGAGCAGATCGCGGCGTACGCCGTGAAGGTGAATGTCTTCCAGACCATGGATTTCCTTCTGAAGTTCAGTCAGCCGCTTCGCGATGCCGTGAGCAGCGGCAAAGTTGATCTGCAAGGCGGCATCTACGACCTTGAGACGGGCAAGGTGGAGTTCCTGGGCCGATCCCCGCAACACGGAGCTCTCCTTGCCAGCTCCAAGTCCTCGCTGCCTCCCTCCATGGACTTGGCTTTGGGCAGTGCATTCGTGCGGACACCGCAGGACCCGCCGATGGCCCCGGAGGCAGCGCTCAAGCTCATGAAGGAGGGCAACGAGCGCTTCGCCCACGGCAACACCTTGGCCGGCAAGTTTGACGGGCAGATGAGAAAGGCACTGGCGACCATTGGCCAAGCCCCGCACACGGCCATCGTGGGCTGCGCGGACTCGCGCGTCCCCCTGGAGCTGGTTTTCGATGTGCTGCCGGGCGATGTCTTCGTGATGCGAAATGCAGGAAACACGGTGACCCAAGCGAGGGGAAGCGTCGTGGGTAGCCTGGAGTTCTGCACCGCCGCGCTGAAGACGCGACTCGTGCTCGTGCTGGGGCACAGCGCCTGCGGTGCCATCAAAGGTGCCACGGCCACTTACCTGAAAGGAGGAGCCGGAGGGGGGCCCTTTAAAGGAGCCCTGGAAGGTCTCCTGGCAGGTCTCTCCGCCGTGGCAGAGACGGCACACAAGGAGCTGGGGAGCAAGGCCTCGGAGAAGGAGATCGCAGATCATGCGGTGAAGGTGAATGTCTTCAACACCATCAACAACCTCATCAAGGGAAGCACCGACATCCGCGACAAAGTGAAGTCCGGGCAAGTGGAGATCCAAGGAGGCATCTACGACCTCGACTCCGGTCGCGTCCAGTGGCTCGGGCGAAGCCCCGAGCAGGGCAAGCTCCTCTCCAGCTGAGGCATGGCAGCCCGAGCGCCCGTGCCGCCATGCCCCCATGCCCTGTGCCTATACTTCTTGTAAATTCTATAGACTATAATGACAGAGTGCGCGGCAGTCAAGACCGGGGGACAGAACTTCTTCAAACCTACCGCACGGAATTACCGCTGGCAGAGAGAAGTTCGTTTCTGTGTTGCCTGCCGCAGCCACACTAAGCCCTCATCCTGAGGCACCATTCCGCGCTCGAACGCTTGGCAGAACCGGGGTTTGTGGAAAAGAGCTGGGCCCACACTTTGCGCGGTGGAAGATGGCTTCATTTAAGTCTTGTCTTTAAAGTCTGCAGAGGTTTTGACTTCGTTTTGTGCCGCGCAGAGCGGGGGTTTCAGAGTGTCTTGCACAACCCTCTCACATGCAGGAAGAGCTGATCCGGTAAACCCTCGCAAGACTCTAGTCACATAAAAAGCAGGATTCCTCTCTCAGTTCTTTCTGGTCTGGCTGCGGAGCCATTTCTCCCAAGTTTTTGACACATGAGAGCCACGCAGAACCCGGGGAAGCCTGCCCCAACTTGTGTCCTGATGCCACTGTAGACTATAGTGACAGTGCTTTCAAAAATTCGAGGGGCAGGCCGCCGTGATCGGGGAGACAGGATTTTACAGCTCCCGGCAGCCCCTCCACCCTCTTCTTTCAGCAAGAAGGGGTGGCTGTGCCTAAGGCACAGGGGTCCGCAACCGCACGGACCCTAAGACCTTAAGACCTGATCCGCAAGATTGAAAGAAAGTGGAGATGGCGACTCTGCTCCCCAGTCCCAACCCCCCATTGCAAAGCCCGTCCAAGCATGTAGCATGGAAGCTCACACAGTTAGAAAACCATTTTGCTATATAGTTTCATTTCATATTTTCATATCATAGGATGCATGGACAGAGAGATAGATGCTCCTTAACGCTTAACGCTCCTCCAGTTCCCAAGGCAGCGTGTCGGCCTACCTCGAGAGCTACACGGCGTCGCTTCCGGACCGGGTCTCCGGGCTGAATGCGCGGGCCCCGATTGTCTTCTGGGGTTTTGTAGGGTTTGGGCTTTTTGGGGGCCTTGGGGGTTTTAGGGTGTGCTGATCTGCGATTGGATGCCGGAGAGATGTCCTGGAGGCAACGCACGTGTCCCCCACGGAGCTGCTGTACAACTGGATCCCGCTCCTGGGCGCCACGGAGCCCGGCGCCCGGATCGGATCATCGGATCGGATCGGATCTTCCCATGGAGTGTCCGCTTTTTGCGTAGGATCGGCTCCACGGACTTCTCCATCCTCAAGGGCTACGAGCTCTGGATGGACGACGGCTTGGGAGGCGACGTTCCGTCGGCTTCCGTTGACTTCCGACCTTAGTCCGACCTTGCCTTGCCAGGCAAGTTCTCCCGCACCTACGACGGCTACAACAAGCCCTTCGAGACCTACTTTGTGGCCACAGGGTTGGTGCCGCGGCCCCCGGTTGCAGGTCCTTGAGCAGTGAGATAAGGGCTTTCATGACATACAAACGCGGCCATCGGAGCAATATTTTCCTCGGACATCCGATGCAGGATAGATGGAGCACGGGATTGGAGTTTCACAGCATGGCAGATCTAGACCAGTTCAGGTCGCAAGACTGGGGTTCGTAGATTTGAACTTGGCTTGACCGGCACTGGCGATCTTCCGTTTGCCGCTGGACGCCGAGGCCGGGCCGCACCTATCGGGCCTACGTCCGTGCAGTCAACGTCGTGGGCACCTGAGACGAGTGCAGTGCAGCCGCCGTGTGGGGGAGCAGAGAGCAGAGCACAGAGCAGAGCACAGAGCAGAGAGCGGAGCGGAGCGGAGCAGAGCGGTGGGGGTGGGGGGGGGGCAGAGGTTGGCTCTGGCGCCGACTCCGACGCCTGGGCCTTTCGCTTCTTCGGCTCTCCGGTCTGACGGTCAGCCTCGACTTTTGCAGGTGTTGTACCGGGCCATGGCTGTGGAGCCCTCGGCGCCCAGCGACCTCCAGGCGTGCCTGATGTGCCTGATGTGCCTGTGCCCCCTCCATGCGTGAGCCTTCGAGCCTTCGGCTTCGACGCAAGTTGACGAAGGAAGTCCGTTCCGTTCCGTTGCAGAGGTGGCCTCGGCCGGTGCAGAGGAGGTCCTCTGCAGTTGGAAGCCACCGCAGGCCTCGAATGCTGGAGACAGATTGAGCTCGAGCCAAGAGTGTTGAAGCCGACGCGGCTGGGCCAGGACAACGGCGGGGAGCCCGTCCTGCACTACGTCCTGGAGTACGCGCCGGACTGTGGTGGTTGTGGTTACTGCTTTTCTCCTGCCCGCGAAAGTGCGAAAGCCTGCGCCGTGGGCATCAAAACTCTGCGCCACTCTTTTGCAGGAGCCGCTCTTCAACACCTGGCAGGAGCTCAGGGAGAAATAGAGCAGGGGCAGGGGGCTCAGGACCCGGTCTGCGCTCCCTCGCAGGAAGATGGGCCCTACCCGGACAACACGCAGCGGGCAGCTCAGGGCAGCTCGAAGTGCGTGGCCAGTCCCGGAGTTTGGGGAGACTTGACCTGTCCCACCGCGAGGTTTACAAAGACGATCTTCAACCTGGGGCAGGGGCTGGTGTCCGGGGCCTGGAGTGCAGCTCAGCCCTGAGCCGTTGGAGATCGTTGGAGGAGATGCTGCAGCCAAGGTATCAGTTCCGGATCCGGGCCGTCACCAATGCCGGAGGTGGCAAGGGTCGGGCCTTTGCGTCGAGGTCCAGTGTTGTCGGGACCTCCTTTAGGTGGACGAGTGTCACGGTGAAGAAGATAGTATATTTTTCGAAACCGGTCCTGACCAGCCCAGTGCTCGGTGCCAGGTGGCTCCTACTCCAACGTGGTGTCCCAGGTCGTCGGCACCGCCTCGGACTGAGCGGAGCCAGAGCAGAATCTTTCGGAGCTTGCTCTCTTTGCATCAGAGGCTCCGACGGCTGCGCCCAGCGGCCTCACGAGGGCCTCCACCACCTCGGCGGGGGACGCCCAGTGTGGATTCGCCGCGTCTGCGATTCTGCCTTCCATGTGCGGCCGCGTCTGCACGCCTGGGCGCATGCATCCGCCTCCCGACCAAGGTGTCCCTGACCTGGGCCTGGTCGCCACTGCCCGTTGCGCAGGCGAAGCTCAGCTCAGGAAGAGTTTGGGTCAGAGCGGATGACAGTGGAGCGTCTTTCGCAGACCGGTGGGGCCCCCTTGGGCGGCTACCGCCTCTACATGAACACTGGCCGGGACGTCCGGGGCTCTGACGCTTCCCAGGATGAAAGGATACGGCGCTCACGAGTGACATAGAGTGACAGTGAGGATGTGACCTCCTTGGTCTACGACGGCAGCGACAAGCCGTCGGCCCGAGCCCAACAGCAGAAGCGCTGGTACGAAGTCGGGAAGTGGGGGAGGGGGTGAGCCTGTCTCGAGACAGGCCACGGAGTTCACGGCGACCTCCTTGGTCTGTGGCAGGGTCTACAAGGCCGGGCCGGGCCGCTCGAGCCGCTCTCCTTTCGGTCGCAGCCGCCACTTAAAGGAAGTCTGCTGCTACCTTTATCAAGGATTTCTAGCAAGAAGAACCCACTCTCTGTGCTTTCTACAGCCATGTGCTGGCCATATCGTATCGTTTTTTTACGTCTCTCAAAAGGGGGTCCATCCGCCTCCGTCGCAGCTCCGAGGCCGAGGTCTCCGCCGTGACGAGCATCGGGGAAGGCGCGGCGCGGAGAGTGCGGCCGCGGAGAGTCGCTTTCGGAGAGAGACAGACTCTCCACCAGAATTGTTTCGCTCTCTGCTCTCTGCTTTGCTCTCGCGAGGCCCGCGCAGCTCCATGGCGGCTTTCAAGCTGGCGCACACGCCCTCGCAGTGTGGGGCCCGAGCTCTCCTCTCCAAAGCGTCTTCCCAGCCCGGGCCCCTGGCCCCTGGTCCCTGCCCCGAAACGCTCTGATCTGAGGCCCCGGTCGGCGCGAGTGTTAGCCAGCAGCACGGGCTCCATCACGCTGGCCGGGAGACGGGGGGGTGCAGTACCTGGGCCTCTGAGAAGCTGTTGCCTCCAAGCCGCGCCAGGCCTGGGACATCCCGGAGAGCACGGGCTGCACGGAGCTCGAGCCATCCCCTCAAAGTGGCACGAGTCGGTGCTGCACGGAGACACACATACACACAAGCAGATCAGATAAGCAAGCGAGTAAGCAAGCAAGCAAGCAATGAAATAAGTGGGTACGTAAGTTACTAGACAGAGAAGTGGAACAGTAGCTAAGATGATGAATGAATGAACAAACATAGACGAGATAGACGAATTTGATATGAGACAAACAAACACTTACCACAAATGCAACTATCTCAAAGCAGAGCTAGATACATAGAACCGCACATGAATGCAAGCACGTGCATACATGCATATACGTACATTGATACATGCATACTTCATCGTTTATCCATCTGTTTTCCTTTTCGCTTTGTCCTGTGTGTAATCCGCCTTCACGCATGACAGAGCGTCGAGCCATTGTGCAAGCCTGCCGTCCACGGCGCCGATCGATCGGGGTGCGCAGCACAATAAGCTGGCTCTCAAAGGGGCGATGACTTCCAGAAGGTGCAGATCAGTCAAAGCTTAGAATCCAACTTGCAGTAGCTGCCACGAGATGAGAGCGTGGCATGTTCCTCACTATACAAGCAAGATGACGTTGCTGGCACTGCGGGGTTCATGAGCCCACGGGAGAATGTGCATGCCAATTCAAAGGTTTTGTGTTTGGCATGCTGAGGGATGCTGAGGGCCGCCCCATGGGTTGCTTGAGCTGAGCTGAGGTACTACCGCATTGAGCGCGACGTGGGTCAGGGCTTTGAGCCTGTCGCCAATGTGCCGGTGACCCAGACGGCGACGGGACGAAGAGGCCAAAACAAGCCGTTACTCCAGCTGGGCGGCTTTTGAGGTCGACACCGATTCAAACTTACACCGACACCGGAGACTTGAGGCAAGCCGGGCTCTGCCTCTGAGCCGTCAATCCGTAGAACTTAAGAACTTAAGCTTTCCAAACACTGGCTCTTGCCCCCGCAGTCCTGGCCAAATGTACATCTACCGCATCGCGGCCCGCAACGATGCTCTGGATTACTTCGGACCACACAGCTCGCATGCCGGCCACCCAGTGGGTGCTAGGGGCACACTTTTCTGCGTTAGTGCCCGTATGATGTCGTATGAACTTGATGCCAAGAGGCTTAACGTGATGCTTCGCTTCTTGCTTGGTGACATGAGCTTGCTCATTTTCTGAACATGCACAATACAGTTTGCTGTATCTCCACAATATGCATATCTACGGACTGTCTAATTGTATATTAGGTGTGTAGTTATATGCATATTTGTCCATGTCTATGTCCATCTGTCTGTGCATATGTATAGTATGTATATGTCTACACGTGTATGTATGTATGCATGCATGGATGTGTCATGATGTGTCCATGTATCCGCACGCATGTGCACCCTTCGTCTCGGGGCGGCCAGGTCACTGCATTTGCGGCCTCGCTTCCTGGCATGCCTCGCAACCTGGGCTACGTCACGTCCACCAGGCCGTTGAAGGGAGCACGGAGCGGGAAGCATCGAGAAAGAGACGGAGAAATGCCTGAAGATACTCGGACTGGATGTCTGCACTGCCGACCTGCATCCATTTTTGCACCTCTGCCCAACTGTTCTGCATTGCATGTGCACAGACAAGATCATTGTCTAGTCACCTCAACGTGCACTCTTTGCGGCTATGCTTTGGAGGGCAGAGGCTGCTCCCAAGCTTTTGACTCTTTTTCTCTAACTCTCCTAGCCCGATATTCTCCTGTCTTTGGAGCTCGCAAATCCCTTCCGAAGCGAGGGCCTCCCCCGCTCTTCCCTGTCCGGGACACGGGTCTTGAGGCAAGAGGGCACCAGCAAAGAAAAGATGACGAGAGAGGGCAGAGGGCTGAGGGACTGGAGCCCCTCTGCACTTTTGGCGCCAGGACTGCCATCACGCTCATGTGGGATCCTCCCACAGACACGGGAGGGGACCGGTCCTCGATTTTTTCAGACCTCCACCCAGCGCGGCTTCCGTTTTTTGTCCTTCTAAGGCAATGGTGGATTTCTATCGGGTACAGGCAGATGATGGTTTGGGAGGTGCCTTCGGCGACGTGGCGGTGGTGGCAGGGACCTACACCACCATCGAGCACCTTGAAAGCAAGGGTAGGCCTGTGTTTAGGTGTGTTGCGGGAGTGCTGCAGTGTGGGAGAGTTTCGAGTTGTATTTGCATGGCCGTGGATGTGAGGTACCTCACGCCCGGGCGGCCCTACCGTTTCCGTGTTGCTGCTGAAACCGTGGTCGGCACCGGTCCCTACACCGCCGTCTTCCAGCAGGTCGGGGAACGCACCTCCTGCGAAAAAAACGCATTCTTGGGCAGCAGGTGGTGGCAGCAGTGCCGTCAAATCCCCAAACGCCCATTGTCGGATACCCGGAAAACCTTTTCCCGTGTCTCTTGACTCCGCTGGTTTGCCTGGTGTGGCTGAGGTGGAGACGATCGCCGGATACACGGACGATGTTTTTGCACTGGGTGTTATAGACCCCTGCGCCGTGATCCCCAAAACGGAAGGACCGCGTGCGCGTCACCTGGGCGGAGCCTTCGGACAACGGCGGTTCGCTCACGTGGGGGCCCTCGCAAGGGCTAGGTTTTCGGGTTTAGGGAGTTTACGTTTTAGGATCGCAAGTAGGGGGATTGGGCTAGGTTCGGAGGCTTATCTCGGACGCGATGCGTCGCCCGAGTTTCCGAGTTTCGAGCTGAGGCTGGGGTACAAGGTCACCTTCGACGGTCAATGTGATCGCTACGACGGCACCAGCGTGGCTTCCATCACCTCAGCACCTCGGTTTGCATTGGATCTCTCAGCTCTTTCGTTGCTGTGTGGCGTGGTGGCGTGCCCCGTGTGTTTAAATCAGGTTCAGATCATCTGCGTCACGGGCCAGCCGGACACCCAGATTCGCTGAGCGTCTTCGTCTCAAAGAGTGGCCCTCGAAGGCATCACTTGATTACTGTGGCCGCGCGGAATGTGGTTGGCGGGGGGCACCCGGAGCCTTTTACACCGTGTTGGCTTCGGCGCAGCGCTTCCTGAGGCTGGGGAGGGCCCAGCCCTTCCGTCTCCCGAGTCTGCGGTGCGGAGCCCGACGTGCCTTGGTTGAAGTCTTGTCTTCTGATGGTAGATCACGTTATTCTGTTTTCATCTTTCAGTTATAGTGATTATGACTATTGTATTTTTTACTGTCATTATAGTTGTGGTTGTATATGTTTTGTACATACAGGTATCATACATACATACGCATACATACATACATACATACCAAACGTAAACATACCTAAACCTACATAGACATATGCGCACACATGCATATATCATATAACCATATGTACATAGATACATAGATACACATGTAAATACATACATAAATACAGATGTTCATGCGTACATATAATATATACATATACATATATGTACACATATACACATATAAACACATGCATGCATACATACATGCATACATACAGGTCACAGTGCATGATGTCATGTTACGTCATATTGCATCGAATGATACTGCATCGCTGCATTGTACCACTATCGCATTGATGGCCGTAGCTGCGCGTAGTCTTCGGGGCGCAGCGCTTGACGACATAAGTTTTGGAGCGACGACGTGAAGACGTGAAGCACGTGACGACGTTAACGGCCGAACTACTATATCAACATGTTGGAACACAACACAGCAGCCTGGTATCATATAATCCACTTAATCCACTTTAATGCGCTGTAAAATAGTATGAAACAACGTCATGGAATGTCAATGGAATGTAGCGTAATGTAACATAATGCAACATACTGTACAACAAGTCGATTTATTATGGGGAGACAAAATGTACTGGCATAAGCAAGCTATGACGGACTATGGTCATGTAGTATACTGCGATAAAAGAAGTTCTAGCACATTACTAACAGAGTATGATATGAGATGTTTCAAGCATAGACCTAGCAATGATATACAACCATCGGTTATGACACGAATTTCAGCATTGTATAGTGTATGTGTAGTATATAAGAAACTGTAGCATACTGTACCGTGCTATGCCGTGCCACAGCAAGGTAGACTATCTTTACATGTGTGTGTGTATATGTTCAAACATGTTTACGCATGTACAGTAACGATACATCTCCAAACTATGCATCACCAGAAAGCAAGACAATGCAATGCAATACGTGGTAGCTTAGCGCTGCGTGCGTAGTGTTTCACCTCCGTAGGCTCTCGGCTCAAGGGTGACAATGAGAGTCGCCCTGCTGTTGATCGGCGCACTGGTGCGCCCGCTCGGGGGGCTATGGCCTTTCGCAGTGGGTAGCGAAAACCAAACGTGCGACAAAGAAGGAGCAGGTTCGTGCCCTACAGAAGGGCACGAGCCTTTCAGTACCCGTGGCTCGGAACCGAGCCCGGGAGCATCGTACTGGTGGTTCGATTGGTCCTGGGAAGGTTCCACCGAACCAAAAGCCAGCACGCCCCAAGCTGAAGATGCCCATTCTCGACGCTGGTACTTCCGGATTTTGGCCGGGGTACTGTGGGAGATATGGGAAGGGGGGCTGACCTGGTGCGGCACCTTGTGTGCCTCCATTGGGCTCGCTGCAAGGTGGACCTATTGGCTGGCCACCACCACCATCCTGCTGGGTATGTTACAACTTACCTATTGGACCTATGCGTGGGTCGTCAGGCCCATCATCGTCGTCATTGGGGCGCTGCTCCACGTACTGTGGGGCACCGGGCGCGCATGTGGGCGTTGGATCGCCTCCTGGTGCTGTTGCGGCGGAGCGAAGCACTCGAGGCGCGCTCCGCGCCCAGGTGAGGAAGAAGGGCGCACCCCTCGCCACGATTTGTCAGAGACCGAATCGGAGGAAGAAGACAACCCGTGCCAGGCAGATGCGATTGCCTGGAAAGAGGGCACGCAGACGAAAAGGCTCAGCAAAGAGCGCTGCAAAGACGCCGCGTGCTCGTGGGTCAAGCTTCTCAACGATGACGGCATGCAAAGTAGTAGTGGGGAACTACATTGGGATGGACTGCAAGCTAGCTGCCAGTTATGCGCCCGCCACCAAGAGAGCTACGCTCTTTCGAAAACCCGAAGAGCTTGCTCGGTCGAGGGCTGTGGGAAGGTCGCCCAGACCGTAAAGGGAGGGGTCAAACTTTGCAGACTGCACGCCAGCAAGGAAGAACGAGGCCCAACCCCCAAGCCGGGAAACTTCGCTTCTCGGTCACGTGGCCCTCAGGAAGCCAGAAAGAGGTCAATCAGCCGTGGCGCGGAGCGCGCCCGGCCGCATTCACAAGATGCCACACCCAAGCGCGGAACGCAGACGGAGGCAGCAGAACTCCGAGGGATTTCCTCTCCCCCGCGTTTGGACGGGGCCACCTCAGTTGCCCCCTTTCCTGGAGTTGATGCTGCGGTCGAAGATCAGGTACTCACAGGGTTGACCTGGGAGGAGATCGCGGGGATACCAGATGAAGATCTTCGAAAAAGGGCTATATTTCTCAAGCAAAGGGGCGCGATGCCCGGCCCGACTTCAGGTGGACCGGACAGGAGCACCTCCAGAACCGAGGCACCAGACGACAGCCAGGCCTGTTCGCGTATATGGAAGCGAGGCTCCAAGGGAAGGGGCACGACTCAGCAGTCGAGGTGTCAGCGGTGGACGGCCGGACCCCGTCAGAGAGACAAAGACGTCTCCGAGAACTGGCACGGAGGCATTGCTTGCGACTCACCAGTGAACTACCGGCCGAGGCCGGCAAATTCATTTGGGAACTAGCCCAACCGCAGGCCTCGCCAGACGGGAGGAGGTTCCTACCCGTGGTCCGCTTCGGACGCAGGACAAGTCCGTGGGCTGCTCCAGCCCCGGATCGTCCGTGGGCTGCCCCAGCCCCGGATCACCGACCAATTCAGGCCAAACCCCGGGGCAGGGGGAGCTGGGGGTAGAACTGACGCGGTAGACGCGCTGGCCCAGGCCACCAGGGCTTTCCGGGCAGGAGCCTTCACGGATGCAGAGGCACCCGCGGCAGACGAGACGACTAAAGCCCTCCAGGCGATAGCCAAAAGCCTGACCTCGAAGGAAGACGCCCTCGCACAGGAGCGAGGTAAACTGGCATCGATTGGGCGCATCGAGGAAAGGCTAGTTTTCCTGCTCCGGGGCTGCGACTCCCTGAGCGTCACTCTCTGCCCCGGCGTGGTAGGAAAGGAACTCTTTCATGCCCTTCGCATCGCCGGGACGCAAGCGAGACCTCAGTTGAGGAAGATCGAGTTCCCTTGCAACATTCAAAACCGGCACAGCTACGGATTTGCGGCCCTGCAACTGGGAGGGAAAACGCTCAACACTCTGCCGGAGTACTGCCTCTCGGCCGGAGATTTTCCACTCACCTCGGAGGAAGATTTCGACAACTACGGGGGCTCACCCGACCTCAAACTTGAACGTAAGGGCCGGTACCCTAACACGTTGACCTCATGGTTCAGAGCCGCCCTCCGCCAGTCTTGGGCCTTCGCCTGTCTCTTTGGCGAAGAATATTACCCCGTGCTCGAAAAGGCAGCTTCACATCTGCTTCGCTTAGGGGAACAACATGGCTACGCCTGGTCGGCGTCAGCAGTCTACGGTGCATGGGAAGAACTTTGGGCCCGTTTCTGCGAAGAAGCACGGGAGTTGGATCGCCGCATCCGCAGAGCCATGCAGGACGAGACTCCTACGTTCGCCAGACTAAAGTTCTTCGCCTTGTCCCCTGGCCCAGACGGGCAACCCTGGCTCCAACTGCCGGGTACCTTTCGCCTTGACGACGATACCCAATACATTCTGCACCGATATGTTGCCGCGAATGCAGCGCCAACTCTCCCGCGCGTGTTGGGCCGGCGCACAGAAGAAGGGCAACACCGGTGGTCGGGCTGCCGGAGAAGGGGATGCCACCGAGGCTCGAACCGAGCCCGGTGTACCTCCACCCCCAAAGGGGGGTCGAGCTGGTCGCACCACCGAAACTTCTCGGTCCTAGCCTCACACCCAAGGAAGCGGCCCGGTCCCTGGACCACCGGCCGAAAGACCAACAGGGCCAATACCTCTGCTGGGACTTCCTGACACATCGCGGGTGTAACAAGGGTAACGGCTGCCCCCACTCACGCAAGGCCGCTCCCAAGTGGACGACACTGGATTACACGGTCCAGCTCCAGTTGCTGCGCCGAGGGGGCCTTAAGGGCTCTAAGGCCAAAACGGGGGACGAAGTCGACCGTGAGTTTACCCGGGTTCGGGCGGAGCAAGCTGCGAAAGCCGCCGCTGCTAAGCAGGAAGGTATCGCTGCCGCCAAGGCCAAAGTTTCGGCCACCCAGAGGACCAATCCAGCTGCGGGCACGGGCAACGCTGACCGCGCCTCTCGGGCGGGGGAACGAGTACCCGAACAGACAGGACATGTGGTGGCAGATTTGGACAATGTCCTGCCCACCGACCGTGAAGAAACCCTTGGCGCGCTTCTCAAAGACGAAGGCAACAACTGGTGGCACGACGTTGACGCTGCCGCCGCTACTCTTACCTGCCCTAGTTCAAAGTTTGAGAAGTCAGCGCGAGCGGACGCTATGCGAGTCGTTGACGCTGCGGAGCCCGCCCTGGGGCCTTATCCCCCTGGATTGGTGGGCGTCTACCTGCGCAATCGCCTTCTACGCCTCCGCGAGGAAACGGGCCGTGCCCCTGAGCTAGAGGATGTTACGCACCTGTTGGAGGAAGCCGTATCCCTGGGTGGACCAGAGCTGTCTGAAGAGGCTGCCCACTGCCCACCTCCTTGAGGAGCGCGGCGTTCACCGCAAGGCCGGCGAGTCCCCACTGGTGCAGCTTTCGGGCCTTACATGGAATTCCTCCATCGGGGCCGGAACGCTCACCTGGAAGGGCGTCGGTCACTGGGCCATGTACGACTATCAGGACCAGCTTCCCCTCTCCCCGGAGGCCTGCGAACGGATGGGATTTGCCGACGTCCGCGACGAGCCTAAGCAGTGCTTGTTGCTGCACGTTGCCGCCGCATATCTCGCAACGCCGGACCAGCCCCTCCCAACGCCCGAGGCGGTTTGGGCTCTCGCCGCTGAGTGGAGAGTCCGGTGGTGCTCGCAGGCACGAGTCGCCGAGGACTCTTTGGGGCCAACGCCCGAACGGCACGACCGAGACTACCGTACTTTGGTTGCCCACCCTTTGGAGGAGTGGGATTGCCTGGGCTTGGCCGTCCTGCGCCTCGACGCATATATGCGGCCTAGCGTGGAAGTTGTCTGTGGCAGCCGTTACAGCGGCAAAGCTGAGGACACCCGGTGGGTGCTGGTGCACCGCGGCCACATGCGCTTGCTGGTTCCAGACGAGTCCTGCTTGCCGTCCTTGGGGAGCCGCGAGCTCGAGGCCGCTGGCTGGGAGGCGTACCTTGAGGAAGCTGAGGGCTCTCCGCTTCTCGACGCGGGGCGTCTCCTGCAGTGCCAGGTCTGCCACCCCAAGCGGGCGCCCGGTTCGTTTCGGACGGGGCGTGAGGCCGGGGCGTTTGGGTTACAAGTTCCGACCACGTCCGTCGACTGGCCGCTGCTCTCCTGTCTGCCCCCCGCGGGTCAGCCCCTCCCGCTGCTGGTGTTGGGGCCTTCCACGGCGCACGCCGCCTCCGCTTGTGCCTGGGGACCTTTGCCCGACGCCGCTGCCGCCGCCGCAGCTCTGGCGTACATTACTGAAGGAGGCGTTTCTTGCCTCTGGCTGCTCCCCGCCGCGCTGCCGCCGGGTCCGCCCGCCGACGAGTGGTCTTCCGTTTTGCGGTTGGCCGCCGCGCAGTTGCAAACAGGCGGGCGTTGCGTGCTCGAGGCTCCCCTCTACCGGCGGGCTTGGACCGACAAGGCCACGCGGATCCAACTGGCCGGCGCGTGTTGGCATGCCGAACGCCTGCCCGGCCCCCCTGTTGGGCCCGGCCGGCGGGGTTACCATGTTGCGCGTGTCTTTCTGTGTGCCCCCTGGGCTCGCCGCGCTTTGTCGTACCGGGGGGGGAGGAGGATTTTGCTTCCAAAATGCAAAGGCTGAAGAGCGTGCTTGATAACCCTGCGGGGGAGGCTGAGCGAAAAAGCCAAGAGGCCGACCTCTCCGAGGGAACAGGTGACTCCGTCAGGTGCGGAAAGCTGTTTGCTGACTCTGGCCCGCTCTTGGGGCCTCCGCCGTCCTGGCTGCCCAAGAGTCTTTCCAAAGAAGCAGAGGAGGCGGCTGAGGCCTACCTGCGGAAGGTGCACCAGGTCGAGTACTCTTTGGAGGCTTGAATGGTGCCGTGCAGGCTGGCACGACCCTCCTCAGGCTTTGTGGAGGATGGAAGGAGGCTGTGGGAGCGCTGCGCTACGCGTGGAGGGCTCGGGGAGAAGATCACTTCGCAGGGCTTTTCGATCACCACCTCGATAGTCACCTTCCGGAGGATCTCCTTGCGTGGGTTAGAAGAGTTGCCCAGGAAAGGGTAAAGGCCGAGTACCGTGGCACGCAGCGTGCCCGGGTTAAGGCCACCCCGCATCCCTCTCTTAAGGATCATGTGGAAGAAGCTCGGCAACTAATCTGGCAGGACGCTACGCGAGGACGAGTGCTCTTGATGAGCCCCGGCCCCGATGAAGAAGACCTGTTAGATGGGGTGGTATCTGTACCATTGGCAAGAGTGCCGAAGTACAACCCAGACAGGTCAGTCTCCTCCAAAGGGAGAGTAATATGGGACGCCAGAGTCGTTAATGAGCTTTGCCATAAGGACGACCATTTTCCAGCCATCCAACCCAGATACGCTGAGGTAGTAAGGCTGGTGATGTGGTACAAGAGCCGGTACCCCGGCGTCCGCGTCTTATTGGCAAAGAAAGACGTCTCAGAAGCCTTTAAGTGGCTTTGGGTCGAGCAGGACGACTGCAGGCTTTTCGGGGCGGATCTTCCCACTGAAGGGGCTACCCGGGACAGCCGTGGCGACGCTTCGCGCCCGGTTACGGTTTTGTACCTCGCAATGACGTTTGGATGGACGGGGGCCCCAGGAGAGTTCATGGCTTTCGCATGGGCGATCAAGTTGCTACACAGAGCATGCGGGCCCGACCGGCCCGAGTGGCACGACTCGTCCTCCTTCCGGTCGCTCGCTTTAATGGACGACTCGGTTGTGATCGAGCCCGACTTGGGCCTACGCCCTCAGCTGTCGGTCGACGCTCTGGAAGAAGCGATCCGACAGACTCTGGGGCCACTCGCCATCAACGCAGCCAAAGACGTCGAGGAGGGTACCCTCACCACGAGAAAATTGATTTGGGGCCTAGAGTTCGATACAGAAGCTGGAACCTGTCGGCTCCCACCTCTCAAGGTCGAACGAGCCTACCACGTCCTCCAGTCCCCGTACTTCGACGCCGGCCAGACCAAGGTACCGCTCAAAGAAGTCCAGGTGTTGCGGGGCTCTCAACAGTTCTGGCTAGGGGTCCTCCCGCAACTCGCCCCTTACCTCCAGAGCACTAATGCGCTTTTGGGACCCGCTGACCGAGAAGGCCACGTCGTCCTACGCGGGAATGAGGCGGAACAGTCCGCACAGTGGGAAGCATTCTGGAGCGCCATCGAGCTGCAAAGGCTGCTGGTCGGTTCGCGGCAATTTTGGGAGGCGCGCTTCGTCTCACAGCTCGAGCACGCCCTCACCACGCCTGAACTCTTGGCCCTACCAGAGGTCAAGCGCAACCTGGTCTGGGTGTCAGCTGACGCCACGCCCACCCGGCTGGGAGCGATCGACTGGACCGCAAGGGTCGCAGTAGCTTGCGCCGCAGCTCCCCTCTTATCGCCCCTTGAGGCCAATGCCCAGGATTCCACCGACCTCGAGGCTCGTACCGAGCCCGAGGAGGACTTGGTGCAAATAGGCGTCGCGGAATTGCTGGCCTTGCTCGTGTTAGTAGTCGCCAGAAAGGAAGCCTGGGCAGGCAGCGTGGTTCTGTACTTGGGAGACAACACCAATGTGCAAGATTGGTTGCGCAAGCGACAAGCCGGGAATGCGCAAGCCAACCACCTCCTGAAAGTCTTGGGAGCGTTAGAGGGGGTCCATGGCCTACAAGTAAGGGGGGCATACCTTCGCACTTATCACAACCAAACCGCCGACGACCTGACCCGGCTTGACCCCGACAAAGTCATGGAGCAACAGAGGCTGACTCGCCTCAGTGTTCCAGACGATTGGGGCCGAGTGCTGGAAGAAGCTTGGCACCGCAGAGCCCTCTTGTGGGTGGGCCAACCAGACTCCGATCGGCAGATGGCCCTGCAGCTCGCCGCACGGAGGATTGGACCGGCCCCTCCACGGGCCATGCCGGCGTTCGGTTGGAAGGTGCACGAGCTCGGTGCTTCGGAGCACGGCGTGTACACCCGGGCTTTCTTTGCCGCTGGAGGCTTGAAGCACGACCCCCAAGACTCTTTAGCCACTTTGGAAGGGGCACCCACCGTGGAGCGTTCCGCTCCCGGTGAGGAGGAAACCCCGACGCAGGAAGAACGTCTGCTTTGCGTCGCCACCGTGACTGGCGAAGCGGAGGCGCGACGGGTCGTGTCTGGCGTGCTCGCGCAGGCCGCGAGCATTTGGATAGACTCTTTTCGCCCACTCGCGGTCGAAGCGATTTGCACAGAAGATGCCCAGAACCGCTGGGAGTGGTGGACGGAGGAGTTCACCGGCCGCACCTTTAAAGAACAGGTGTGGTGGCACCGCTGGGTGCTAGTCGGTGTAAACCCCGGCGCAGGACAGGAAGCACGCGCTGCGACAGGTGAAAAAAGGGCTGCTCTCGAGCCCTGCACGCCACCCCTGCACACGTACGCCACCCACTGGTTGGACCCCAAACCCAAGGCTGGCTGGGTTGAAGGGACAGTGCACCTTGACCCCACTTTCCCATTCCTTGGGTTGAAGTCCCCCAAACCCTGTGGGACGGTTCGTACCCAGGGAGGGTCGCGCGCTCTTGTTTGGGACCCCGCCAAGCCCATGCCCCCCCTGCACGATGGCTCCTGGGACCCCTGTCGAAGGGATGCGCTGCACTTGTTGAGCCATGGGGAACAAGGGGTACAGGTTAGGGTGATCGGGGCCCGAGAGGTCCATAAGCTTCTCGGGGAAGGGGCTGGGACGCCACAGATGACGATGAGAGCGATGCACGTCTTGCCCTGCATGCCCCACCCTACGCCCTACGCCCTGGCAGCTTTTGCTGCTGAGTTTGTAGGCTCCCTCCCCCTGACACGTCGTCCGACCGCAGCCGTTTCAGCTCTGAGGGGGGCGGTGCGCTCCCTAGCAAAGGCAAGGCAGGAGCTTGTGAGCTCCCGTGGGAAGACGACGCAGAGGCCCTGGTACGCCTGTGGCTTGGAGGAAAACTCGAGGGTAGGTCCGAGACCCGCTGCTCCGGTATGCACGGCAAAGGCAACCAGAAGGGAAAAGGAGCCCATAAGGGCGCAGGGACCAGGAGAAGCTGGAGCGTCTCCGTGGCTCGTTCCGAGCCCGGAGTGACGCTGATCGGCGAAGGCTGGTCAAGATCCTCAGACACGAGGCTGCCCTCCTGGGTCTTCCGATCCGCGAAGACGGATGGGTCTCGTTGAAGGACCTCAACGAGTGCGTCGGAACCATATCCGGCGAAGATGCCGCCCGAATCATTGGGCGAGACGAGAAAGATAGGCTAATTCTTTCTCAAGAGGGTGAAGAAGTGTGGGTGGCGGCCGTGTCAGGTCACACCATCCCAGACCACCTCGCGGATCTAAAAAGTAGATCCGAAGTTCGTTGCGTATCTAGATATGCATGACCGTTTCCAAAAGCGAGGGCGTATCTAGATCGATAGCAAAACAGCCTGTCTGGCCAAAAGCCTTGGGATCATGCGATTTGCCTGGAACTCATGTAGTATGGCTCAAAAAGCCTTGGAATCATGCGATTTGCCTGGAACTCATGTAATCTAATTCAAGAAATCCGCTGAAAAAAAGAAGAAGAAGAGAACGAGGCCCTAAGAGCGATTTTTTAATGAGACAGAGAGAGCAACAACAACTTTGTATCAGAAAACCCTTCAGAATTTTCCTGTGTTTTTGTTTCTTCGAGGTGTCACTTCGGAATTTCGGACATTCGGATTTCAGAGGGTTGTTTCGGAGTTTTGGAGATATGTGTCACTTCGGCTGTGTTTTTGTTTCTTCGAGGTGTCACTTCGGAATTTCGGACATTCGGTTTTCAGAGGGTTGTTTCGGAGTTTTGGAGATATGTGTCACTTCGGAATTTCGGACATTCGGATTTCAGGGGGCTGTTTCGAAGTTTTGGAGATAAAACAGATCAAAGCTTAATTCGTGTATTCTCATATAGTCATATAGTCCGTAAAACACACACATTTCCAGAACACAGGGCTGCAGAAGTATTCCATGTCATTTACCCAGGGTAGCTTTGTGCATTATATTCGCATCATGAGCACATATCACGCTAGGTCTCTCAGAGCCAAAGCCTTTTCAACTCCGAAACCCCCAGCTTCCTTGGCCTTAGCTTGGGTATTAGGCTTTTATAGCTGTTTGGTGGTAGAGGGCATTAAGAATTGAGTTCCAATAGCCCTGTAACTCGTGAAGCACAGCCTCGAAGCCACAACCCTGCCCTGAAGCCCCAACCCCACGGCCAAATGTCGCCATCCGCCGGAGCTCTCCATCAGCACGGGCATGGGCCCGCAAGGGCATTCCAAAATGCTTACAAGTTTCAGCTTCCCAGCCGATGTAGCGCAGTGCAGAAGTTGTCGTGGTGCAGAATACCTTGACTGAACACTTTAGATTCGGCAGTGCTGAGGGTTTCCTTCAGATTTTCAGGATAACCTTAATAATAGGGTTGTTGCCTTTCGGGTAGGACTTAGGCCTGGGTAGTCTCGATTCAGCATCTGAAGCTTCTTGCGATTGCTTGCGGGGCCTCGAGCCAAACCGTACTATCAATCCTTACTGTTCCTATACCAAGGCCAGCTCTATAGGCATCCTGCTCTGGACCTAGAATACTTGCTACGGCATTTCAGTTCCTAGTGTAGATCTCGACCTCGGTTTTGCTAGCAATGGCTGGCAGAGCTGTGATGAAGAAGCCCGGAGCAGCTGGGCGAAGAGTACGAAGGGTGGGGTTCAAGAACTACAAAGAGTTGGCCTCCCGCCTTGCACCTTTCGTGACACAGAAAACCGTGACGACATACACGAGTAGCAGGGACATGAAGGACCTCGACAGAGCCAAACTGACATCTCGGCCATCCAGATTTGCATAGGAATCGATTTAAATGTTTTTTCTAGGTAGGGCCTAGGCTTATACAGGTATGTGGTTTCTTATCCCGGTTGTGCTTTCCGAGTCCAGGTTCTTCAAGGGGGTTTTCCAAGCTACGATATCCCTGAGCCCGACTTGGAATTTCCCCGACACGGTGCTGAAGAAGGGTCTGCTTCAGATCTTGAAGATGGAGGACCTCAAAGTATTTCTAGTTGTATTTGTTAGTGTTATGAGCCGAATTATTTTTCTTTCGTCCATCCCGCAACCTTATGTTATTATTATCTTGCTAGAGGACAAGGCCTCTTTGAGTTCCAAGATCCACGATTCCGAAAAAGAGTCGTGGGCTGCCACGAATGCATTGAGACTATCAGCTGCTTTTCGCCACTACTCGCAAAGCTCTTTGAGGAGGCGATCTTGGGTACCCGAGGCTCATCTCTGCGATCTCTCAACAGATATCAAGCTAGACTAACAAGAAATGCAGCGATCCCAATCTAGAGAATCATGATTTACCGGGGCTTGAAATTTAATACCCCTGATCAGGAGCATCGCAGAAGTACGAAAGCGCCATCTGACCGGAAAGCAGCCCAGAGGAAGCAGAATACGGCTACAGTGAAACTCAGGATAAAGGGAAAACAACAGGACCCACAGAAGCCAGCAGCTGAGCAGCAGGAGCAGGAGGAAGATGCCGATGAGAACGATGATGAGCAGGATGCAAACAACGATGGTGAGCAGGATGATGGAAGCGAGGACGATGTTAGCATCAGTAGCAGCAGCTCCAGTTCATCCTCATCAGGCAGCAGCAGCAGCAGCAAAGGAAAGCAAAGCACGAATGGGAAGCCCGAGCCATCCGTGGAAGCCCAACAGCCGCAAGCTCCAGAAGCCCAGCCAACAAAAGCAAGCCCGCAGTCGCAAGCTCCAGAACCCCAGCCAACGAAAGCAAGCCCGCAGTCGCAAGCTCCAGAACCCCAGCCAACAGCACAAGCGAGCACCAAGCAGGATGTACCAAACATGTCGGACCCTGGATTCTTAAAGCACTTTGTTTACATGCTCGTGTCGTAGTATACTCACCGAAGCGAAATAAGCCTCCCCGCACGACTGCCCCATACCTAAGAAACTCTGATTCGCCCAGGAAGCGGCCCAAGCTGCCATCGCCAACGACTGGTTCCTCAGCGCTTTGGGCGGGATGCTGGATGGCGAGGATCCCACCGGGAGCACATCCTTCAGTTTCTCGCCCTTGCTTTAACCTAGCTTTGGGAGGTTCAGGGTTTCTGGTCTAGTCGTGGGCTGATTGCTCTAATATCTAGCTTTGCGAGGTTCGGGGGTCTCGGGTCTAGCTGTGGGGTTTGGCGATTGGATACATTTCTGAAGCTTGTTGGAAGTTGGGGGTCTCTGGCCTAGTTGCTGTGGGGTTTGGCGATTGGATTCAAGTGCTTCTTGCTCTCCGAAGCTTTTGGGCTTATGTCGGGTCCTAGTCAAGGGTCGAGTGAAGTTCGTCGGGATGGCTCGGATTCTGACCATGAGTGGCTGATGGAACTGTGCTTGCCTGGCAAAGCTTCTTGTAGTGCTGGTTCTGCCAATGAGAACAATAACAATCGTGATCGTGACTCTGGTGATATGGAAGTCGATTCGCTGGAACGGCTGTTGCACGAGGACGATTGTTCGGGAGACCCGTCACAAATTTCCTTGAAGGATCTTGCGGCGGCGGGTGCCGAATTTTGCACTGAGAGGAGCTTCAGGCGTTTTGAATCGGCGGCGAGCCGTTACGATGACAATCCTGCTGCTGCTGAAAATGGCCAAGGGCCTTTCGTGATGATTGATGGTCGTCGTCAGCAGCTTGTCAGTGCAAACTTTTACAAAATGCTCGTGCCGGCTTCTTTGCACTGGATGCCTCGACTTGAGCCCGTCATACGAGCAGTGTTGCAGGACCCTACAATCTTGATCGAGTTCTGTGCATCGCATCAGTTGGCTTCTAAAGTGCTGGGTCATGCTGTGAGTCGTGTTCAACTTCTTCATCAAGCCCATCTTAAATTTAAGATTGGCATCACAGGCGACCCCGCCCACCGCTGGCGAAAGGCTGAGCATGCATACCTCCGCGAGATCCCCAAGGCCTTATTTGCAACCATGCGGCTTCTCGCCATTGTGGAGCACGGCGAATCTGCAGCATTTCTGGAGGCTTCCTTGATCGCCACTTTCAGTGAGCACTCTGACTGCAAGAACATCGCTGCTGGCGGAGAATCCACGTCGAGGATGCAAGGGCCGTTCTTCGTGTATGCTGTCGCATCTGCTGCATAGGAAAATGACTTTCAATCCGAGCTGCATTCAGGGAGCATTTGGCCTTCAGTCCCAGAGATCCATTGATATATCCTTGTTTGGACGGCGAGGGCGAGATACTTTAAGGTTTTGGGTTCCAGGGGTAGGGTTCTTGTTTGCTGCCGTGGCAGGTGTGCGGTGGTGCTCCAAAGCTCGGCCTCTTTAGGCATGTATTTTCTACATACTTTGATATATCTCTCCTTCTCCCCCCCTCTCTCTCTCTCTCTCTCTCTCTCTCTCTCTCTCTCTCTCTCTCTCTCTCTCTCTCTCTCTCTCTCTCTCTCTCTCTCTCTCTCTCTCTCTCTCTCTCTCTCTCTCTCTCTCTCTCTCTCTCTCTCTCTCTCTCGCGCTCTCTCTCTCTCTCTCTCTCTCTCTCTCTCTCTCTCTCTCTCTCTCTCTCTCTCTCTCTCTCTCTCTCTCTCTCTCTCTCTCTCTCTCTCTCTCTCTCTCTCTCTCTCTCTCTCTCTCACTCTCACTCTATTTAGCTTGCTGGCTAGATTGGCTAGATTTACCAAACCAACGAGCTTAATACATCGCTAGCCAATATCCCAAACGAACGCATCGCCACACACGCCCGATCCACTCGATCAGTGCCACCAATACATTGACCTACATGTATACAATAAATAAAACTTTAAACCCTACATCGACTTGGGTTTAGGGTTCAGGGCTGTGCAACAACCGCCCACTCAGCTGCAAAGTGCCAGCCTTAAAGCTTCCATCCACTCCTAACTTTATTATAACCTATATGCATCCACAGCACACTACTCCCTGAAAACTAAACCCGTGCCAAAACACCATTAACCTTCGATGCAACCCCTAATAACCCCCAAGCCTTGAACTTTGCCAAAGCACCATTCATCCTGATCTAAGCCAAGAAGACCTTGACCCTAGACCCAACCCACAAAATTCCAAAGCCTTGGTCCTATCAGCCCACACCATAATTGAACCGGTCCTTACCTGCAGCTCAGGCTATGCATCGCCAACGCCAGGGCCGCCCAGAAGATCGGCTTTGCGAGCTCCTAACCAGGCGGCGGATGCGAAGCCGAATGTTGTCTTCTGTGCCGACGACGAGAAGCAGGACGACAAGAAGGACGACAAGAAGAACTACGAGAAGAACGACGAGGAGAACGACGGCAAGACGACGACAGAGAATGACACGGAGGCGAACGAGAAGGAGGAGCGACCAAAGCCAAGTAAGAGGAAGCCGAAGCCGACGAAGCCGGACGAGAAGGACGAGCAGCCGAAGCCAAAGAAACGGAAGCCGAAGCAGGCGGACGAGAAGGACGAGCAGCCGCACAAGAAGGAGAAGCCGAAGCCGACCAAGGCGGACGAGAAGGACAAGCAGCCGCAAAAGAAGGAGAAGCCGAAGAAGACGAAGCCGGACGAGAAGGACGAGCAGCCGCAACAGAAGGAGAAGCCGAAGATCGTCGAAGAGGTCAGCTGGTCCAACCTGCACGAGAAGGCCATGTGCAATGGTGAGATGTCTTCGAGTCCGTATGTGGAGGGCGGCGAGGTCATGGTACGCTTCGAAAGCGGGCGAGTTTGGCGAGTTCCCCACCTGGTGCCGGACGACATCGAGAAGAGAGGCGAGCAGGATGCACTGCCGCGAGTGGGCGATGTGCCGGAGCAGCCGAAAAAAAAAACGAAGGCGGCTGCCAAAGCGAGGCCCGTGGCGGACTTCATCCTGCCGTCTGTGCGAGTGAAGTATGCCAGCCAGGGGTCGAAGTCACCGGTCCTCAAGCTGGAATGCAAAGAGGACCGCTTCGGTCCTTCGATGGGCCCATGGAGGCAGAAGCTGCAGTTCGTCTTGAAGGAGGACGCACCATTGGGAACGGTTGAGGCCTCCCACGTGATGCAGACAATGGCTACGTTCTACGAGAAGATGAATCTCAATGGTGCCGAAATCGACTTCAGGCGATGCAGGGACAGCTTGCTGAAGCACGCCGACGCTGTGAACCACGACTGGGGGAAGAAGCCGATGTCTTGGGAGTATGTGAACCAGCAGAAGCTGGATGGCTTTCCGCTGGCGAGGCTTGGTCGCAGGGTATTGTTTTTGGTTTGGAGTTATTCGGCTATCGGTTTGGGGTTTGTAATATATTCAGATTTTGGGACCGAGCAGCGATAAGGCCTTCGCAGCGGGCCGGAGCAGCCGCCAAGGAGGATGACGAGGACGACGGCGAGGAGGACGGCGAGGAGGACGGCGAAGAGGAGGAAGAGAATGCTATGGATCCGACATTGGAAGGCTCCCTACCACGTGATCATAATCGTAGCAATTTAAGTAATCTAGGTACAGACTGGAATATACTAAACCGCAAGCCCTGACTCTAACCACAACCATCAAAACCCAATCCTAAGCAAAGCCCTTTGCCACCTCAGGTGGCTTCGAGCGGCTGGGCTCCGCGGCCACTGATCTTTTGACGAACAACGGAGATGATCTACACTAGGCACATGCAGAAGTTTTCTTGTGTTGGTTCTGTGCTGTATATGTCGAGGCTCGATATATAAGCTGGATATCACCGGAGGTCCTCCAAGAACCATCTGCCACATCCTCGAAACCTCAGATGTGCTCCGGTGCAATCGACCCCTGGATGTATACCCAGTCGCACGAACTTTTGCTAGGAGCCCTAATTCCCAAGTACCCAGCAGCTTCAAACCCTGAGCCCAATCGAACGCAGGCTGTGAGCACGGCTTTCCAGGAGGCTTTCAGGAGTGAGCTCTATAATCCCTAGCGAAATTGATGTCACTGGGGTATGATATAATTGGTAGAATAGGTGCAGGATGGGTGAGGTATCATTTCGTGTGCCCCGTCGTTCCTGCTATGCTAATATTGAGCAGTGCCTGGTACTAGGCAACCCCGAGACCCCAAGCCCAAAGCCTGCACCCTACTGTGTGTACTTTAATTGCAAGCCTGGAAGGACACATATAGGCCTACTAGTTTGGATCACCTACAATCGACGAGTAGTCTCATTTGGCCTAGTGTCCTTTCAATGGCTCTAAAAAACCGCAACATTATGGAGCCTACTTATGTATGTAAGAAGTAGATCTGAATCAAGCGGCCAAACCTTCAAAGACCTATCAAAGCACCTTGTGAGCTCAACTCCTCAGAGAGCACTCTGTGTGGTCCCGCTATCGTAGCAAACCCGAAAGACCGTTCAAACAGTTCAAATGCCCGTAATACTATAGCAAACCCAAGTCCCGTGATCCCATTTGGAGAGATTTCGACAGCAGCCTTTCTTTCAAAAGGCAGCAGCATGTACAGCTACGCAGCCGGTGCAGGGTTTCCGTACACTGTATGCATGTATTCAAGATAGTTCGGTCTGTATATATATATATATATATATAGGTAGTTACAGCGAAATACATACATATACATATCGATACCGATATATATATATATATATATATATATACAGACCGAACTATCTTGAATCTTGCAGCTAGCTGTGCATATTCTAATCGAGGAACGATTACTGACCGGGGTTGTAAAATACTCTTCCACATCGCAGTATAAGCCTAGGAACAATAGCCCTGAAGTCCTTGGTTTCTACGCACCAATCCCGACCGCTTGCAACTTAGTGCTTTATTGCTTTTGTGGAATTTGGAACAACCCGTTACCCCAGCAACCTGAAACTTAGCTAGGATTCAGGTGGAGGGTTCTTGGCTTTGGGGGTGTGTAGATAGGAGTAATCTCTTCTGGCATTGCTTGTTGTTCCCGCCAGCTTAAGTAAGGACTATATAATAAGGCTTTGGAATTGAGGGCTTCGGCGACTTGGGGTTTCTAGGGCGGAGGCTTTTGATCTTAGCAGCACCGGTTTGCTTCCGCTGCTGGCGATCGCCCTCGCGATCTTTTTTTTAATGGAGCACCACTGAGCTGTGCTGAGCGGACCTGGTGTCGTGCCTACCACCATATAGTCTGTACTTGCACCCCTA